CATACTTTGGACACTCCTAATTAACATGCACCACATTGTCCACTGAATAATTGGTTTCCTTATCTTTACAAATATTACTAACGTCATAGAATAACTTTACCTTTATTTTTGTCAAAAGAATAATTTTACTTTGAGCTTTTGTGGAAACAAGGGCGATATTATAATATAATGGTTTAGTCCAATTTGAGTTCTGGAATTGAACTGAGGTATAAGAAACCGGAACTTATTGCCAAGCTATTTGTGTTAATACTGTTGATGTGTTACCATTTGGATTGAAATCCAATATAATATAGTATATTATTGGCAACTGAAAAAATAAGGTATAAGACGTTGATTTGCTTTTATGAAAAATCGTCAAATTCGGTGATACTACACTATTTATAAGACTAGGAATCTCATGCGTATCGAAACGACGAAAACATGTAGAAATTAGATAGTGAGTTGATAATTTTCGTTTCATATCAAATAAAAGTCTGTCATTGTTCCAACCTTGTATGTCAGAGAATTTTCTTCAAACATTATAACTCATACAGATTTGGTAAAATTGAATGAAGGACTAACTTGTCGCACCCCTGACATAGCATCAAGCAAATTCAACAACCGTTTATAAATGATAACAAACATTAAAGAATGGCATATATTAAAAAATACCTTCGATGTGGAAAACAAACTTGAAAACGAATTTTGGAAACACAAAAATAAATCTCTAAAACTGCTTATAAAAAAAATGATAGTGATTTATAGTGGACACATAAATACTGTGACGAGGATATTCCGGGTTGAATTCAACCACTGCCCTACTAGTTTAGTCTCATGCGTAGCTACCTTTATGGTTTAGATCATAATTATATGAAGCCACTTCCACTTTGGTCTTTTATATATAATTATATACGTACGTACACACAATAATACAAAACGTTGGCAAAAGAAAAAAAAAAGGTGGTGTTAATGTCTGTTAGACTTGGTAATTATACACATAATAATACACGTATCTTGTCATAAAATTGTGAATATGAAGTTCAATGGATTTGGATCAATCGGTTGAAGATTCCGATTCAACAGTTTCATTTTAAGAAAATTGTGCGAAGACCAAATAACATTTATCTAATCCATTTGTCTTTGGCAGACAAGTTGTAAATAAAAATTTACAGTTTTAAGTGGTTAAATAAGTTATTTTGACATTCGTAAAATCGTTAATATTTGGTTATGGATTGGGATGTGCATTTAAAACGATGTAGTGAACAACCTTGAAAATGAAGTCACAATTGTCAAAGACATTTAATAAGTTGAGAGACTAAAAAACCTTCCAACACCTGCACATGGCGCGCACACACACACACGCTCTCTGACCGTTGTATCAGATCATGTGTTCACACATGTCAACAAATTAAAGTCTTAATTATTAATTAATTTGTTTAATTGTGTCTAGATATTATATGATCGTCCCTCAAGTTTTTTTCACCAGCAAGTCCAAGATGCTCTGGAGAAATAGCTGGTTTTGTTTGCGTTTAACGAAAGGTTAAAGATTATTATAATTCGTGATGTTGGGTGGACGAAGAACCAAAAGACATAATTTGCGATCCAAAATCTTGATATTCTGCGTGTTGGTCGCCGTACAAACGTCAACGTGATTAGGTCTCCGTATAGATGCAAATCTGAATTTTAACTTTAGTTATTTGTTTTACAAAAAAGTTTGTACAAACTCAATGAATGATGGCTATATTAGGTAGGGTCGTAAGGATGCATCCACGAAGGCGAACCCTTTTCAATTTTAATTATTTTTGTTAAAATATGATTTGAAGGACACACTGATCATGAGGTCAGGTAATTGTGGCCAGTAACAGTTTTTTTCTAAAAATATTATTTATTAATCTTTACCATGAAGATGTTTTCTTAGGATATCAGAATCTTCGGTCCTACTTATTACAGGATTAATTGATGACGTCGTTTGAGTAATAATTGTATATTCTTGTTCTTGAGTTTAGAAGGGACAATAACTTCGGAGATGTAGCAAAATGGTCCATATATTCTTAGCAATCAAGTGATGTTAGGTGATCAGAGAGAGACGTCCAGAAAACATTCAACTCTTCCTTTAGATGGAAACGATTAGATTTTGGAATGTAAATACAAGTTCTATTACACTATTTGCTTACACGGAGATTTTATTTTCTATATAGACGAACCAAATTTCAGAATGTTACAAAGATTTTACATAACTTTTTAGTCAATAGAAACGGAAAACTATATACTTTATAGATTTCTCAAATTTTCCCACTAAGCTAGTTATCACGCTTAATAGATTATACATAATCTCGTATCTAATCATTTCTTGAAATCTCACTTTAGGTCCGTCTTATAATTGAACCATAAGCCCTAGTATCTTCCATACGTAGTCATCATTAAAGTGTTGTAAACTTGTAATACATATTTTTTTCCCTTGAAAAAGATAAAGATGGTTCAAAAGAAAAGAAGATAAAGATGTCATAAAACATAAAATTTAGAAAGAAAACGCTTTGCCCAAAAAAAAAAAAAAAAAAAGAAAGAAAACGAAGACGATAAAATCACTATGATTATGCATCAAATAATAGTAACTAATGCTACGTTGGTAACATTGGACTTTCCGAAAATTCAAATAATTGCTTCAATTTTCAGATGTAGCTTAATTAGTAGCTTTGAAAACGATATTTCCACTCTCTCATCGCGCCACATGGTTTTAAAAAAAAAGTGATGTTAAGACATTGATGAAATCAACCGAAATTATAAGCCAAGATCAAGATTCGATAACGCAAACATCATACTGTATATCTTAAAATATAGTTTTATTTTACGAAACTTGAAATCACCTTTATATCTATATTGGTATCGATGTACTATATAACTTTATTCCTCTGTAGTATGTTTCGTATTTTACTTTTGTCAATTTGTCAGTTGATGGGACATACCCCATTGGTGAACGAATGGGTAATTTGGTACACTCAATATCTCAGGAACACGCCACATATCCGAACGTATTATTCAGTAGAACCGTACCGATAGTGTAACTTTGCGAATCTTAAATACGATAATAAGAACGTGGACGATCCATTCATAACCATCATGAACTAATCTAGGACATGAATCGGACTTCAAATGAATCAAACCGGTACTAGTTGAGTGAATCATACAAAAGTAGTAAAATACAAAAATAATATGTCAAGAGAAAGCATGCATTTAAGTCCGTGAAAGTGAGAAAAAGGAGATAAGAAGTTGCAGTGTGTCTCTTGTCCACCCAATCACATTCTCATTTTATTTATTTTATCTTCTTGAGATATCTCTATATCGTGTCGTCATGTCTTCAATTTGTAAAGAATATTAATAATTTTGTATTTTTACTCGTCATGAGTGGTACCAAAATTGATTTTTTTGGATCTATTAGTTATCTTCAGCTATATATGATATTTCTTATATTCGTCTAAATTCATATACCATAACTTTTTGTCCACGGTCCAAGTTCAACATGCATTAAATGTTATACTTGGCCAAATTTGAAGATATGCAGAATAAATTGAATAATACTTCAACTAAAAAAAGAGAAGAATTAATTTCAGTATGACAAAAAATTGAATATAATATTTCGTATCCAATGATATTGCCTCGGTTTCAAGTGTAAACTGAGAAAAATGATGTTAGGTCAAATGATCTATAAGTAAAAATAATGTACACAGAAATGATAATATATATGCCTAAAACATCATTTCTCAAAATATACTTTAAGCTTTTCATCATCCTGGCGTCGAGCTATTTTTCCGCAGGACCTCCCCTACAGTATCGTCACTGCAGTAGAGTTTAACCACTAAGTTCGGGATAAATTGGTGTTGTTCCTCTACACCTAGGATATGAGAATATCGAACCATAAACGAAGAAAGACATGCGAAAAAAGTATATTGGCTAGTGATTGTGAGGCTCCAATTCTTGACTGGAGTGGACACCAAAGGCTTTGGTTGCTAAATAAAAATGAACGTTACATATCATAAAAAAATCTATAAAATATTAGTTTGAAACGGCTGTTGTTGAAATCAATGTCGAACATATGATATTTACACGGAACTACTTGTTGTTGAATAAAAATGAACGTTACATTGTCAGAAACCAATCGAGGAAAAGATGAGTTTAAAGCAAAAGTTTTCCAGATGGTTGAGAAATGGTCGTTTTGTACTCACGTTTATCTCGATTCATCAAAACGTTACAGTATTTTTAAATTATAAATAAAAAAATCAATAACTTACATTATTATATTTTTGTGAGTGCAATCTCTATAATGAATTTTTGTTCAGCTTCAGAAAAAAAGAAACTCTTAAGATTATCTTTGTAAAGATAGATTAATCTTGGTGTAGTATATAAGCATAACTCAAGTCCTAGAGAGGTCAAACGCTATATGATTCGATATATGATTGCAAGCAATGGTTACTGGCTGGCTAATTGCAGCACTCTTAAATAAACCCACATTATCTATACAAAAGTAAGAGAATTAAATGCAACAAAATTATTTTCTGACAGTAACAACAAAAACAAAAATGTCAAAATCATCGGTCCCTGATCTCCGGTTCCGGCACCCACCCGGAGTAATCAACTATTTATTTTTTTCCGACCATCCTATATACTACTCGATTCCATTACTATTTAAAACGTCAGAGAAGGCCCAGGCAGCAACAGTTGCAAACCTTTCATTAATATTAATATTATTATTCTTATCATTAACCCCGAAATGACAGTCCAATAAAATAATCACAACATCAGAAAAAGTAGTAATAATTAATATTTTTAACAACAGTGATGATATTATTTTGGGGTTTCACATGTTTTATAAGCAAAGCTGTGTGTGTTGATGGTGGACCTAACCCTTCACGCTGTCCCGAAAAAGACTCTTTTCTTCTCTTCCTCTTTCCTTCACAGAGCTCTCTCATTCTACTCTGTTTTTTCTTTTATTTTTTGTTCTCTCTCAATCATAACATTTTGAAAAAATGGGAAATTGTCAGGCGGTGGATGCGGCGGCGTTAGTTCTACAACATCCCGACGGCAAAATCGATAGATATTACGGTCCTGTCTCCGTCGCAGAAATCATGCGTATGTACCCTGGTCACTACGTTTCTCTTATTATTCCTTTGCCGGAGACGAATATTCCGGCGACGACGGAGACAGATGACAAGAGCCAGAGAAGGGTCGTGAGGTTCACGCGCGTGAAACTTCTCCGACCAACGGAGAATCTTGTTCTTGGTCATGCTTACCGTCTCATCACTTCACAAGGTTTGTTTTTTTATTTTATTTATTCATTTCGTTTTAATCTCATTTTTTGTTCAGAATTTTCTTTTTCGCTTTTCTAATAATTTAGTGCTTGTATTGATTCAGAGGTTATGAAGGTTTTAAGAGCGAAGAAGTATGCAAAGACAAAGAAGCATCAGAGTGAAACAACTAAAGAGAAGAAGAAGCCATCACTGGAGAAGAAGACTGTTGAAGAATCTGACAATAATCAGAATAATCTGGTAAGAAATCTTTACTCTAATTTAAAACATGGGTTTTTCTAAAGGATTAAGCTTTATTCGAATTTAAAATATTTAGCTTAAAGATTCAGTTATTTCACTAGTTTTCTTGACTCAAACCAAGAAATTTAGTGTACTTTCTTTCTTGATTTCTTTCTAATGGATTTGTTTCTTTTTGAACAGGAAACGAAAGAAGAGAAGCAACATGCAGTGTTAACAAATTCAGGTTCGTCGAAATCAAAAACATGGAGGCCATCATTGCAGAGCATCTCTGAATCTACAAGTTGATGTTTTTTTTTTGTTTACTTGAGGGACAAGAAACAGAGTCTCTATGTGAGATCAACAAGAAGATAAAGAGATATAAACTCTCTCCTGAATAAACTATTTTCTTCTCTTATGTTCCAATTCTGGTTATTACATATAGGAGATGAAATTTTATAGATTAAGATGTAAAAACCTCTGCAGAGATTAAGAACTAAGTCCCTTTTCTTTTTGTCTCGTCAATGTAAATAAGTTCTCTAGATTAATAACAGATATTTCTGTTGGTGAGCTTTCTTCTACAATTTATTATGTCTTTTCCTTAATGTTTAGACAATTTCTTGGAATATAATAACTGTAGCAAAAAAGATAGAATTCAAACACATTTGTTGAATGAGTCCAAAAACATTTGATTAAGATGGATTTCTGTGAAATACAGTACTCCATAAATGGTTGTAAGAAGAGTTTCATTGAGTTGGAATGATCATTGGTAGGTAACACATCCTTTCAAGCATTTATGGGAAACCTATTTAATGAAAAATCAAATTACTACATTTGTGTTGGGATTATTGTGTTACCGAGAAACAGTAGACTTTTTACGAACTTGAAAATACAGTATTTCTTTGAATCAAAAGCATTAAATCAAAACTGAATTAAATTAAATAAACCAAAACGTATGGGCATTTGCATGAAACCTTATATCTCTGTTTTCTTTTTTTGTTCTATCTTCTAAGCTCTCTTCTTCATATCCTACTTAACAGCTTCTGAGACTTGCTATGTCACCTTGGAAACGTATCAATGTAACCATTTTCTTTATTTTATCCTTCTTATTTTGACTATCCAAACACCATCCTACAACTTCTTCTTTCATAAGGAAGTTGTAGGATGGTGTTTGGATAGTCAAATTAATACCCAAATTAATTGTAAATGTAAAATATCAATACATCTATGATCTATTTGAAGAAAAGGTAAACTAATCCATACTTTACTAGAAAAGAGAAAGAGTAAAATCTTTCTTTTTCATAAACCAAAACAAAACTTAGGAATGCCAATACAAACCTAAAAAATTTCAAATCGAACCGGAAATAAAATTGTCAAACCAACAATCAAGATTAAACCGAAATAACCCACTACCAAATTACCCCCAAATGGTTCCCCTTGATCATAATAGGAACCATATGATTCTGTAAATGTTAATGATAGGCCAATCACTCTTTTGGCCTTATCCAAAATCTTTTGTGGTTAGAATCATCTCTCTCTTAAGCCAATCTTTCTCTCTGTCTCTGTGGGTCTCTCTGTCCAGAGAGAAATGGCAGCTTTAACAGAAACTCTTCTCTGCTTCAACATCCATCATCATCAAACCAACCTCCTTCGTCGTTCATCTAACCAAACACTCCACTTTTCACCTCCAAAGCCTCTCTTGATCTCTTCACATGGCCGCTCTAACCGATTCAAAGCTCTCCCAGAGACAATCACAGTCAAATTGGAAAAGGAGGAGAAACAAGAAGACACAATCGCCGATCTTAACCCTCCTGCGAGCACTATCAACACAAAGCTCTACTTTGGGAACTTGCCTTACAACGTAGACAGTGCAACACTCGCTCAAATCATCCAAGACTTCGCAAACCCTGAGCTCGTCGAGGTTCTTTACAACAGAGACACAGGACAGAGCCGTGGATTCGCCTTTGTAACCATGAGCAATGTCGAAGACTGTAACATCATCATCGAAAACCTCGATGGAACTGTAAGTGAAGAAAGTTTGAAGCTTTAACAAACAAAAGGTCACATTTTTGGTTAAAAGTTTGAGACTTTACATTTTTGATTGAATTGTTAAGTTTAAAGCTTTAACAAACAAAATGTCACATTTTTGGTTAAAAGTTTGAGACTTTACATTTTGGGTTGAATTGTTTGATTGGTTTTTACTTCAGGAGTATCTTGGTAGGGCGTTGAAGGTGAACTTTGCAGACAAACCAAAGCCGAACAAAGAACCTCTGTATCCAGAAACAGAGTATAAGCTGTTTGTTGGTAACTTGTCATGGACGGTAACTTCAGAGTCATTAGCTGGAGCGTTTAGGGAATGTGGAGATGTGGTTGGAGCTAGGGTTGTGTTCGATGGAGATACAGGGAAGTCACGAGGTTATGGCTTTGTGTGTTACTCTTCTCAAGCGGAAATGGAAACAGCGCTTGAGTCTCTTGATGGGTTTGAGCTTGAGGGTCGTGCGATTCGAGTGAATCTTGCTCAAGGGAAGAAATACTGATAACTTCATACAAACAAACAACATTGTGAAATCATTTTTGAGTTTTCTTTTTTTACATTAGAGATTATGTTTCAACTGAACTAATTGACTCAAAAGATCAATAAAGTTTTATGCTTTAAGGTAATAAACTAATCAGTACCAATCCTTTTGGTCCAAACCAATCCTTAAAGTTTCATTCTTTAAAACCATTCCACAACAAGTTAATGTTAAACTTCATCAATTTGTGGGAGTTGGTGCGACTCAAAATCAACAGTAGAGAGAGACAAACTACAAATTGCAATTCTTTTCAATTTTTAAAAGACCAAAGGAATTTAAAACCTTAAAATGCAGAAAACTCCACACTTCCCCACTCACTCTCTTTATTGACGCAACTATGTGAGTGAATTCATCTCAAGAGTTTTCTGTGATTTTGAACCTCTCTCATGGCATCTTCTTCTTCTTCTTCTGCTTTGTCACGCACCTGGAGATACCGCGTCTTCACGAGCTTCCACGGCCCCGACGTCCGCAAATCCTTTCTCAGTCATTTACGCAAACAGTTCATCTGCAATGGGATTTCGATGTTCGACGACCAAGGAATCGAGAGAAGCCACACGATTAAACCCGAACTCACACGAGCGATTAAGGAATCGAGGATCTCGATCGTTGTGCTCTCCAAATACTATGCTTCTTCAGGATGGTGTTTGGATGAACTGTTGGAGATTATTAAGTGCAAGGAAGATAAGGGACAAATAGTGATGACGATCTTCTACGGAGTCGATCCCTCTGATGTGCGGAAACAAACCGGAGAGTTTGGGATCGCTTTCAACAAAACTTGTGCTGGCAAAACGGAGGAGGAGAGGCGGAGATGGAGCCAAGCTTTGACCGTCGTTGGCAACATCGCCGGAGAACACTTGCTAAACTGGTTTGTGTCTTACATGGAATTTTATCTCTACTCTTAATGTTTTTTAAGTTTGGAAATTTTGAGTTTGAAACTGAAAATCCGGATTGATAATGTTACAAATTTAAATGAATCAATTTTCATGTTAAATGTTGACTAATTGAAACCCAATTGGGTTAAGTCAACTATACTTTGAGAAATTATTTGTGTAATCAAGAGTTGGGAATAAAATGTGAAATTTGAAATTTCATAAAGTTGAGGAATTTTTTGGGCGTTTTACCCTCTATCATGACCATTTGAACGGAAACAGTGATTTTTTTCTTTCTCTTTGGTTAGGGACAACGAAGCGGAAATGATTGACAAGATTGCAAAAGATGTTTTAGGTCTACTAAATGTCACACCGTCTAGAGATTTTGATGGCATGGTTGGACTTGAGGCTCATTTGAGGGAAATGATGTCTTTGCTAGATTTAGATAATGAGGATGAAGCTATGATAGTTGGAATCTGGGGCCCTGCAGGGATTGGTAAGAGCATCATTGCTAGAGCTTTGCATAGTCGATTCTCTGGTAGCTTTCACCTGAGTTTCTTTGTGGACAAGCTTAGGGGAAGCTTTCACAGAGGTCTTGACGACTATGGTCAGCAGCTACGCTTACAAGAAGAGTTTTTGAACCAAAATGGTATGAGGAGGATACGCCATTTAGGTGCAGTGAAAGAGAATCTGTGCGACCAGAAAGTTCTTATCATTCTTGATGATGTGAACAATCTGAAGCAGTTAGAGGCGTTGGCTAATGAGACTACAAGGTTTGGTCCTGGAAGTAGGATTGTAGTGACCACAGAAAACCAAGAACTTTTGCAGCAACATGGTATCCACAATAGATACCACGTGCGGTTTCCATCCAGAAAAGAAGCTGTTGAGATCTTACATTCATATGCTTTTAAACAAAGCTCTCCTCTTTACGGTTTTAACAAGTTTTGTGAAAGGATAGCAGAGCTTTGTGGTAAGCTGCCATTGGCTCTGCGTGTGGTGGGTTCGACTCTACGTGGGAAGAAACAGGACGAATGGGAAGATGTGATGAACAGGCTGGAAACTATTCTTGATCGAGAGATCGAGGACGTGCTAAGAGTGGGCTATGAAGGTTTAGAGGAGAATGAGCAAACGTTGTTTCTCCACATTGCAGTCTTCTTCAACTATGGAAATGGTGATCTTGTGAAAGCCATGTTCGCTGACGGTAACTTGGATGTGAGACGCGGGTTAAAGATCCTAGTCAATAGATCTCTCATAGAGATGTCTACAAATGGCAAAACAATAGAGATGCACAGATTGCTAAAGCAAATGGCGAGACAAGCCATTCGTAAACAAGATCCTAGGAAACGCCAAATCTTAATGGATGCTCAGGAGATTTGTCATGTCCTCGAAAATGAAACAGTTACTTCTTTTCCCTTTTTTTTTCTGTTCAACAGTTACTTCTTTTCCTAAAACGAGTTCCTAACAATTTTTTTTTTTGTTGTTGTTATTTGGTTTAGGGTACTAGTGCTGTATCCGGTATATTATTTGATACATCAGGAATCAATGAAGTATCTATAGGCAAGAAAGCTTTTAAAAGAATGTCTAACCTTCGGTTCCTCAGAGTCTACAAAGGCAGATATGATGGGATTGATGGAATGTTTATACCAGAGGAGATTGAGTTTCCGCGTCAACTAAGATTAGTACACTGGGATGCATACCCAAGCAGGAGTCTTCCTCATACATTTCATCCGGAAAATCTTGTCATCCTCTGCATGCAAAATAGCCAGCTCGAGTACCTCTGGCAAGGGACCCAGGTTGGTTGGTGTTGTACTTTCTCTTCATGCTATTTGGTGTTCTCTCTCTCTGATATGTGGTTTTCCTACATCTTCAGCGGCTTACAAATCTCAAGAAGATGGATTTGGGGAGGTCTGTTCATTTGAAAGAATTCCCGGATCTTTCAAATGCTACAAATCTGGAGAGACTGGACCTTAGTGGCTGCGAGAGTTTGATAGAGATCCCATCCTCTTTTTCGCATCTTCAGAAACTTAAGTATTTGTATATGGTGAACTGCAGAAACATACAAGTCACTCCCCCTGACCTGAACTTGCCATCCCTAGAAATCATCGAGCTGCAAAGGTGCTCAAGGTTGAGAATTTTTCTATTCATTTCAGCGAAAGTCAGAGATGTGGATTTATCAGAAACATCGTTTGAAGAAGTGCCTCCATCAGTTAGCCTTTGCTCTGGTCTTGGAACGCTCAATATAAGCTGTGGAAAACTCAAGGGATTAACACATCTCCCCACGAGTTTATGGTGTCTAGACCTAAGCTATTCTGATATTGAAAAGATTCCAGATTGCATCAAAGCTCTTCATCGACTAAAAGGCCTTTCTCTAACTGGCTGCAGAAGACTCGCATCGTTGCCAGAGCTCCCTCGCTCACTCAACTACCTAAGGGGTAGAGATTGTGAATCGTTGGAGACAGTATTTTGCCCTTTGAATCTCACTCGAATTGCCGAACTCGAATTCACCAACTGTTTCAAATTGGGCCAACAAGCACGAAGGGAAATCATCCAACGTTCTTTATATGGATATGCTATCTTACCGGGAAGTCAAGTACCAGCAAATTTTAATCACAGAGGCAGAGGAAATTCATTGACCATTATAATTCCAGTTGGTAACAATCCATCTAGATTGAAGCTTTGCGTTGTGGTGTCACCCAACCATCAAACCTGGAAGTATAGAAGATATCCACAAAAGTTATTGTGCCGTCGAAAACCCGATATCGACGATAAGGTCTACGAAAGATCACTTTACTTTTTCGGTAGTCGAACGGAACATTTAATTATATTTGATTCGTTCTTGCCATTTATCGACCCCTCTGAAGTGAGCAGAGAGATAGTGTTGGAATTCAGTATCATACCCCAAGAAAACATTATTGAATGCGGTGCCTACATCTGGACTGACGAACCAATCGAAGAAAGCTATCCATCTGAAGTAGACCAAGTGTTTGAAGGCAACCATGATATCACCTCTATTGGGAGCTATGAGTTTGAACACAGCAAAGCCTCTGAAGATGACACCGAATCCGGAGACCGCACAAATGGAGTAACAATCTATGAATCAAAAGAAGAAGAGAAGCTCCAAGGCGAAGAACACACAGGTTGTTGGACTTGGCTCTTCCTCTGCTTCGATCTCTCTGGTTTTGTGAGAGACATCAGGAGCTTAGTTTCGGGAAGAAGGCGATAGAAGCTGATCTTGACGTTGTGAATTGTGAGATTCTGTTGCCTCAACTTTAATATCTCTACATTTCAACTTTTTTCTTCTTCTTCATGTATGTGAAACATTTCTGTTGCTGACACAAACAGTCATGTTGTTTGACGATCAAGGGCCCCTTTCACTCACATGACTGTCTCGGAGAACTATGCTTTGTCTACTGGTAGTTGAACGATTTGCTGGAGATTTTGGATTGCAAGAATGTCTTAGGAGGCTTTCAAATAGTAAATATGTACAAGGAGAGGCGGAAATGGAGCCAAGCCTTGAGTGATATGAGCAACATACTTGAAGAACACTTCCTAAGCTGGTTTGTCTATAAAACTAGCCAACTTTTCTTTCATAGGATCCATGTTTGTCTATAGTTGCATGAAACGATAGATTTTTAGAATTCTCCATGTAAATATGCTATGTTTTGGAGAGAAGTGTTCATTTTCAGTTAGTAACAAAAAACCTTTTTTCCTTAGAGAGCGTAGAGGAAAAATGAGTTAGTTGAAATGAGGAATTATCTCCTAATTTTATATTGTATCGCCCAACAGGCCAATAGTCTCCCTATAAACTTGAGATATAGTATATAGATGGAGTAATCATCTATGAATCGAAAGAAGAAGATAAGAAGGAAGGCGAAGATCACACAGATTGTTGGAGTTGGCTCTTCGGCTGTTTCCATATCTCTGATTTTGTGAAAGACATCAAAAGCTTGGTTTCGGGAAGAAGACGACAGAAGCTGATCATGACGTTGTCCGTTGAAACCAAGAACCTCGTCCTCCAGGTATATAAGAAATAGAAAACAGAGTCCTCTGTTTCGTAATCTTTAAGTTTTTTACTTGCAATACCACTAAAATCCCTTTCGTTGCAGACTGCTGGACACAGAGACCTTATTGAGGGAGACCCTTACTTGAAACAGAGAGTCAGGCTGCGTGACTCTTACATTACGACTCTCAACGTTTGCCAAGTCTACACATTGAAGAGGATCCGTGATATCCAAGCTACAATGTGACTCTTGCGACCACACATTTCCAAAGAGATCATGCAATCAAGAAAATCAGCACAAAAGAGCTTAACCCAACGAGTGAATACGCGCCTGGACTTGATGACACACTCATCTTAACCATGAAGGGTATTGCAATTACACAAAATAACAAACAAAATGTCACATGTTTTGGTTAAAAGTTTGAGACTTTACATTTTTGATTGAATTGTTTGATTGGTTTTTACTTCAGGAGTATCTTGGTAGGGCGTTGAAGGTGAATTATGCAGATGTGGACAAAGTATAAGCTGTTTGTTGGTAACTTGTCATGGACGGTAACTTCAGAGTCATTAGCTGGAGCGTTTAGGGAATGTGGAGATGTGGTTGGAGCTAGAGTTGTGTTCGATGGAGATACAGGGAAGTCACGAGGTTATGGCTTTGTGTGTTACTCTTCTCAAGCGGAAATGGAAACCGCGCTTCAGTCTCTTGATGGGTTTGAGCTAGAAGGACGTGCGATTCGAGTGAATTTGGCTCAAGGGAAGAAATACTGATGTCAATCATACAAACAAACAATCATTTTTGAGATTTTTGTTTTTTACATTAGAGATTATGTTTTCAACTGAACTAATTTACTCAAAGATCAGTAAAGTTTTATGCTTTAAGGTGATAACTAATCAGTACCAACCAAAGCTTTAATCTTCTTATAGTTTTAAGCTTTATACAGCAAAGAATCAATCAAAGCTTGAATCTTTTTTTCCTTCAACAAGAAGATCACCAAGAGGTGTTAACCGAACTAGCTTCCGTAAGCTAAATAGCTCTTTACACTCTCTCAGAATCAAAATTTGGTTTCTGTTTCATAAGCAAGACAATTTTTGGCCTTCTCAAGCTCCTTATACTATAAGCTAGCAAACTGAGTCTTCATGATCCTCTCAACTTTAGAGATATTATAGCTCAATGTTTTGAAAGAATACATAAACACAAAACACAATCCTCAAAGTCTCAGTAATTCCACAGAAAACATGCCATATTTTAAACTAAACCATTTCCCAACTAGCCTTAGAGAGGTTGTATAAGTCCTTACCATCTACTACATCACTCTTAATGATCTTAATTTTGTTCTTTCTGAATGTAGTTTATGTTTATGAGACTGATTCGATCTGATGAATGTTATCATGGTCGGTGAAGAGAGAACTGTTTAATGGCAACGGTGACAAAGAAAAAAGGGCCTTTTGGCGTTATAAAAAACATTCAGGGGTGAAAATATAAGAAACCAAAAGTAGAGAGGCAAAACGTTATAAACAAAAAAAAAGAGGCCTGTCAGACCGCCGTGCGACCACCCCCGGCAAGGCTAGGCCGAGCCGAGTAACGATCCTCTACAGCACCGGACACATACGAAGATGATCGTGGCCGTTAATCACGCTCCGATCGCACGGTCATGGTTCATCAACCAGGTTTAGGGGCCAGTCTCCTTAGAAATCAAGGATACTGAGGTACAAGCCTATAGAACAGATCCTGTTCAAGTAAGGTCGTGTCCCGTGTTGCTCTCTCACTCTTATTTAAACAACACAACTTGTCTCTATGTTACCGATGTGGGACAAAAGTAAACAACTTCACAAGCTCAATACGTCGTCGCTTCTTTACATCAACGAACTAATGCCTAATACGTCGGCGTTTTTGTTGACTCAATGTTAATAGTGAAGTGAAAATACTAAAACAAAGGTTTCGTCTTTGATTCTGATTTTGCTTAAACAGTTAAACCCTAAACCATTTTGTTATGCTGTTCTTAAGGAGCATGCACTTGCTCATGTTGATTATATTTCTGTGTTGATATGGAGTTGTGGTTGTAAGTGAATGAAGATTTGAGTGAAATGACCATAGGTGGCGCAATTGAAACGGAGTGAATAAACAAGGTTGACAAAGAAATGGTCCGGTGGATAGAGCAGCCGATTGTAGCTCAGTTAGAAGTCATCGCATAATTGGTTACGTATATTAACGTATGTGATCTATAATGTTTGCATAAATATGCCAAAAATCACATGAAAGTCACAAGATTACGTTTTCTGCTAGACAATGGATCGTCGCTGTTATACGGTAACATTTTGACATATTTGTGCCATCCTAGTTCTTCCTAAAAGGCTAAAAGACAAATGATAAGATTGTCAAACGTTATAAAACGGGAGAAAAACAGAGAAACAAAGAACTTTACACACACAAAGGAGAGAAGCGAAAAAGAAACTACTAACGTTTTCTCTGGAATGTAAAGTCACATTTATAATAGAGAAAACTGGCAAGTTCCAAAACAAAAATAAAAAAATAAAATCTGGCTTTTCGGATTTAGTAGGAACAAAAACAACAAATCTGGCAAGTTATCATCTGATTAATCAGAGAAGTGCGAAGGACCAACCATCGCTGAAGCCGAATTTCATCATCGCTCATTGCACCAGCCGGGAATCGAACCCGGGTCTGTACCGTGGCAGGGTACTATTCTACCACTAGACCACTGGTGCTTTTTGTTTAATGTATTCCTTTTAATGATTTATAATATAAATGAAATAGCTCAAAATTATGGATTAGCAAGATGTTTGAATTATTTGTATATATAATCTGATGTTAGTTACCACAAAGACCTTTGCTGTGCCCACACAAGTACTACTATTGCAGTCATATTCTAGACAAACATAAATCTCCATTTAGTAAACATGTAAATTCGTTGGGTCATGGGGCTACTTATAGCAGCTTACATGAATATTAAATGGTGTCTTGTGGCTTCGTCCTCCTATTACAGTCACTTATATTCCCACTCTTCAGCTCAAGCAATTCACACAAGTAAAGACCTTGATGCTTATGGAAAGGAAGAATGTTACTTGTCTCATACTCTAAGACACTTACACAACTTTCTCTTTGCTTTTTCTATCCTCTAGTTGCTTTAACTCCTAAAGCCTAAGATGAATAAGGTTTGGAGCGAACAGCAGCCACATCAAAATCCTTTGAACTATCACATCCTCCTGCTTCACTCTAACAGAGTTTTGCCAGCTACGAGTGATCTCTGTCACGTCTCCATAAAGTATTATGAAATGTGGGAAGATAAATAATGAGAAGAACACCATGGGATAAAAATTATAACAAGTCTGATCAAGAATTTTACCAGGCTCTGCAAGAGTGTCCCAAAGTCTGTTAAGATGTCACAATAGCAAAAAGCAAAACTGTTAACTTTTAGCGCCTTGGCTAGAAACTCAACATTTGAGTCAATCAAAGCTTTCTTCCTTTTCATTTAACAAGAGCCTTAGCTGCCAAGACAACTCTTAACTAGGTCAACCAGTGGAAACACCATCAATTGATGAGAGACAAAAAGATTAGCCTGTCAGACCGCCGGGCAACCACCCCAGCAAGGACTAGGCCAACAATCCTCTACCGCACCAGACACATCCGAAGATGATCGTGGCTGTTAATCACGCTCCGATCGCACGGTCATGACTCATCAACCAGGGTTTGGGGCCTGTCTCCTTAGAAATCAAGGATTCAAAGGTACGAGCCTATAGGAAAGATCCTGTTCAAGTAAGGTCGTGACCTTGATTGCTCTCTCACTCTTATATAAACAACATAACTTATCTTTACGTTACCAATGTGGGACAAAATAAACAACTTCACATGTCTATTAGTATTACGTCGTCGTTTACCTACCTCAACGACGTATTATTACTTCCTATTACGTCTTCGTGTCTCCTATCTCAATGAACTTGAAACAAATGATTGTAACTCATGATTCTCTGACACTCTAAAGGTATTGTCTCAGATGTTCAATATCTCCTTCGCTGTCCCTTATGGTTCTGTTGGGATGAGAAATGTGTTTGTGGATTTGGTAAATAACTTATCGTTTTATCCCCTATTTAATCCCCTATATAGATTTCAGGATGTTGTAGTTTTGATATGGCGAATCAGAAAACAAGAACTTAGATTGATGATACCTTAGCGAAATCAACCGAGAATGTAGAGTCCTCGTGGAAAACAAAGGCTCCTTTTTCATACAACCAGTTGAATTGCAACGCTTGTCCTTTCCTTGAGCCCAAAGAGGTCATTATGTTAGGAGGTTGGATTATATAAGGCAGAGATTATCGGTATCATTCATTACCCATGAGCTTCTGTGAGACCAAACCGGATGGATCGAAAGCAGCCAGCTAGGAAAGAAACATACATACTCTCCAGCATACTCTTGGAAAGCAGACCCTGTTGATTCACACACACAAACAGAACCAGAAAGATTTGGCTCAAGATGAATCAAGGTTTTGCAAACCTGGAATTAGATGAACAAACTTCCGTTGACCTTGGTGATGAGAAACTTGAGTGCCCCAAAGACCAACTATATCTGCCTTTGCTTCTTGTAATTCTTAGACCAAAGGGAAATTCAGATAAAAACAAAGGTAAAACTACCAAGTCACATGGCAAAGGATTCTTTAATTAGATGTCTGTATTATTGTAGAAAATAAGTTTGACAATCACGAAGTGTTATGGAATGGGGACTAATGCCATGGCAACAAACGGTGTGATTGAAATCAAAATCAACATATCATTTCTGTTCTTTGATAATGATAATTTCAGCTATAGAATTTTGAATTTGCTCAAAACTAGGAAATAAAAGGCTTACATAACTATAACCAAATTTACCAAACATTCAGATAGGGCATAGAGAGAGGTCGGTGGTCTCGGAAGGCAGAGGCACGTCGGTTGTCTCTTCAGCCAAAGCCACGGAAGTGGAGAGCAAAAAACATCATGAGTTAGAGAGCAAAAAAGCACAAAAAGCACAAAAAAACCTATAAAACACTTATCCAAAAAACATAAACTTACGCTTGGCCACAACAACTACACCACCATGAGCCTCCTCAACCTACAGAGACAAAGTGATGTCAATTCATGTTTGCTTTTCGTGGATAAATCATTAATAAACCTATAAACCAGAGCAAAAACAGAGCACAAAAAACTATAAACTTACATGAGCCCCAACTACACCACCATGAGCCACAACTACAACACCGGGAGCCACCTCAACTACACCACCATGAGCCTCCTCAACCTGCTCCTCAACCTGCATAGACAAAGTGTATAAAATTTTTCTTACAAAAACAGAAGTATTTTGATATGTATGTATAAGAAATACAATCTAATTTACGAAACTAAAATTGGAATAAAATAATTAAGGTCATGTAAGCTATCACAAACACAAATAAAGTAAAAACTCTATAAATTAATACTCGATAAATTAATAAAATCTCTCGGTCCCAAGTCGGGCCAATGTAAAATATGACACAATTCGTTAAGATAATAAGATAATAACTTAAAAAAAACTCTTATGTAAAATATGGTCCCAATAATATCATAAATTAATAATTATCATATAAAACTTATATATATATATATATATATATAAGGAAATGTTTAAAAAAAAAATTAAAACAATATGGCAAGTATGAGAAAATGTAAACAATAAAATAACTATAGAAACATAATAAAAATAAGAAAATATATGTATAAAGGTAAGTTCTTATTTAATTTGAAGGAAATTTAAAGGATTGTTAATATTGAATTTTCTTTTTCTAAAAAATAGTTTTTAGTCAAAATTGATATATTAATAACTCTGTAAATTAATAAATTATTTCTACTGTATGTAAAGAAGATGTTGTACTATTCGAAAAATGTGATTCTACATTTGAAATATATGCTCCCACTTCCTTTTTTTATTGCAACAATTTCACTCCAGTTTCTTTTTTTGTTAAAATTTCAGTGCATTTTCTTTCAAATTAGCTCATAGTTTCCAGCTTGCTACAGAGGCGAAACATTCTTCGACCAGCTGATATTATTCTTTTTAATTTTCTAGTTTTTGTCAAAGAAAACAAGGGAAAAGGATAAAAGGATCGAGAAATCTCTCCTCAACCCACAAACACCGAGTATTAAGAGTAGAAACCAAAATATATAAAGAATTGGACTCTTTTTTTTTTGCTTTTCACTGCACATAAGAAGAAAAAAAGAAAGGTTTTCATTTGGAAGCCCTGTGAGCTAGTGGCTTGGATTGGGTTTAGGGTTTAGGGTTTCGGATTGGCTTGGATTGGGTCCAAGTTGCTGCTGATGACATGACTCGTAAGCGGCCAGCAATCTCAGTGAAAGATGGTCTCGCCATTGGGTTTGGCGCCCAACAATCCTCCATTAGTGTTTTCCATTCATCGTAAACGATATAAGTTATTTACCATATCAAAAGTAAAGTTATTTACCATATACGTAACTTATATGAAGACAGAATACGTCGAATTAAATCTATATTATAAGATGTGAACATAATATTTTGCAACAGAGTAATGAACGGAAAGAAAAATTTGTTCGAGATAGTGTAACATTTTGGGAAACTAATGCTAGTAGCCTAGTACCATCTCTTCTACTACTAGGTTTATGTTGCTTGCGTAGGAAGACATCCCTTTGCTCAATAATGATTGCAAAACCAGACAAGGTTACCAGACAAGGTTCTTTGTTCTTGTCCTCAAAACGAAAAGGAAAAGAAAAAAAAGAGAGCTCAGTTACATGGCCAATTATCATCTGAAGAATCAGAGAGGTGCGAAGGACCAAGCTTCGCTAGCCGAAATTCATCATAGCTCAGTGCACCAGCCGGGAATCGAACCCGGGTCTGTACCGTGGCAGGGTACTATTCTACCACTAGACCACTGGTGCTTTTTGTTTAACGCATTCCCATTAGGTTTATAATGTAAATTACATAGTTCAATGGATTAATAAATTGTTGAATTCACCTATGCTTTTAATTTTCTTCTATGCCATTTTGTATTATAATAATCAGATGTTGTTTGTTCTTTTAATAATTACTTGGCGGACAATTATGAAACCAAAATTTAACAATTACAACACATATCTTTGATTGTAACTAGACAAGTACTACTACATATTGATACTATTGTACTCATATTCAGATATTCTAGACAAACAAATATATCAATTTAGTAAGCATGTGGTTTGGGTCTTGAGGCTACTCATTGCAGCTTACATAAGAGTAAGAAACGGTGTCTTGTGATTTTCATTGTACCATTAAAAAGGAACGCTTACTTTTGCTGTTTTGAGTTGTATGCTTATGAAATGTATATCATATCAGTGTTTAAGATAGTTTATCAAGTTTTTTGGTCAAACGTTTGCCTTAAAAAGATGGTCTTTTAAAATTGTGGACATTTACATTCGTGTTCAGTCCGATTTTTATTTTCAGGTTACATTGAGGTTTGTTTCATGAACATTTGTTTTTTTAGTTAATTTTTTTTTTCTACCCTTCACATTATTGCTTTTCTGATGGTAGATATTTTATGAAGTTTATAATAGCTCATAGCTGTATAAGCTGGTTTATGACGTTTTTGGGTCGAGAGAGATATATATCGTTTGCTTTTCTGATGGTAGATATGTTAGCGTTTGTTTACAGTGGGGTTTGTTTTTCAGTGATGCGGATCTTCATGTCGAAGCCGTGAGTGGTATACGTCGTGAGCGGTCTCAATAATGATGCACGGTTGTGGATGACAAGGGCTTTCTTGATCGCGCCGTGGCTTATATTAATCTGAAGAAAGTCACGAAGGAGTAAAACCAATAATCATGTATTTTTTTAAAAATGTACCTTCTGAAAAAAATATTACTATTTGCTAAATGTTATCTTATTATTTGCCTAAAATTGTTTGTTTATTGAAACCTATTGATGAGTGTTCACGAAAGATTTTTTTCTATTACATTGTTGTGCATAATGCATTTAAATTGTCACAGTCAAATTTAGATATAAAAGTCAAGGTGTTATTTTCTTAGGCGCTTATTTGAATGTTTGATTAAAATTCTTGAGTCAGTGCGTTATCTAGTTAATAATAAGTTAAAAAAACACATTTTTAAAAATCTTTATTAATTTAGTGTTATTTCTTGAGTTGTACATGTGTTTTTAACTTTGATTTTGCTTACTCATTAAGAAAGTTTGTAATTTTATAGGTCCTAAACACAACTTTAAAGTTTTTTTTTATTGGAGAAGAAAACAAGAGTTGGGTGCTTAGATGATTGTGTTATACTGTTATTAATGGTTTTGAACTTAATTAATCCATTTAAATAAGAAACCAGTAAGTGTTTTTTCACAGGTAAAAACAAACAAATAGGAAAATAAACTCTTAACTTGAAAATTCTTGGCATCCCCTTGATCAAACAAAATGTGAAATGCAAAAAGAAGAGTTCATAGACGGTTTTACTTTGCAAAAAAAAAAAAAAAAATTGTTGTTTAACTAAACTCATATACTTGTTTAGTGGTTAAATCATTTTTTTTGTTTTTTTTTTATAAAATCCAAATGCTCAACCAAAATTAACAGAAGAACATAAAATCCCCTCAATTCATTAAAGTTGATGTTCAAGCAAATTAACCAGAAACAAATAAAATCCATATTGCTCAAGCAATCCATATTGAACTGATTACATTCCACATTATTCAAAAGGGAAATCCTAAAGAAAACCTCTCAACTCTCAAGGGATTATGCGTATCGGAAAGCGGCGAGGAGGCATTTGGAAGTAAACGAGATCTAGAAACAGGCTGAAAGAGACAAATTAAGAGACTAGTGTTTAAATCATTGGTTTTCAAATTTTGGAAGATGAGAAGAATATACCTATCTCTGGTGTCATTAGACCGAGTAACCTTTGGGAGACTGACACTGCACACCATATGTACATTATGTTCCAACAAAGTCTCTGAACGTACATCATCATGTTACAAAGCTAACCATTCAACTTCCAATTTTCCGATGAATTCCTAGTTATGGATTTATAGTTAAGTTACAATGTTATTATCGTGCAGATTGAATATATTAAATTGTCACAATATCAAATTTAATATTTAAAGTTCCATGTGTTATTTTTTAAAACGTTTATTTGAATGTTAAATTATGAGTCAGTAGGTCTAGTTGCTAGGTTAAAACGACATGCATTTTTTTAAAAAGAAAAACCATTCAACTTCCAATTTTCCACTGATTTTATTTCTCAAGAACCGCTTACTATTGGACCAACACGACGTCTATGAAAACTTTTTCATTGGGCGAACGAAGGAAAAAGTTGGCAGGGGTCTTTTGCATTTACAAAAAGTTAGGGGGTGAAATCATAAGAAACCGAAACTTGGGAGGCAAAAAGTATAAAAAGATGATCTGTCAGACCGCCGTGCAACCACCCCGACAAAGACTACGCCGAGCCGAGTAACGATCCTCTATAGCATCGGACACATCCGAAAATGATCGTGGCCGTTAATCACGCTCTGATCGCACGGTCATGGTTCATCAACCAGGTTTAGAGGCCAGTCTCCTTAGAAATCAAGGATATTGAAGTACGAGTCTATAAAACAGATCCTGTTCAAGTAAGGTCGTATCTTATGTTGCTCTCTTAGAGCAGATACAACGGACATATTCTCATAGGCTCTAATAGACTCTAGTTTAAAAAGAAAAAGAATAATGACATGGCAAGATTTTAAGTGTGATACGTTTCTCCCGGAAGCGATTATAGAAACAACCTGAAACAGATTTCTACATGTGTCATCACACAGTTGGTCAGACTTATTTTTTTCATTTTTCTTCCCAAAATCATTTATTTTTAGTTACTAAAGAAACCCTTTTGCATATCTCCGTTGCATGTGCTCTTACTCTTATTTAAAAAACACAACTTATCTCAAACTTACCGATGTGGGACAAATTTAACATCTTCTTCATAAGCCCGATACGTCGTCGCTTCATTACATCAACGAACTAATCCCTAATACGTCGACGTTTGTTACCTCAATGTTAATAGTGAAGTGAAGAGACTGAAACAAAAGGTTTCGTCTTTGATTCTCATTTCTGCTTAAACCCTAAACCCTTTTTGGATTAGGTTTCTTCTTCCAATATCTTATCCGCCGTGATTCGCATTTCATATGTTAAATTTCCGGTTAGATTTACTTGTGAATTTTGAGAATTGAGATGATTCTCTCACGCTCTGTCTCTGTTCTTCATTTCTACGGAGTTTCTTCCACGACGCCGAAGCTCTTATCCCAAAGATTCAAGGTCTCGTTCGGCTCTTCTGCGTCTCTCCGTTTGATCTCTTCTCTCAATCGATCCGATGGGAAGAAATGGGTTCGAGGGTTTGCCTCTGATACTGAAGCTGAAGTAGAGAGAAAGGGCAATGATACGTTCTACGCGGACAATGCTGTCTCGTGGAAGTCTCTTGGGTTATCAGATAAAGTCTCTGTGGCTCTTCGTGATTCTGGGTTTGGAAGACCTTCTCTCACTCAGGTAAAAGTTTTCAACTTTTTGTGAATTTCAAAAATTGAAACTTTGAGAAATGAGAATCACTTGTTGATTGTGAAATGATAAGTTAAATTTGGCAGCTTTTGTGAAAGTTTCAGATTGTGTGAGTGAAGTTATGAGAAATTGTTTTCCAATTGATTGACTTTATGTTGTTCTGTCAAATTTTCTGAATTGAAATTGTGGAAAGAGAGAAACTTTTTTTTCACTACTCAGTTTCAAAGGCAAATTGTAAAGTTTTTATCTTTTTGTGAATTTCAAAATCGAAACTTTGAGAATCAGTTGTTGATTGTGAAATGTTAAATTTGGAAGCTTTTGTGAAAGTTTCAGATTCTGTGAGTGAAGTTTTGAGAAATTGTTTTCCAATTGATTGACTTTTATGTGGAAAGAAATAAACTTTTTTCACCACTCAGTTTCAAAGGCAAACATTGTGAATCTGAGACTGATTCTGTACTGTTTTGATCTGTTAGGCTGTTTGCATACCTTCAATATTATCCGGGAAAGATGTGATTGTTGCAGCAGAAACTGGTAGTGGCAAAACACATGGATATCTTGCTCCAATCATCGATCAATTAACCAACAATGCTCTTGACTCCGAGCATATGGATAGAGAGGAAAGGCCGAGACAACTGAAGAACATCTCTCTGATTCTGTGCCCCAACGTGATGCTCTGCGAGCAAGTTGTTCGGATGGTTAATGGTCTTCTTGGTGAAGATGGTAATCCACTTCTCAGAGTTGAAGCTGTTTGTGGCTCACAGGTAAATAGTTTGAGAAGCAAATATATGTGTTTGTGTCTGGTTGAATATAGCTGAATGTGGAAGCTGTGTGTTTGTTTTGGCTGCAGGGTTGGCCAGATAAACAGCCTGATATCATTGTTTCAACACCAGCTGCTCTTCTGAATAACATTGAGCCAAAAAGAAACAGGCGTGTGGAGTTTCTTCGTTCTGTCAAATATGTGGTATGGTTTCTTCTATTGTGTTCTGACTTCTGAGTGCTTTTGGAATTGAAGATCTCTTGCTGAGTGTTTGGTTCACTTGCGCAGGTCTTTGATGAAGCTGATATGCTTCTGTGCGGAAGCTTCCAGAATCAGATTATCCGTCTGATAGACATGATGCGTTTCGATGAGAAGCAAGTGTCTCGTTTAGCTACTTCGAACATCACCAAGCCAGTGGAGCTTGATGCGGATTCTCTAGTCCCAGTTGATTCAGAAGCTGAGGATGATGATGATGCTGATTTCGAAGACGAGTCTATATCTATCTCTGATGAAGAGGAAGAGGAAGAGGAAGAGGAGTATCTTGATGATATAACCGCACAAACACCCACCATTGATAATGGAACTGGTCCTGACATTAGAAAGGGATGGAGGAGAGTGAGAAAGATCTATACACGTAGCAAGCAGTATGTCTTCATTGCAGCTACTCTTCCGGTTAACGGAAAGAAAACCGCCGGTGGACTTCTGAAGCATATGTTTCCAGATGCTGTTTGGGTTAGCGGTAACTTCCTTCACCGTAACAGTCCTAGGTGAAAAAGCTTCTCTCTTTCATATCATATTCTGCATTACTCTCTCCTTTAAGCTCTTGGTTTGCAAGTGATTCCTTGAATGTTTCTGAGAAACTACATGGGCAAATCTGCTTCTCTTGGTTAATACTTAGTATTGGTTTGTTATGTTGCAAGTGAAAAGCTTCTCTCTTTCATATCATTTCTGCATTAGTCTCTCCTTTAAGCTCTTGGTTTGCAAGTGAATCCTAGAATGTTCTTAAGAAACTACGTTGGCAAATTTGCTTCTCTTGGTTAATTACTTATTATTGGTTTGTTATTTGTCTTTGCTATGTTGCAGACTAAAGCAGAAATGGGTAGAAGTGACAGTAGACACACAAGTTGATGCTCTAATAGAAGCTGTAAGCAGCAACAACAGCAACAACAACACAGAGAGGACAATGGTGTTTGCAAATACCGTTGAGGCGGTTGAAGCAGTAGCCGATGTGTTAGAGAAAGCTAGTATCCAGTGTTATCGTTACCACAAGAACCACACGCTGGAAGAACGTGCTAATATCTTAGCTGATTTCAGAGAAAACGGCGGTGTCTTTGTATGTACTGATGCTGCTGCTCGTGGAGTTGATGTTCCTAATGTCTCACACGTTATTCAGGTTAACTTTTTAAACACTCTCCAAAGTTAGTCAGGTCTGTTCAAAGCCGTTTATGAAGTTCTTGGTGCGATTGTAGGCGGATTTTTCGAGCTGTGCAGTGGATTTCCTTCACAGGATAGGTCGAACAGCTAGAGCTGGGCAGTATGGAACGGTGACTAGTCTATACACCGAGGCTAACCGGGATTTGGTGGATGCAATCCGTCAAGCAGTGAAGACCGGTCAGCCAGTGGTATAAACTCTATTAGACTCCCATATGATCTCAGTTCTTAGTAGAATCTACATTGCAATAGCAATTAGCAGGTTCCTTCTGGTGTATTCATTCTTGTGTTGTTATGTTTATGTCAAATATTCAGGAAACTGCATTCAGCAGGAAAAGAGGGTTCAGGAACAAGCTTAAGAAGAGAGGTAAATAAACAAGAATCCATAGTTGCAAAAACATTGAGAAGCTAATGATAAAGAAAGCATTGTGATTTTTGTGTCAAATGTTTCAGCTTTTTTGAAAGCTGGAGAAGCAGAGGAGCCTCAAGCTGTGGGAGTTTAAGAGTTACCCCTCTGATTGTGTTTTAAAAAAAATATAATTTATGTTGTTTTTTTTTTTTTTTTTCATATAGGCTTTGTTGTATATAAAATTTCCGCAGAATCAAATAATCACACTCTTTTATTATTCCAACGTTCCAAATTTCAGCTGAGTTACTGTTAATTATCAATATTGGCAAATTCTAAGCAGTTTCTACCAAAGCAATTGAAAACAAAAACTCATGCTTGAATTTCAAAAATCATCAGTTTTGCATTTTCTTTTAATTTTTAAACTATGTAATGTTGATAGACATGATTTCGCCCCTGAAATTCGGTTCATAATAGTTTATCATTCCGATCCAGAATTCCAGAATTTCGGACGAAGTGTCAGAATCTGAACCCAAAAAGATAGCTTCAAGCCTATCAAGTGTCATCGTTCAGGTCCGGCTAAAAGCCATCTGAGCTTCTTTTCATAATAAAGATGAGCTCTACCTCGACGAAGATCAGAACGAGTCAGGTTGGCTTCGACTCAGGCCCTGACCAGTATTTTCGTAGGTCCAATGCAATAGTTCCAATTTTGCAAGAATAAATAACATAAAATTGAAAATAAGACCTTAAAGTTTTGAAAAGGACTCTGAAATGTCACATAATTTTCAAAAAACAAATTAGTCCCTCTGCAAATGCACCCTTGGTACATGCTAAGGGCCTGCTTCGACTTATGGAGATATAAAAAGGGCACAACGTCAGTTCTGACCGAAAATATTTTCTTTGTTATTTGTTTTTTTATATTTGTTTTAGTTGTTAATTACACCCATTTCGTCTTGCTATTTCTTACATATTTTAACTCCATGTTTGGTGCATATCTAAATCTAGTAGTTAATTATGCTGTAATCTGTCACAATGAGGTGGTTGTGTCGGTAAGGTCAACGACTGTCGGTAATACCAATTAGGAAAAACAATTAATATTATAAGACCTCTATCATCAAGTCATATAATTTTTGTATCAAATCCAAAAGTTGAGTTAGCAAAGAAGCATACAGCTCACATGAGAGAAGGAGAACTTTTCTGACTTTTGATCTTACTCAATCTTTCAAGTTTATCCAACAAAAAAATCAAGTCGATCATATACTCACTATGGAGCAACAAAATCGTAAAGTGAAGATTACTTGCACTCATCGTTTACGATACCAGGTATTGAGCTGGGCCAAATCTTCAGAGAAATATGAGTACCGTGAACGAGCGGTTAAGTGCGGTGGATGCGATTCATCAGAGTATTGGGGCTATTACTGTTCAATCTGCGAGTTTGGGGTGCATGAGGAATGCATCGACTATCCAGACATCGTCAACCACCGGTGTCACACCAGACATCCACTCAAGAAAGTCTCAACCAAGACAGTTGGCTATACAGATGGTACATGCCACTTTTGTATGGGAGATCTTGGTGATGAGATGTATCATTGTGCTTTATGTAATTTCAGCATAGATTTGCGCTGTTGGGTAGATGGGCCACAAGTTACAATTTACCAACCAAAGAGCCACAACCATACATTCACCATCATGCCTATAAAGGTCTCTTTCACTTGCACTGCTTGTGGGATGGGTGGTGACCGAAATCCTTACGTTTGTCTTGAATGTGGTTTCATGCTTCATGAAGATTGTATCGGTTTACCTAGAGTAATAAACATCAATCGTCATGACCACCGCATTTCTCGCACTTATCATCTTGGTCACGGCGATTGGGAATGTGGAGTTTGTCGGGAGAAGATGGATTGGAGTTTTGGAGGGTTTTCTTGCAAGCGTTGTCCTAGTTACGCTGTTCATTCAAAGTGTGCAACAAGAAGAGATGTGTGGGATGGAAAAGAACTTGAAGATGTACCTGAAGAAGAGGAGGAAGAAGATCCATACAAGGTAATAGATGAGAATGAAATCATTCATATGAGTCATGAACATAATCTAAGGCTTCTAAGGCTTGGTGATGACAATGACACCATTTTTGAAAAGATGTTGTGTGATGCTTGCATCCTTCCCGTTAGCTCTGATGCATTCTTCAAATGTGTGCAATGCGAATTCTTCCTTCATAAAGAATGTGCTAGTCTTCCTAGGAAGAAACGGAATATTATGCATGAGCACAAGCTTACTTTGAAGGTTGATTGTATTGAAGGCAAACATTTCAAGTGTACATATTGCCTTGAATTCTTCGATGGGTTTAGGTACGAGTGTGATTATTCACACTTCGAATGGAAATATATTTTATGTGTGCGGTGTGCTTCTATTTATGAGCCTTTTCACCATGAACTACATCCACATCCTTTGTACCGTATCTCGACTAAGAAAAAGGCTTGTGGAGCATGTGGGCAAGATTCAAGGTATGTCTTAAGCTGTACTGTTTGTGAGTTCGCTCTGGGGATGGAGTGTGCCAATTTACCAAGAAAATGGAAACACAGATGCGACGATCATGTTTTGTCGTTGCATCATGGAGCTGGAAGCTCCATTGGTCTATTGTGGTGTGATATTTGTGAGGCAAAGACGGATCCGACCGTATGGTTTTATGGCTGTGATGATTGTGGGGTTACTCTCCATACAAAGTGTGTTCTTGGAGAAATATTTCACTTGAAGCCAGTGAAGAGATACATTGGAGGTGAAATAGTTTCCAACGTTAGTATGAGTAGACCACCTTGCGTTGTTTGTGAAAAGCGTTGCATGTTCCCTTCCTTTCTTCGGGGTCTTTATTGGTACACAAAACCAAACAATGAAGTCTGTTCAGTTGATGTACACGCATGTTCAGTCAAGTGTACGAAAGGATGCTACCTATGGGGGGACTGGGAGTGGCGTGGCGACCAAGTATAAAGAATGGTGCGGGAGAAATGGTGACTCTAGTCTCTATATATGCTTGGTAATTCATTTTTGCTTCTATTGTAAATTGTAATGCAATCTTTTAAATTTAATAATTGTAATGCAAGAAGATTAAGGATCTTTAGTGTTTTATTTATTTAGATTACCTGTCTAAATTTGGTGATGAAGTTGTTTTCAAGGTTTATTGATGAAACAATGACATCTTCATTCTCCTTTAGACCTTGAGCAATGGCGAATCATAACAAAAATATCAGAGTTTTGCATTTACTGGAATCTCTAAATTCTACATCAGTAAAATTGAAAACGCATTATTTTAATTAAATCACCTTTTCCCCCTAAAAAATGGGAAAATCGCAAATACAAAACCAAGAAATTTTTGTTTCACGAAAAAACCAACAAAAATGTTAATAAATGTATATGTTTTCAGTTAAGTGCTAATTAAACCATGCATGTATCTATGTTTGAATGATTACAAGTCAGATTTAAACATAAAACTGAATCAATATCAAATCACTTCACATCAGTAAATCTATCTTTAACTGAAAATATAATATAAAATAAATATCCACAAGCTAATGTTAAAAACATAACATCCAATAAATCATAAACGAAAAAATCAAACCATAAATCTTGTACCTTGTATGTCGAGACAAATTCGATTGTCATCTCAATAACTTAATAATTAGTGAAGACATTGCCTATTCGAGCACGTTTGTTAGAATTTAACAGTCTTAAGTCAGCTAAAAAAAAAAAAAAATGAATTTTACAATTAACAAAATCTTGGACCACTCCCCTAGATATGCGAATCTTAGCGATGTCCATAAGCGATTAAATAAATAAAATGCATTCATTCGTAAGAAAAAAAAAAAAACCTTATATAATAGTCGGTCACATAGCTAAAACAATAAAATGAAATCAATAAACCAAATTATAGTTCTAAAACATAATTTTTCTTTCTTTCTTTCTTTTCCACAAAATCGTTGACCTAACTTTCAAAATCATTGTTCTTGATCAGTTCTCCTTTGATGGAATAAGATAGCTAGATCACTCAATATTCATTGTGACATAGTCGAACTAACACAAAATTTTATCAGCTTCAACTTTGAAAATCTCCTTTCAGCAGATGCAATCGAAAGCGGAATCATTAATAATATCCTATAACGATCCATGAGTTTGGATAAAAATCCTCAACATTTTTCACAAAGTCTAACACTTCAATATGTCTCTTAACTTCTTTTGGTAAAGCTTCTTTTAGAACTCTACGTTCACAAAAAAAAAATCATGACCATATACATAATTAGTTAACTACTGAAATCAACAATATAAAGTTATATAACTAATTGCCTATACATTAACTTAAAAAGATTGCTGCCCAGAATTGTTTTGTTTTTAGCTGCCGTAAGCAATTTTTTGTTTGTGGGTTAAATGTTACCATAAGCAAAAGTTTCCTTCAGCATAACGTACGCACGGCTCTAGCACAGCATAAAATGGCCACGTTTTAAGCAAACGATGAGATAATTTAAGTCATAGGAAGATGGATCCATAGTTAATGCTCATCCAACTCATTTCCCTCTTCTATCTTCTCTTCTTGTTTTGTTACGTAATACATATTTCTAGCTAATGCTTCTATATAAATGGAGCAGAAGATTGAGTCTATACCATTTTCGCTACTGTTAAAAATTCTCAACAATAGAATTTAGGAATTTCGTTTCTCTTTAGAAGACTTTCCCAATGGTGGGTGGGTCATTCCCTATCACACAGGTAAATTTTTATCAGCTTATAATATATCAACTGTTACAGATTGTTCAATCAAATTATTATTTATATAATGAAAACATAATTCAAAATTTTGGGAACGTACTTTGATCATACTAGTTGTCTTTAGTTTGTAATTATGTCATTTTATCAAGATGTTTAAGATGAATTTAGAAAATTTTGGAGGGATTATATGTATATACGTTTATATAGGAGGTGTGGAGGAACTATGTTGGGAAGGTTTTTAGACATAGAAATGGCGATTAAATTGAAGCCAGTAAACAACAGTTTTTCGACCATCGACCATTAACTGGCTTTATTTATTTATTTCGTGTGTAAAGGCAAAAGAAGAAGAAACGAGAAGGCACCCTGTGCTGGCCAAACCTTTTGACTTGGAAGATGAGAAAGATTACGAATACAAAGCTTTGGATGTCGTCCGTAATTTCCTCAGCCTTATCAAGAACGTACGCCTAGGATCCGATCTCACTTATTTGCAGGTGTAATTCTTTTTACCACATTACAGAATGACAATTGGTTGTTTTTTGTTTTTTTTTCAAAAAATGTAAAAAGCGTATATAGTAAAGAAAATTAAGTACTGTACGTTAATTATTAGTTATATTTCAATTAAAAAAAAAGCTATATCATCAAATCTCTCTAGCAGTTGGAAACGTTAAAATTTCTGTACAAAACACGTCATTTTCCATAATTTCTTTTTTTCCGTACAAAACACGTCATTTAAACGTTATTTGTTTTTTTTTTTAACTCAAACTTAACTTCATTTAGATTATGTAACACTTGTTCCTCATAAACGAAGAGTATTAATTTATTTTCTTTGAACATAAAGCTACCACCTCAGATGAACATGCCAAGATCAGTACTCCAATCATACGGCGAGTTGATCTACAGCTTCGGGGGCGTGGATCTGCTAGGGGAATGCAGCCGCCGTGATGATCCCATCGAACGGCTCAAATCCGTTGTAGCGTGGAACATGTCCCAACTCCGTCCACTAGCCTTTGGCTTGGTTCCGTACAACCCCGTGCTTGGCGAGACTCACCACGTCTCCAACGGAGATATCACCGTCCTCATCGAACAAGTACAATCTTATAATTTTTTACCAAAAAAAAAAAGAGAGTACAATTTTATAAAGATAAAGACAACTAAAGCGATATTGCATTTGGACATTTCTTTTTTACTAGTGATTGATACAATAAATGTATATTATAACTTATAAGTATAACATTCATCGTTCATTTTCAGGGTTTTTAATTAATTTTTTTTCTTTTTCAGGTATCGCATCATCCTCCGGTGTCCGCACTTCATGCTACTCACGCCAAGGAAAATATTGACGTGACGTGGGTTCAACATGCTAGCCCTAAATTCCGTGGTATGTTTATTTTCCTATTTCTATGTGACAGTAAAATTCCGTGGTATGAATTTTGAATAGTTTGTGTTATGCATGGTTAAATAAGGTGCTTACGTGGAGATGGTGTTAAAAGGCAAAAGGGTAATGAAGCTTCTAAATCGAAAAGAGACTTACAATATGGACCAACCGAGACTAATTGCAAGATTGTTCCCCGTGCCGGGACTTCACGTGGTCGGAAAAGCCAAGATAAAGTGTCCGGAAACGGATCTCGAAGCTGAAGCACACTTTAACTCTGATTCCTTCATGGAAAGTTTCAGAGGCAAGAACAAAAAATCCATTAAAGGAAAGATTTCTGAATCTTCGTCTGGGAATAAGCTCTACGACATCTTTGGCCATTGGGACAGGTAAAAACATGAATAATAAAGCCCTTAGAGTTAGAGCTTTTTCAGAACATTGTAAGATGTAACGTCACTAACATGCCCTAATGTAACGTCACTAACAGAACGATAATGGCGAAAAATCTGAAGACCGGTGAGGTCGAGGTTCTTTACGATGCCAAGGAGAATCTCACTCGACTCAAACCTCCAGTTGTCAAGAACCTGGAGGAAGTAATGGAGAGCGAGTCGGCGTTGGTGTGGAGTGAGGTAAGTGAAGGGATACTGAAGAAAGACTGGCAAAAAGCTGGACGAGCTAAGAGACTTGTGGAGGAGAAACAAAGAGAGTCTGTGAAAGAGAGGGAGGCTTCTGGTGAGTCATGGGTTCCCAAACATTTCTCACTGGTCAAAGACGGTAAAGGATGGCACTGCTCACCGCTACAGCCCACAGTTCCTCCTGCTCCGCTCGTTATCATGGGGGCACAAGAATAAATTATTAACAGCTTACAAGATTCCAACATTCTATGTTAATAAGATAGCTTACGCTACAAGAAAACGTGTCCTATACGCTACGTGTCACTGCAACAGTTTCACATCCATCTACAAAGATAGTTTGTTTTTACTCGAATCTCTAGAAAGTCACTTTAACAAAGTAAGCTTAACTCCGAATTTACAAAGCCACAACAAGTGAATGATAAAGAGACTAGTCCAAACAATATCTTCTACGTGGCACGGATCAACAAGACAACAATTATGAAAACAAACATGGACACCAAACTCAAGATCCACTCTACACGACTCGTCTTTGAACTCTCTGAATATATCTTCGAGGCCCTAACATTTGCGTGCCCCGTGCTCGCTAAGCTCTGCTCAATGGCCCTGTCGATAGAGTCGAGAATCTTTTGTTGGTGAAGCACAGATTCTCTTGTCACTAGACATGTCTCCTTGAATTTTCCCGCAAGTAGCACCATTTCATCAATGATTGATGAGCACATGGACTCCAATCCGGCTATGATTGATGAGCACAACAATGTATCGCTGCTCCTCTGTAAAATCAAGCAAAGAACTCTACTTCCTTTTAGGCTTTATGCTTACTTGTTATTCAGATTTCTCCTTCTTCCTGAAATGCAGAGTTACACCAGCCTTGAAGACAGATTAGTGCTGGACAGGAAAAAAATATCTGAATTATCTGCAAAAATCAAGAAACTTATCAGAAAACCTGATCCATTCAACCAAAATAATCAACCAGAGAACAAAATACTGTAAAAGGACCAAATACCAAAGCTTTTCTTGGAAAATTAAACCTGAATATATATATCCTTGATGAGGAGAAAGTACTGTACCCTGTTTTTCTTTGGCGAATCCTCAAGATTGATAAAGGCCGCCATTGTTACATAGAGAATGACAAAAAGCCTAAGAAGCTTCAGACCAAAAGTGTACGAATTGAGAAAAGACAAGACCATTATGCTGTCTTTCGCTTTCTTCTTTGATTCAGAATGGAATAATAAAACTGGGACTTAATTGTTTTACAACTATCACCCCTCGTTTTATTTATTCATTACAGAAACGGGAGGAATCATTTAAGATGACAAAACCATCCTCATCAATCACTCACTTTTACAAATCTGAGAATTGTTTTTCTTACATTTACACCCCTCCTTTTATTACTCATTACAGAAATGGGAGGAAAGTAGGAAACAAATAAAACTTGGTTTATTTGTTGTTCTAACACCACTTAAAAGAATTGAATTCATCCATCTTGAGTAAACAATTTTTTTGAAGAGCACTATAGTTTATATCTCATGCCATGATTAAACTAAATTTTTATTATAAAACTTGGTTTTATTGCTTCAACCATAAAATTGGAAAGAGTAGCATGGACTTCGAGAATTTAGCTTAGTGTTAAAACTCAAGAAAACTGTTTGTTTGTTGTTAGTTTGTTACAAAAAAAAAAAAAAGATAAAAATGTTTGTATTGTATTATCCTAATCAAATCGTAAACAAAAAATATTTTAGCCCAATTTTTTTGTATCGTTTAAATATATAAATCCGTATAAAAATTAGATGCTTTGGTTTATTTATTGTTTTGCTTGTGGAGGTGAATTATTGTGATTTGTTACTACGTTGGAGCAATTTTTTTTTTTTTTTTTTGGAGCAATATATATGGCATCAACAACACATAACACATACCATGTTGCATCAAATGAAGAAGCTCTTTAGATCTTTTGTAGATATACTTTCAAAAGGAGCTTTCCACATTTTGGTTTTGAAAAGCTTGAATATGATACATTATACAAAACCTTGTCAATAGATCTCTCATGGAAACATAATATTATCATTACTTTTTTGGGAATGTATCTATGTGCCTTGAAAAAACAAATCAAGATTTCAGTAGTTTCTTCATATTTTTTTTCTTGTCTTGTCTCAGCTGAATATTGTATAATTTCTTCTTCTTCACTACATCTTCTTCCCTGTGACTTCTCCTTCTTCTCTAGGTTCCATTAAAAGGCTGCTCTTCTTCAACTCATAGGTAAAACAGGGTAAAACAGTACATTTTGTGTACATTATGGTTTTGTTGAATTGGGGACTCTGGTTATAGCCAGAATTTATCAATTCTGTACTAATTAGTTCGTTTTGAATTTTTCTTTATTTAATATACATATATAAATAATTTTTTCAGATCCTCACATCAACTTTACAAGTTGTCAACAACATCATAGCGCTTGGAGGAGCTCAACATGCTATGCACTTCATATATCAGCTGCAAGCAATGAGAAACTTGAGGTAATGTTTGTTTGATATACACATCCTTTTAGGTTTTTAAGACTGTTTTCTAATTGTCTCTTTGCAGGGAAACCAATCCTGATAGAGACATTGGCATGGCCCTTAGGTCAACAGCAAAATCAAGTTTCCTTCGTTTGATAATGGAACATGGAATAGCTGGAACCAATTACTTGACTGAAGTGAGTACAAACTTTCTTCAAGTGTTCATCGTGCCTGCTGTACAAGAGTTTGAGCAAGATTTGGAGGCGCTTACACAGCATTGTCATACTTATCCCCAAATTCTAGTTGGGCTCATAGGTAAACAAAAAAAGAAACTAACTCTATTTTGCTATAGTAAACTAAACAAACACTTACTTCTTCTTCTCTAAATGCAGTAGAGTAACCGGAGTAAATCAGTTATTTTCACTTTCACTGTTTTTGTTTCGGATCTTTAACTATAACAAACTCAAAAATGTTGTTCTAACACCACTTAAAAAAATTGAATTCATGCATCTTGATTAAACAAAATTTTCAACTATGGATTCTAGATTATTTTACCTCTCTTCTTAAGCTTGTTCCTGAAACCTCTTGTAACATTACACTGAATGCAGTTTCCTGAATATTTCATAGAAACATTACACTGAATAAGATTGTAGTAGTATCTATGGGCCACACACATATCTCATTCGTCCTCTTGAGAAGCTCATCAATCTGCAAACAAACGCAACAAATCTCCGTTACTTGTTTCTTAAGCAATCAAGAAAATATGAAGGGTGATATAGTATGTAACCTATCGCTCACCTCTTATACTTCACATGCGCATTTACTAGCCATGTATGTGAACTGTGCAAAGACCTCGTGATATTCAGATTCAAACTTCAATTGCTCGCTTCTTTTCGAGACTATATATCTGAGCTTCAGTGGACCGGAGATGCATGTTATCAGCACTCAGCAGAAGAAAGAAGCCTACATTGGCTCAGCGAATTACTTGATCATGTAAGATAGAGCGCTTGCCGTTGTGTGATAGCTCTGTATTTTATTTTATTTTATTATTGGTTTACATTTGTTTTATTTATTTTTTTTGGGGTAAAATTGTTCCATTTTTTTCTTTCTACTGCATCATTTCAAATAAATGGTAGTCATGCTAAAAAATTTTCATTTCAATTAAAAGTAGCAATATTATAGAATCAACATAAAATTTAGTGGTTTTTCAGAATCCCATCGTCTTTAGTTACAGTATTACTATTGACCCACAAGGACTCTTATTATAATGACATGGAAAATTACTAAGACGATATTAATGTAGGTTTCTTAATGGGTACGGCACGGAGAGGTTTGGCCTTGTGTAAGGTAAGACCAAACACCTCACTCATGTCCATGTTTTCTGGAACGGCACCATTTTGAAGTTTCCAATCAAAGGAATAGAGAAGAGAGGCAAGCACCATAGACATTGTCTTAAGAGCCATCGACATTCCCGGACACATCCTTCGTCCCGACCCAAACGGTATCAGCTCGAAGTCTTTGCCTTTTACATCAATTTCTCGTAACAAGAACCTCTCTGGTTCGAACTTCATTGGATTCTCCCACACGCTCGAATCTCGTCCTATCGCCCACACGTTCACGTAAACCTAATCTCGAAAATAAGAGGAGCTAGTTATTAGTTTTTAAACGAAGTTATCCAAATTGTACAAAAGTTTCATTTTTTCCTATTGGTTCTACTTCTACGTATATATCAAACCAAGTAATCCAAATTCAAACCAAGAGTAAAAAACAGTTTTTTTTTTTTTTTGTCTTTGGATTGTTATTAGTATAGATTTTTTTGTTCCACTTTCTTTTGTGTTAAGAGTTAAGAATAAACCAAAATCGACATAAATATAACTTAAGTCTTTTAACAAAAAAGATAAATAACTAAAGCTATGAATCTGTTAACGTGCATCCCAAGTTAGTCAAAAGATGATGAATGTCGCCAAAATAAGAAAGAAAAAGGAAACAAAACCTGGGCGTTCTCAGGGACGAGGAAGCCGAGGATTTGGACGTCGGATTCTGATTTTCGAGGGATCAAAGGAGCTGCAGGATGCAAACGAAGAGTCTCTTTCACAATTGCTTGTAGGTAAGGCAGCTTCGGGATATCAGATTCCCGAACGACACCGTTCTCACCTATCACTTGCCGTATCTCACTCTGAGCTTTCACCATCTTCTCCGGGTTACGAATTAACTCTGTCATTGCCCACTCCATTGTACTAGAGTTTGTATCTGTGCCCGCAAGAAACAAATCCTGCCACCACAAAAAAGGGTAATTAAACAATCCTCGGTACTTCTCAAAAGATCAAAAATCTTCATAAGTGTTTTGCAAGACTTACGAGAAGCAAGTGTTTGATATCATTCATGGTGAACTCTGTTTCGTTTTGTTGTGTAAGATCCAGGAGAGAATCTAATATATCGATACTCGAAGCCTCTTTAGGCTCTGTCTCTTTCTGATACAATCTTTTGGCCATTCGTGCATCAATAAATTCCTGGAAAACCCTAAATAATCTCTCCATGCAGAGCGCCACTTCTTTTCGGCTACCTTGCAAATCAAGAAACCTCAGAAACGGGAAGTAGTCTCCTGCGTTGGGTTTCCCGGAGATCTCCATCAGGTGAACTACCGTGTCATGGAATTCATAAGACGACGAGTTAGAGTCATATGCAGCCAAATCGACAGAAAACAGAGAATTTGAGATTATATTGAAAGCTGTGACGAAGGGAGCACGAGCCATGTCAATAGCTTCTCCTCTCTCGCAAAATTGGTTTACTAAGCTCACAAGTTCCTCCACCTTTCTAAGCCTTAAAGATTGAATAGCATCTTGGTTTTGCGGCGATAACAATTTGTTGGCTATTGTTTTCCTCAGGAACCTGAAGATACACACAAACAGAACTTCAACAAAGTTTTGATTCAAGTATAGATTGATTCGTTTCGTTTCTATTTCATTTTGGACCTTGTTGTAATTAAAAATAGAGAAATACCCTAAAATGGACTAAAAACAAACTTTGGTATGACCAAAATGGACCAACAAGTTTTTTATGACCAAAACCGACTAAATTTAAACGTATCTCTTTGCTTTCCATTTAATTCACGTCTAAATTTCGATTTCTTGGATATAATCTTAAAATCACCCACGTTTTGGTGTTTTTTTTGTTGGTTTATGCAAATGATTTCAGTCACAAAAAGAGTCTTAGATAGAGTTGATACGGTGATACCTCCAATGAGCGGACGGAGGAATCCAGACAATGGAATGTTTGTGGTGATCAAAGGCTCTAACTGGATCGTTAAAGGTTCGAGCGGACAAGGCATGATCGTGTGTTTTAAGTGCTTCTTTTGCTGTTTCTGGTGAAGATATAACCACTGCGGTTAACTTTCCAAGCTTCAAACTCATTATAGGTCCGTATGTTTTCGAGAAGGCAGCAAATGAACGGTGAGGATTAAATCCGAGCTCGAATATGTTTCCGACCAATGGCAGTCTTGGTGGACCCGGCGGAAGTGAGCCTCGGCCGCTGCCGCCAGAGCTCCTCCGCGTTTTTGTGGTGGTGAGGAAGAAAATAAATAATGCTAAGAGAAAACAAAGGGCCAGAGGGTTGGCCGGAATTAGTGAGAGGTCCATTTGCACGACCCTTTTATCTTACTCCTTTTCTTGCTTGAAGAAATTGGAGAATGGCTAAATAAATATAACTCCAGTATGCATTTTTATATTCATATCGGGGGAATGAAGTTCGCGTTCGGTGTTAGTTGCCTGGCAGGTTTCTCTTTGTGTTTTTCAGAAGCTGGTGTGATGGTTCTCTTGTTGCTTATAAACACCTACAAGTACTACGGGTTCTATAAGTTTGTTTTTTGTCATGCACAATTATGGACACGTGAAAAATCTATGGCGCAATTTAATTCTTAATTTTAAATAAAAGTTTAAAACGACTGACCAAAAATCTTGTATAATGGTTATTTATATTTAATGATTTCTATTAGTTTGTCGTTTGTCAATGTGCTACTACTATGTATATTCAAATCCGGTAAAATGTATACTATTGGTTGGAAAAAGACAAATAATATATATTTGTGTGTGTGATTCTAAAACTATATCACAAGGGATATTTAACACATTAATTACTATTTCTTAATATATATTTGTGTGTGTGATTCTAAAACTATATCACACCAGCCTGCCATATTTAACACATTAATTACTATTTGGCAGCTTAACCATGTGTATTTAGGTGTACGTTGCTCTCTTAATCTTGTGTTAGCTTTATTTGGTAGGTTAAGCTGCTAATGTGTTTGCCTTTTGATGTGCATTTCTTGATGTTTTGTAGACGCTAAAAGTGTTTCGCTCAATATTTTGTGTAGTGTAAAATTTATGTCTTTTTCTTCTGACATCTAGATTGAGTTGATCTAGATGTACTATCCAAGGGTTGAGTTGATCTACCCTTCACCATTTTCTTTAAATATTCATTCTTGCTGCTAAAAGAAAACACATAGGATCATCAATATTTCTTACACTCCTAAAGAGATTTTGGTATTAAGAAATGCTTGTTCTGTTTTTTTTTGTGTGTGTGTGTGTGTGTGTGTGTTTTTTTTTTTTTTAAAGCGACTATTGGAGAAATTTCTAAAATGAGTTGCAACAAAAAGTCGACGACGGCAATGGTTTCTCCATAGAAGTAGTTCGAGTTTAAATGGATATAGCAACGTTATTGAATCGAAACCATAAATCCCATTGAACATGTTCTTGTCACTATCTACTCTTCCTCATACTAGTAAGATTTTGGTTGTGTCCATGGTTCTCCATTGCATGCTCTCGATTTTTGGCTTGTGTAGAATGGTTCTTGATGGAGATCTCGAGAGAGTATTAAGAGATATGATATAGTTTACATGAGAAAGACCAAGCTCAGTTTCTTCAAATTGCAATCTTCTTCCACTACAAGGACGAGGATTATGTATAAGCCATGCTCGGTGACTGTAGTTTAGATGTCAATAGATCTCTCATAGAAACATGTATATCATTTTTTTTTGTTTTTAATGTATCTGAAAAAAAACTCAAGATTTCGGTAGTTTCTTCAGGTTTTTTTCTTTTCTTGCCTCAGCTGAATTTATACCATTTCTTCTTCTTCACTACATCTTCTTCCCTCACTGTGACTTCTCCTTCTTCTCTATGTTCCATTAACAAACTGTTCTTCTTCTTGCTCTTTCCTTTGCTCCAGCTCCTGTTCTTGCTTGAACCTTGCTTCATAGGTGGGAAAATTGTGTACGCCGCACATATCTCATTCCTCCTCTTGAGAAGCTCATCAATCTGCAAACAAACACAACAAAAATCTCAGTTACTTGTTTCTCAAGCAACCAAGAAATCAGAAGAAAATAAGTGATAGTGTGTGTATATACAAGCTATCACTCACCTCTTGTACTTCCCCTGCGCATTTACTAGCCATCTCAGTGAACTGCGCAAAGACCTCGTGATACTCAGATTCAAACTTCAACAGCTCACTTCTTTTAGAGACTATCTGAGCTTCAGTGGACCGGAGATTCTCTTTCTCGTTAGCAAACGGAGCAGATGAGAATATTTCTAGAGTGTAGCTCACGCTTTTGAAGAAATTGTCACCTATAGTAATATCATACAACACCAAAGTGAGTTTAGTGGATTAGTGATTCCTTTAAGCGAATGAAACAAAACATTTACCATAAACAGCAAAGACATGAGATCCAGGTTTCAGTTCAGTGATCTCAAACGGTTGGAATGCATCAAGCCTTTTGAAAAATCCGGTCTCTGGATCCCTTGAGAGTGCCCTCTATGAGCAGAGAAGAGCAGAAACTGAGTACATGGTGATCCAAAAAGAGGCAAATTAAGGAGTGTAGAGAAAGATAGTTTACTGAATTAACCCTATGGTCGAAACGATAAACAGGGAAGCCGAAAAAATATAACCCTGCGGTCGATAGCTTTCCTGTTTTCTTGCTGTCTTCCTTTTTGCAGAACAAAAAAAAACACAATTTAGATATTGGAAGAAAATCAAGAACTATACCTCAGAAAATCAAGAATCAAGGAAATCAAGAACCATTCCTCAGAAAATCAAGAAAATCAAGAACCATTCCTCAGAAAATCAAGAATCAAGAAAATCAAGAACTATACCTCAGAAAATCAAGAATCAAGAAAACCAAGAACCATAACACAATTTAGATATAATTATACAAGACTTTTTACCTGTAGTGCCAGGCTCAATCCTCCATTGTCTTCTTGATCAAAGTAAAGCAACTAGAAAGCAAAAAGAAAAATCAGAAGAAGGTGAGAAACAGAGTATTTAAGAACAACTATTAAGATTCTTGAGAGAGTTTTCGCAAACGGAAAACCTTGAATTTGTTTTTAGCAGATGACTGCACTTTACATATCAATCCAGCCTGAGCTTCTTCCTCTGTTAACGTAACAGAATAAAAATGTGCTGATTGTTTTTCAACCTGTTAGAGAGAAGCAAAACATCATGTCAAAGATGACAAAATCCACATTTTGATTCAAAGAAAATCAAAAGCTATCATTAATAATTAGTCATACCTTTCTTGACACAACTTTCCCAACCGTAAGAGGCAATGTAGTAACCGTACCATTCAACGCCTCGTCCAATAGATTTGCAGAGACAGTTGTCTTGATTTGCACACCAAGCTTACTGTATTGGACAAATTGAAATGAAAGTATTGAATTTTGCAACGGAAATGAAAGAAACAGAGAGGTGTGCAAGTCTTTTTTAGGAACTCACTTGAACAGCGCGGCGAATATAGTGTTAACAGCTCCTAAGCTCGAAAGATCTAGCTCAAGATCTTCATTTTCCAGACCAACAGTCTGCATAAACATCAACAGGTTGTGAAATTCTTGTTCCAGCTCTAATGAAGCAAGTAGCAAAACAGAGCTAATCTACAATGTCAAACCTATAAAGTCCAAAACTTTCTCACTATATTGCATTCTCTTCAACTGTTAACCTATAAAGTCCCAAGCTTTATTGCATTCTCTTCAAATGTTAACCTATAAAGTCCAAAAGTTTCTAACTATATTGCATTCTCTTCAAAGGTTAACATATGAAGTCCCAAACTTTATGACTATATTGCATTCTCTTCAAATGTTAACCTATAAAGTCCCAAACTTTCTGACTAAATGCTTCAAGAAACTTGCAAACAATGCCAGAATCTGAATCATCTCTAACCTCAGAGCCAGTTGTGTCATATTGGCGACGATTCTCTGGATCAGACAAGAGATCATAGGCAAATGTAACCTCTTTGAACATATCTGCTGCAACCGGATCATTTGGATTCTTATCAGGATGGTACCTGAATTAACTAATCATCTCAGTACAGAACAATCAAGAGCAGAGAGAAAAAAAACTAAACTTGATACAGAAAATGAATTGGACAAGAAATTACCTGAGAGCCATTCTTCGATAAGCACTTTTGATCTCTTGATCCGTCGAATTGCTGGAGATGCCGAGGACTTCATATGGGTTACGTCGGAGCTCATCTTCTCCGGCTTCTTTATTCTCCGATCTCATTTTTCAGCATCCGATTTTGCTATGGACTCAAATGAAAATGTTTTCGAGACTGAAATTTGGTTCGGTTAAATTCCCAAAATCTGGGGATCTTCGTCTGAGAATTCCAGAAATTGTTGCAAGTGGAGGAAATGATCGTTCCTCGTGAATTGTGGTTTTACCCAGAAACCTAGGAGGAGAGACAGAGAGGGAGAGAGAGAGGAAGCTCCATGGGGAAAACCCCACAGGTCACTGTGCAGTAGAAACATTTGGAAAAACGAAGACAAGAGAGTAGAGACAGACAGACACAAATAAAATTCTCGTTACTTTGACATTATTTTTTTCATTATTAGTTTAAAAATATTTCAAATGATTCAGTGATTCACTGTAATTAGAAATGGCCCAAAATAGTTAAGAAAGCCCATAAAAAGTACTGTGAATGTAAAATTCTCTTCCTTTACATGCCTCAAATATTCAAGCTCACACAAACAACATCAAATTTCTAGGTGAAATAGTGGAGTTTGTAATTTACATGAGCACGCATAATCTAAATATAATACAATTTCTTTTATTTTGCTTATAATTTCATTCATATTGTGAAAATATTTTGCTTATTTTGTCTATTTTTGGTAAAGAAAAAGTTTTTAATATCAAAATTGCACTTGGTATTTCCATCTCTGATCAAACACCACTGAAACTTGGAGACAATCTTCCTATTGGTAGATTCTGTAAACTTCTGGATATAATCGTTGCAATACTCTTCAGTTCGATGTGGAACACCGGCCACAGCCCATAGGCATCCACAGTGGCAGAGGTAGCCAAAAAAATTACGGGGTCAAATTGACAGAAAACATATATTACAAGGGTCATGTAAGCTACTTTGTAATATTTCATCATATTTTTTAAAATTAAATTATAGGTAAAAAAACAAATTTTTTAGAATCCACTGGATCAAATTAGGGAGCTCTCACACAGATCTGTGGAAGAGAGGTGGCGTCACTGGGAACTTCTATTGCGAGCTATGATCTCTGCACCACCAATGCACTAGAACAAGTGTACATATACGAGGTAAAGGTTCGTGAAAGATAAAAAGGATGGAAGCAGAACAATCTGAGTTACAACACTCAACAAGAACAACCAAGAAATATTTTGCTTATAATTTTTTCATATTGTGCAATATTTTGCTTATTTTGTTTACTTTTTGTCTGTTATTGGTGAATAGAAATTTTTTTAGTCAAAATTTGCAGTAATTATAACAGTTTTTTTTTGTAACATTTTTTTCATTTTTGTGCGTTTTTGAATTTACTGTGAAATTGATGTTCAAAAATGAGATCTGATTTGTGAATTTATTGTGAAACTGATTTTCTTTAGACTTCTTATTAAAATTTTATCTAATAGTTCCTGGATTTCTTTTTTACAATGTTCTAAAACTTCTTGATTCATTTGAATAGGTCGAACTTTAGGTGGTATAAGTTGCTTAGTAACATTTGAATACTTTAATTTAGATGCTTAGTAAGTAAATAAGTGGTTTGATCAGTCGTTACAATATGGAACACTCCGAGATCATCAAATGGTCAATTATTGAGATATTTTAACACAATGAAGGGAAAACGAACGATATTTAGAAATAAAAGGAATATTGTATAGCAAAGTTTCAAAGAAGCAGGGATACAATTCAAGAAGATTTGAGATGATATCATAAACATGCAAAACACAAACACACACACTTCACAACTCACAAGTGACGTGACGTCGTTTATGTAATTTGGAAAGATGATTACATGCAGCACATACAATCCATCATAAAGTCCATTATAACTGGCCTAGGAGTGCACGTGCCATCATAAAAGTCCTTGTCCAGCGCTTTGCATCTGTCACTGCAACTGTCCTGGAAGAGTTGGCCGGGATAACACACACCGTTTGGGATGTCACACGCCCCCTCCACTTCTGTCCAATCCATACAAAAAAACATTCATTTCATAAAACATATATATGCCTGTTTTAAGATCATACATACATATATCTTGTGGGAAAAAAAGGACTTTCGTTTTTACGTACGTACCAGTAGGAGATAGGAAGAGGACGGAGAAACAAACGACTACTACTGCAGCCACAGCAACTTTGCTCAACATTAAACTCGTCATTGATCTTCTTTCTATCTTTCTTTCTTTCTTTCTTTTCTTCTCTTTGTGATTTATTTAGCCAAGACGAGGTTTTTGTTTTATAGCACTAGCTAGGTAGTGGGGGAGGAGAGGCTCAATCAAATTTAGAACACTTTACTTTATTTTATAGTTTCTAGTTAAGAGTCTCCACAACGTGATCCCCTTGGCGGCGAACCTAGGCTATAATTATAATTTTCTAGATAGAAATCTAACATAATTATCTCATCCCAAATTATTTCTTTAAATTATCAAATTATCTCACTTTTATATTCGATTCAAATATGCCTCAATGCATGATAAAAATTCAAATATGGATGATCACTTTATGTCCATAACATCATCAAATAATAATAGAAGTATATTAAAGATAAATGCTTGTATATAGGTGACTCACCTGAAAAAATATGAACATATTGTAAGTCAAGGATGATTTTTAATTTCAAGAGAAAATGATACTATCATTTATTGGTTTCTATCAATCTTCTGTTGGCTGGTTGCAACAAAAAAAACACCCAAATTCAGTGACCTAAAAAATATTTAAATTTTCCTATTTTTCAGGTACCTGTTTTCTTCGGGCAATTTCACTTTTTAGTTTTTACCATCAAAGGCATAAAACTTTAATTAAGCTTTAAGTAATTCAAATGGTTTTTGATTGTCTTTATCTTTTTCTTACTTCAAATTTCTCATTATCAAACAATAAAACCCACATATATATTATGTCATAGCTTCTGTGTTAAACAACTTTGGAGTTGCCGATTGCGCAACTCATCCATAATTTGTTATCTTATTCTAAATCTTACTCTTATTGGTGACAATCTTAATTTCCTCATCTTTTATATTTCTTGAGCAATAAAGCTCATATGAGCTATTTCATTTTCAGTTTTATTTCCATCTAAATAAGCTCTTTTAGAGCATATATATATCATCAAGCTTTGAGTTTGCTTTCAACATGTAATATTAGACCATCTCCAATGTATTCCCTTGTGTTCTCCCTTATTTTAGTGCATCCTTATAATAGAGTAGTATTTCTCTCCAATGTATTCCTTTATTTTTGACACTAAAAATAATTATTTTAAGTACATTTTAAATATAATTTTTTTTTTAAAAATATTTATAATCATTCATTAGGCCTTGTTGTAGATCAAACTCATGTCTTGAAGAAAGGAGAGGCCACAAGTGAAAGAAGGAGAGCTCGATACATTAACATGTCTCTCAAGGTGCAATGAGTAAACAAGTGAGATATCTCAGGGAGTTGAGATGAACTACTAGCCGGAGACCATTGAAATCACAATGATATACAATTATACATATGTTCTGACATCGTACTCTTATGTTGTTGGATGTGTCAAATAATATGGCAAATTATAACATTTCGTTTAAATAATTCATAGGACTGGCAGAATATTGGATTATGTAATGTTAAGAAAAGAAAAAAATATTATGATCCAAATAGTTTATTTTCTTATTCGATCGTGTTCAACTTATTATTCCTAGTTGCAACCATTTACATCTCTATAATGTGAGAGTGATATACGAAATTACGAACACATATGTATGATCTCTATCAGTACTGCACAACAGTAATTAAAGTTGACGACATATCACCGCAGAAACGTTATATAGTCTATGCTTAAATGCCGTAAGAAAATGCAAAATTCAACACGCAAACATCGAATTATTTGTTGTTTGAGAAATCCAAATATCAACTATATATATCAAAACAAGCATAACCAATCTTGTTGATCGAAACTCATCAGACTCGATCAATCTTGCAAACAAATATAATTTTCATAGAAATTAAACAAATGAATATATATATAAAGAGAGATGAAGATCGGACCGTAATGCTTCCATTCCCCAGAAGAGATGAGATTCAGTTTCAGTTTCAAACATTTTCATTTCGCAAAGAACACATCAAATTCCCACCACCATGGATCAATGATTCTTTTAGCTACGAATTTTCTTGGTTTTGTATTTTCTGCCTTACTTTCTTGAACAAGATCTGGTTCTTCATCGTGTGTTTGTATGCCTCAAAACCCCTCCAACCTTTATTTTGTTCTTTGATGAGACTTGTTTGGTGGAAGTTTGGTGCTGCTGATGATGAAGAGAGAGAGAGAGAGGAAATTATAGCTGGTAAAAAGAAGAGACATGATGATTACTGATTATAGTACCGCATATTAAAGTAGATATAAATGAGAAGTAAATCGTCCAAAGGTCACAATATTTACGTAAATTTTGTTTTCTCTATATACATATGGATAATGTATCTCATGTAGACATAAGATGGATTATGTATCGTCCATATATATCTCATATACATATGGATTTCTCAATAATCACAATATGGATTATGTATCTCATATCTCAAGAACGAGATTAGTTTTCTTCTATAAAGATCTATTTGTTGCTTAACAACTCACATACACATTTTATACTATTTGGAGAAATAACTGTGATCTACGGTGCATATCTTGCTATATGGCTCTTGATTTGATAGCGACTTTTTCTTCTAGACAAGAATCAATGAAGCAAGACCTAAGCGAAGAACATGTTGCGGTACGTAGAAAAAGAAAGTAGACATAGAGTTATTTCACTTTTTCAAGTGTTCCTTTATCTAAAAAGGCATTATTTGATAGATTTTTTATATCCATGCATATACCTCAGTGAGGTAGGACTTTTGTACCTTACAAGTTACAACGTGGCCCTTGTACTATCAAGTAACAAGGTGTTGAAATCAGGTGGCCTTTACCTATCAAATGATTAGGGTCGTTGTAGTACTCAAATTCCTCTAGAGCCAACCAGAAGACTAATGCGTGACACTAAGAGATGATATATCTCCAAAAGTATATTATTTGTTTCCAAGATTTCAAAATTCAATATTAAAATCATAATTAACTAGTCAACAAAAATAAACAACTCGGCCAAAATAACTAACTTATTGTGAAAAGTAAATAACATGCCAACTTTTGAAATTGACTAGCAAAATATTGACTATATTTTCAATATGTCACCTAAAAATACAATTAATATTTCAGTTTTGACTTTAACGGTTTTGATATTACCTTGTTGACATAGTAAAACTGAAAGTTTTCTGTTATAAATATATGGAGTCGTCTTAGAAGAAAAAATTCATTGAATCCTAAAATACGAGACAGTGATGTTATTTCAGCTCTGTTTAAACAAAACCACGTGTTTGTTTTGTGTTTATCTATAATCGCGCATGCATTTTATGATGTTTTTTTTTTAAAACAAGAAGTAAGCTTAAGTTTATGTAGTCCTACTCGAATTCGAAAACACTCTTCTCATTCCAAACCGAAATCAATCCAACCAAAAAATTTCAATCGATCTTCTAAATAAAACCAGTCTGACTTAAAGTTCGGTCCCATCTACCAAACCGAAAATGAGGTTCTGTGTCGGAGAAGAACAATGATAAAACTCCATATTGAATGACAGAAGTTTATAGTTATGATCTTTAACGAATAGAACATTAAAGTGGGCCGACTCAGAGAAACCTTCTAATAGTGTTTCGAATTCTTGTTTCACCTATCAACTTTCTTGGATAGGTTTCAACAATTTTCAAGGACATATATGATGTTACAAATTTACAATCTGTTTATTTTAGAGATTATGTATGATCTTTCGTTAAAAAATGGTGTGACCAAAAAATCATGTCCACTAGAAGTGAAGAAGACAAATAAAGATCCGAACCGGTTTATTAAAGACTTAGGTCCGATTCGGTTTAGTTCAATTTTTTCCTGGAAATTCTTTTCAAAAAGAAACGGTCACGAAGCGATGCGATCAAATGGAATATTTACTTTAGATGATGATAATAAGATAAAATATTGACCCCAAACTAAAACCAATAATAGTGCTAAAAACAAATCAAGAATATACAGGTGGCAATCGATGATAGGCTAAACACCAATCCTCTCCACCGACGAATCCAATCGACGCCGGACTCAGCTCCACCGCTCGTTTGACGGCTAGTCTGCAAACCTCCGTCTCCGTTTGGATTACCTCCGTACAGAACCTGTATCCCTTCTATATCATCCCTCGCTAACTCCACCTTCCGATCTCCACCGGAAATCGCCGGATACATGATTGCATCTTCCACCGACGAGTGGCCTAGCCCGAGAAGATGTCCGATCTCGTGAACCGCGACCGATTCCAGATCCACAACCGACGTCACCGGCAATATCCGACGGCTGATTTTGGTTTCAGAGATCAGCCAGTCCTCGTCGCCGTCGAGATGGAACATCCCCGTAGGCGGCGATGACGCGTGCGCTAGTGTTCCCATGGCTCCATCGAACGGCTCTCCGTCTCCGTGCTCACCGGTGAAGAACCCGATCACTATGTCGGCGTCGACGAGAGACTCCGAGCGCGTGAAATTCAGCGGAGTGACCTCCGCCCAGCGAGTGAATGCGCGTGCGAACACGCGTTTCACTTCGTCGGTGAGATTGTTCTGCGGCACGAACGCGTAGCTCAGATCTCGTTTCCGATTCGGCCACCGTGGCTTCCCGGGGAAAAACGAGTACCGCTCCGTCGTACGGAATTTCTTACCGGCGTTCATCTCCGAAGTCCCGTCGATCATATCCGGATTCCCACACCTCGGCTTAACGATCTGCCGGAGAGTCGACGCGTCGAGCTTACCGGTGACCTTAATGTTGAAATTCTTCTGGTAAGTACTGATCGCCGATTGGAGCACGTCATCGAAATCGTCGGTGAAATTATCGACGGCGGTGGAGATGTAACCGAAACGACGGAAGTAGTGTTTGAGTTTGGAGAGACCGTCGACTTTTTCTCCGACGTGACAGCCGGCGAGTTTTCCGAAAGTTTCCCACGCGCTTCGAGAGGCGTTTAGAAACTGTAACGGTGGTACGGAAGATATGTTGGTGTAGAATTTCGCTGAGATTGGTTTCACTATGAGAAGAAGAAAGCTCAAAATAGTTAACAGTTGCAGAAATCTCATTTTCATGGAAAATGCAGATACAGAGATGAAACGACGTCGGTGCGCTATAAAGTTAAAAACGCAAAGCGCAGTCGCATAATTTTCCACACGGTAAGTGGTGGTCACACGTGACATGTCCCTGAAAATCAATATTATATAATAAAATAATATTATCCTCGAATTATTATTTTATTTGAAATTTGATTCGTTGTATTTCAGTATCAGCAATTCAGCATCACATTCGTTTCTGAGAGCAATTTTTTCGTTGACTTTTTGGTGTACTTCCTTTGACCGATGACGCAGCTCATAGTCCCGACGCTCGCAATCGGATCCGATCATCATCAGATGCCGGTTTTAGGATTTGGAACCGCCGCGTCTCCGCCGCCGGAACCGTTGGTGTTGAAACAGACGGTGCTGGATGCAATCAAGCTCGGTTATCGCCATTTCGACACGTCTCCGAGGTACCAGACGGAGGAGCCGCTCGGCGAAGCTCTGGCGGAGGCGGTTTCACTCAACTTGGTCAAATCTAGATCCGAACTCTTCGTCACTTCTAAGCTCTGGTGCGCCGATGCTCACGGCGACCTCGTCGTACCGGCGATTCAACGGAGTTTGAAGTAAGTAAGATTCATATTCCTTTCGATTCATCAACGATTTCACATCCGATTTAGGGATTGTATGAGAAATTTGCAACAATGGTCAGAAACACATTCCGATTCAAAATCATCAATTATTCTTGGTTTAGAGAGACGTAAACCGGAATTGATGAATAGTTCCATGCTCATATAATCATATTTGTTGATTGAATATGTTTATAGATTTAGATCATCTCCTTTGACAAAAATCTTGTGTATTGCAGAAATCTGAAACTGGACTATCTTGATCTCTACATGATACATTGGCCGGTTAGCTCAAAACCGGGTAAATACAAGTTTCCAATCGAAGAAGATGACTTCTTGCCAATGGATTATGAAGCGGTTTGGTCAAAGATGGAGGAGTGTCAAAGACTCGGGCTTGCAAAGTGTATAGGAGTAAGCAACTTCTCTTGCAAGAAGCTTCAACACATCCTCTCCATCGCCAAGATCCCTCCCTGCGTCAATCAGGTAAAATCCACACTCTCAGTCCAGATTCTCTATTTGTTGTTTTGAGATGTTTTTGATCTTTTATGGATGAATGTGAATAAAAAAAAAGGTGGAGATGAGTCCTGTATGGCAACAGAGGAAGCTAAGGGAGCTTTGTAAGTCGAACGACGTCGTTGTGACGGCTTATTCGGTGTTGGGATCGAGAGGAGCGTTTTGGGGAACTCACAAGATCATGGAGTCTGATGTTCTTAAAGAAATAGCCGAGTCCAAGGGCAAAACAGTGGCACAGGTAAAGTGAAGCATATTTTTGGTTTTTTTGGTTATGGAGATTGGTTTAAAGAGGAATAAAATGTGTTAATAGGTGAGTATGAGATGGGCGTACGAGGAAGGAGTGAGCATGGTGGTGAAGAGCTTTAAGAAAGAGAGGTTAGAGGAGAATCTGAAGATATTTGGTTGGTCTTTGACAGAAGAGGAGACCAAGAGAATCTCGAAGGAGATTCCTCAATGCAGGATCGTCGGCGGCGAGGTTTATATCTCCGAGAAAGGTCCCATAAAATCTCTCGCCGAAATGTGGGACGGTGAAATCTGATTCTTACTTTATGTGAAATTTGGCTCAATGAAACCATTTATCATCAAAAGAACTAAAAATGATGAAAATGAGCTTCGAACCAATAATTATAGGCCCAATAGGATGATAACGCAGGCCTGTGGGAACCTATTTAACTGCTGAGTCTTGTTCGATACGTTATCACGAAAGGAATCCTAATTGTGCCAACATGCTGAGTCTTGTTCGACACGTTATCACGAAGGCAACGCGCGGAGGGAGATTGGTTGTGTCTCGCCGCAATTTCTCTTCGTCTTCCCATGGCGAAGGAGATTACGTTTCTCTGATTTATGTTTACTTATGTCATATGTGTTCTCTAATTCCAAGTTGTTACTTTTCTTCAAATTTTGACCTTTTTTTTCGTCATATGTTGTTTTGTTTTTGTTTTGATGGATTCATATTGCTTTGATCTTTTTGTCATCTGTTGTTTGTTTTTGTTTCTCTTCGTCTTCCTATTGGTAGTTTATAGTTTGATTTTTTATTCGTGAAAAGAAAGAAAAGAAAAAAACTTCACAAAGTTTTGATTTTTGTTTACTTTTGTCATCTGTGATTGTAGGATGTAATGCAACGAAAGAATTTTGGACTGCTAATGATATCATGATAGCATAGTTAAGTGTTTCATTTGTATCGGGTTTCAAACGTCAGTGGGCAGCGGAGAAAGAGAGGGATGAGAAGGAAAAGGTATATTTACCATTGAATGACTTTGTGACCATCTTCATAACCGTCATCTCTCTATTTTTTCAGGAGTCTGTTGGAAATTCTTCAGAGTTGTTGACAGCAGATAATTAACGGATCATTTGTGTCTTACGAAAAAGATAACCCGGAGGCCTTACTCTATCTAAATGTGTTAATGAACCACATTTAATTGATGATAATTTTCTACATTTTGGTTATGCAATTGTATAATATTTTAATATAAAATATCATCCAAAAATGATGATCAAATATTTTTGCGGATAAATAATGTGTACTAGGTTAATGGCCCGCACGAACGTGCGAGCTTGAGTATTATTATAATTTGTATGAATAAAACGTTTTTTAGTTGTTGTTAATTAGACAAAATGAAATATTTAATACAATATTTATTTATTATTTCCTAATGTGGTCCCATTTGATTGGTAGACGTGCCAAAGTAAAAGAATAAATTAATTATAAAGAAAATTTAGAATATATTTTCTGTATTTTTTTTCACGGGTATAAAAGACAATATTATAAACTTACGTATTTTAGTAAATATAGGGGTGATTTAATTATTTAAGTTGTTATCTTAAAAGGAAAACGACAATGGGTATGATTGCTATGTTTTAGTTTAAAAGGAAAACGACAATAGATAAGACTGGTATATCTGATGAATAACATAATAATTAACTGAAAAATTGTCAACGGGATAAAGTGAACGGAATACAATTTTTTCAGAAAGTTATATCTAAAAAGAAAACGACAATAGATACGAGTGGTATGTCTGATGAATAACAAAAAAAACAGTAGTGGACATTTTAGAAGGAAGACCGAATAAAAGCATATTTAGGTGGAGTAATATCCTAAATTAATACAAAATTAAATATCCTTAACTAAAGAAATACAAAATTAAACGTGGCGTAGGCAAGTGTTTCAATTATTATCAAACTAGTATTTTACCCAGTGCCATGCACCGAAAAAATCATTTAACTGTTTTTCTTCAACAAAAAAAAATAGTAGTTGCAAAGATCGCTCTTTGTCAATCTTTACTTTGTTATCTACATTAGTTTTGGCCTTTTGGGTCGACATTATATCTCGAGTGTGGTCAGTGTGGATCTTAATGAAAGCCAATAGCCATAGAGTTTAAAATGATTTCTATTGTCCACTTGCCTATGGTGTTTGTTCTTCTTGATCTTTCAAAATATAATGACACGTAAGAAAACTACATTTGTATAATATATACTTTAGTAAATAATACACGAAGTATAATATGAATGTCAAGGACCATATATGTACACATGACACTCAACAGTAAAACAGATCTATACAAATACAAAAACAAAAAGATATTATCTCAGGTTGCTAATGTTATGAGGATAACATTGGATGTGCCTTCAAACTTTCCAGAGCACGGCTGCAAATCTGGCTTACATTCCATTGAATCAACATTTTCGTTATCTGAATCAGCTTGCTGCCTGAGATCTGGCTACAGAGTTATCTTGAGACAATCCTTGTCACCGAAATCCTATTACATGAAACTTGAGTTACAGAAAAAAAACGATAAAAGCATCTGAACACAGACACACATGAGACTTAAAAGCAAATCTCGTTATACCTTGCAAGCAATACTTTAATAGGCATTTCACTCTCCTTCTGCAGTCGAGAAATCTGCAGCACAGGGACAAGTTTCCGTTTGTTAACCATCTAGCTAACAACGTTTAATATTACAGGAAATCAGAATAATAAATAGGTTTGTCACCTCTTCGCCAGGGTCTTCATCATCAGCTTTTACCCGTTCCTCTTCGTCCTCTCATCATCCTGCACCAAAAAAGCAAATAAACAATTAAAGCAAATCTTTTGAATATGTATATGTAGCTTTCACAATGAGAGTTGAAATCCTTGAAGAGACAGAGACAGAGAGTTAAGGCGAAAATTGATGATTTTGCACTATATCCACTAATCTTAATAGAGAATAATCGAAAACCAGAAAGAAAAACCCCAGAATTCGGAAATATGAGTTACTTGTATTTTGAAAGTGCGAGAGTGAGAGAGAGGGAAAAACTCGTCAATGCAGTTGTGATTCGGTCTGCACAAAGAAATCCCATCAAATTTACGGATGGAAGGAAGAAGAAAGAAAGATTTAAAGATTGATATGTGTGAAAATTTGAAGAGGTTAGAGAGAAGATAGAGATACCATGATTTCAAATGGGCGAACTGTTGTTTGAGAATCGAGATCAAAGAATATGATTGTGAGTTGTACGGAGAGGAATTTGAGTTTATGAGGAATCTGAATTTGGGGATCGTGGGTGGTTTGAGAAGAGATTAGGGGATCGTGGGTTTGAGAAGAAAGGTGAAATTAAAAAAAAAAAAAAGTAAAAAAAAAATGAAGAGTACACGTGTCACTCATATAGGCTATGAGGTGACTGCTGATTTATTAGTATTAGATTAGATGGGCACGGCCCTGATTCAAATTCATGACGCTCGCGCATGGAATCAAGCCCTATCAAATGATTCAAATCCATTGACGTATTTCTTCATAAGCTGAACATTCTTGCTTTCTTCTTGTTTCATTACAACCCTGCTGCATTATTTTACAAAAAAAAAAAAATCTTGCTGCTTTCTTTTTCCACTATATCGTTGCTTTTTTGTTTTTATTATTATTTTTCATATTTTGTTTACATAATGTAATTAAGGAGACATTATCGCAAATAGAATTCTAATAAAATAATTGTCAAAAAACTAAACAATTAATAAGAAGAATTTTTCTACATTTTGGTTATGCAATTGTATAATATTTTAATACAAAATATCATCCAAAAATAATGATCAAATATTTTTGCGGATAAATAATGTGTACTAGGTTAATGGCCCCCACGAACGTGCGAGCTTGAGTATTACTATAATTTGTATGAATAAAACGTTTTTTAGTTGTTGTTAATTAGACAAAATGAAATATTTAATACAATATTTATTTATTATTTCCTAATCTGGTCTCATTTGATTGGTAGACGTGCCAAAGTAAAAGAATAAATTAATTATAAAGAAAATTTAGAATATATTTTCCGTATTTTATTCACGGGTTATAAAAGACAATATTATAAACTTGCATTTTCTGGTAAATATATGGGTGATTTAATTTTTTCTCCCTCACCCATATTCCAAGGACGAAGAACACAAAGGCAGACAAGCTAGCACGAAGTGCTCGAGATCAGCCTTATGATGTGTATTATGTAAACTCAATTCCACCGGTTACGCTCCCCGTACCGTGATAGGAATTTAGGCTGTCGACAAAAAAAAAAAAAAAAAAAAAAAAAAAAAAAGGAAAACGACAATGGATATGATTGGTATGTCTTAGTTTAAAAGGAAAACGACAATGGATACGACTGGTCTGTCTGATGAATAACATAATAATTAACTAAAAAATTGTCAACGGGATAAAGTGAACGAAATACAATTTTTTCAGGAAGTTATATCTAAAAAGAAAATGGCAATGGATACGACTGGTATGTCTGATGAATAACGGGATAACAGAATAATTAACTGAAAATAGTCAGCGGGATACCGAATACAATTTTTTGTCTGGAAGTTATAAAACACGAAAAAACTAGTTTAAGTAGATTATTCACATTTTTTTTTCTAATTATATTTTTAACACGCTTGTTATTAATATAGAAATCACTTTTATCAAATGTGAAACGTGAGAAATCTAAATACAATTCAAACTCAATAGTATTTTAAATGGGTTTACAGAATGCGTTCAAATAACTGATTTCATGATTAAGTTTATGATGGGTAATGGCGTATAAAATTCTGTATGTACTTTTGAAACTTTTCAAAGTTTTTGAAAACTTTGTATATGTTTATACAAGCTTTGATGTGTTTCCCCTGTAAAATTACTGTACCATTCATCTTCCTTATTTGAATTCTCATTTTTATACAAAAAGCCATTATGTAAAAGAACAAGGACAAAGTGAAAGCGTTAGTTCTTCTCCTCGACAGGTTACTTGCATGTCGTGTTTTCCGTCACACGAGTTTTGTCATTTGCATATTTGCTTCATCAACACAAGAAAAATGCACCAGTCCGATGCTTTATTTTTTTGTCATTTCCTAAACTGACGGTAGACGCTTTATTTTTTTGTAGTGCATGTATATTGTGTAACCAAAAAATAATCAAGCATGGGAGTTACATTCTGAGTTAATAAGATTTTTAAAAAAAAATCAGTTGTGTGGTTATGATTGCTTTAAAAAACCAGTTACAAAGGGTTTAAATTAAACAGTAAATGTGAAGCAATATATTAATGTTAATTTTTTTTTGGGGAAGTGACGAAGTGTGTAACTAAAGATAAATAATGTAGGTATTAGTTAAAAAAAAATGTCGTAGACCAATAAAGAGAGAGAACAATCCTTATAAATATATGTATGATTTAGTGTTACTTGCCACTCATAGTAGCTACTGATCAGTAAAAGTTTGGGAAATCTTCCTTGATGTCTCCGCTCCTAGTCCCCTAGCTCGCAATTGGATCCGGTCATCATCTGATGCCGGTTTTAGATTTCGGAACCGCTGCGTCTCCACCACCAGAACCGTTGGTGTTGAAGAAGACAGTGCTGGATGCCATAAAGCTAGGTTATCGCCACTTCGACACGTCTTCAAGGTACCAGACGGAGGAGCCTCTCGGCGAAGCCTTGGCAGAGGCGGTTTCACGTAACTTGGTCCAGTCTCGATCCGAACTCTTCGTCACTACCAAGCTATGGTGTGCCGATGCTCACAGTGACCTCGTCGTGCCTGCGATTCAAAGGAGTTTGGAGTAAGTAACATTCAAAGTCCTTTTGACTTATTAACTATTTTCGCATGAGAGTTAGGATTATATGAGGAAAACGAAAGCATGCATGGTCAGAAACACATTCTGATTCAAGATCATGAATCTCGAGTATAGTTTCAAAAAATACATGCATGGTTAAGAAAGAAGTAAACCAAAATTGATGAACAATTTCATTCTCAGATGTAGCTTGGAAACTTTGATATGTTTAACCTGCCATTTAATTGATGTAGATCATAAGGTTCAATAAAAATATAGGTCATCTATTTTGAAAAATCTTGTTTTGCAGAAATCTTCAAATGGACTATCTTGATCTTTTCCTGATCCATTGGCCGGTGAGCTCGAAACCTGGTAAATACAAGTTTCCCATTGAAGAAGATGATTTCTTGCCAATGGATTATGAAGCAGTTTGGTCAAAGATGGAGGACTGCCGGAGACTAGGGCTTACAAAGAGTATAGGAGTAAGCAACTTCTCTTGCAAGAAGCTTCAACACATCCTCTCCATCGCTACAATCCCTCCAAGCGTCAATCAAGTAAAATCCACATTTTTTTCACTCCTCTGATTTATTTTTCAGGTAATGTTTTGTTAGAAGTGATAGAATTTAGCTTACAAAATGGAGATATTTTTGGTTTTTATGAATGAAGGTGGAGATGAGTCCAGTATGGCAACAGAGGAAGCTAAGGGAATTTTGTAAGTCGAAAGGCGTCGCTGTGACAGCTTATTCCGTGTTGGGATCGAGTGGAGCCTTTTGGGGAACTCACAAGATCATGGAGTCTGATGTTCTCAAAGAAATAGCTGAGACCAAGGGCAAAACAGTGGCACAGGTACTCTCAAATCATACATCTTTTTTCCAAAAGAAAAAAAATAACATCTTCATATCTTTTGAATAGTTTGAAAATTGTAATGTTTAGCACTTTTGATGGCTAGTCATGATCTTCTGCTAACAAACTTGATACATAATAATTCGCTTTAAAGATGAATAAATTTGGTCGACAGGTGAGTATGAGATGGGCGTACGAGGCAGGAGTGAGCATGGTGGTGAAGAGCTTTAAGAAAGAGAGATTAGAAGAGAATCTGAAGATATTTGATTGGTCTTTGACAGAGGAGGAGACAAAGAGAATCTCTACAGAGATTCATCAATGCAGGACCGTTACCGGCCAGATTTATATCTCCGACAAAGGTCCCATAAAATCTCTCGCCGAAATGTGGGACGGTGAAATCTGATCTATTTTTATGTGTAATTGGCTGTGTGCATGAAACTCATAAGATATCTTATTTACCTGTCGTTGTTCAAGAAAAAAAAAACATTTACGGATATATATCTTTGTTGTTCACAATAATATGTACGATGTCTCGATGTGTATCATACATGTTCACAACGTGAAACTTTAATTTACTGGTTAACCTTCATTGTTGATGTCAAAAGGTGAAATCAAGAGTAATATAACTAACAGATTTTGAACTTTAATATGTACCAAACTTTGAATGCTCCGATAAAACATCACGACAAACTTAAATTGCAGATACCAACAGCTGACTTGAAATTGTTTTCTTGGCCTGCAAGTAGACAAACTAAGCAACATAACCTAGTTATTGATGACTGAAAAGTGAAAACTCAAAGACTTCGATTTTCCGGTTTATCTCCATTGTTGATGTTAAAAGGTAAATAAAGAGGTTAATATATAACAAACATATTTGAACTTCAATGTAATCCGATAAAACATCCATACAAACTTAAACTGCAAGTACCAACAACTGGCTTCAAATAGTTTTCTTGGACTGCAAGGAGAGAAACAAACTCAACAAATACCCTAATTAAAGATGACTCCTAGATAGAGCTTCCTTATTCCCCTGGAGTATGATTCTTCTCGGGCGTATATAGCTCTCACCAAATCGAACCAGGAAGTCTTGGAATCGTTGGCCAATCTTCTTGTTGTCTTGTAGGCTGCAGCGGAACAGACACTCTTTGTGTAATGAATGGACGATAGTCTTCTTGTTGGCTTCTAGTTGGCAATGGAACAGAGACTCTTTGTGTAATGAATGGACGATAGTCTTCTTGTTGACTTCTAGTTGGCAATGGAACAGAAGCTCTTTGTGTAATGAAAGGATGGTTCAAGAGCTCGGCCGCGCAAGCCCTACGTGACGGATGCCAAGTATGGCATCTCCTCAAGAAGTCTATGGCCACCGGAGAGATATCTTGGAAGAGCCTCCACACATAAGAATCTCCCATCTTTACTGGCACACCTCCAAACATCTCAAAGACAACACACCCTAGAGACCATATATCAAGGGCCGGTCCAATCACACCGTGGGGGCCAACAGATTCCGGCGGCATATAACACGCCGCTCCAGGAAAAGACAACGTAGAATCCGTGTTAGGCTCCTTGGATAATCCGAAATCAGCGAGCTTGAGATCCCACGGCTCTCCAAAAGCGGTGGAAGGGAAGAGGAGAATGTTGTCTGGCTTGAGGTCGCAGTGGACGTAACCACATGAGTGAAGAAGTTGGAGTCCTTGTAGGATCATACGAGTGGAGCGTCCGATGATGTTTTCAGGCAATGGTTTACCACCGAAACGTGAGATAATCTTGTGGAGAGTACCTATGGACGAAAACTCCATAAGGATGTAAGAAACGTCTAACCCTATGTAAAGATGAGGGCTTGCGGCTTGGAGGATGCGAGGATCATTCCGGAAACGAAGCATGATCCTGAGCTCTTTCTCGAGATTCTTCATGTGTTTGAAAGATGATGATTTCTTGGCGTAGAGTTGATGTTTTGAGTCCGTCGTGAGAGAGACGGAGCCGAAACTCCCTCGGCCAAGAATAGAGACAGTCGTCAATGGAGACTCGTCTACAACAACCGGTTCTATGATAATTTTCTTCGCCATATACTCTACTATAGGTTAAGTTTCGATCCTCACTTTTCTTTAGGTTTACAATTATCAACCTGAGATCAATGACGCTTGATAGTTCTATTTATCATACCTGATTTTGTCGGTGTCTCACTCCTATTTTGATTTGTTTTAGGAAATCGAGTGTATATTCTGATTAAGTCCAAAGCGAGTACGAGATGATGAAGACTTTTTATTTCTTAATAGATATTAATACAACTAGCTATTTCCTTTTTCCTATAACTATTAAACTATGTATTACGCCGTCGACGGTATATATAATTTTTTTTTTATAAAGATTATTAAATACATCATGTAATGTTAGTTACAAACCCTAAGTACCCAATTATCTTCTAGTTCCTCTTTATCTGGTTTAAGAGGTATGATTGGATTCAAAAACGACAAGTTTCTTATACGTAACAGAACGGATGCAAAAAACATAATCTTGGAGACTTGGACTCGTGGTAAATCAAAACATTTATAGAATTTTGAAACTACTCTTTTTGCAAGAGCTTAGAAAAGCTCTCGATTAGGATCACACCACTAATCCTAATGTATTCACAAAACGTAAATCAATGAGACAAGAAAAAATAAAAACTAAGAAGAAATACAAAAACCTAAGTCTTGTGAAACGTAAGAGCCTAAAGCGTGTTACACAATTTAATGATGAGCTGCATCACATATTCATTTCCCTCATTTGATTATTCAGCCTTTTTCCTTCCTAACCTTTGAAATCGTGAAAAATCTAAGTTTTTAACCCTATATAACGTTTTAAATCCCCACTGCTATTTCAAACTTCTTTGCACAACCACGAATGAAGAGCATACGTACGCCAAAGCTCAAGTATTCAAAACATTTTGAAAGAAACGTGACAGAAAATAAAAGACAGAAAAACAAATTAAAGAAAGAGGATATATAATATAGTTTCTAGTAACGTCTTAGAAAAAAAATGGTCCAAGCATATCAATATGAAAAATTGAATTAGCAACGATGCATATACCGTCTAATCAACTAATTAGTCTAATCGATTGATATTGACGAACACTAGGTGAGAAAAAGACAAAGCAAAAGCAATCTCCAAGATTTTGATACGTTGCATTTTCTGAAACAGCAAAGAATGGTTGAAAAAAGAGAGAGAGTACGAAATGTGTCCTGAAAATAAATGGGTCCCACTGGAGATCTTCTGGGGCCCGCGTATCTAACCTCAACATGAACGTATGCAATATCTTTTTTGTTATTATAATGAAACTGCAAATTAGCGACGAAACTAATTAAAATCAGTGACTTGTGGGTTTAATCTTTGCATAATAACAATTCCTTATATTTTTCAGAAAAAAAAAAACCACAAGACTATATGAATAGGTGAAGGTGAAACTACAATTTTTTTGAATGCTAAATCCTTTTTTTTTTTAATTGATTAGACTTCTAATTCGACAACTACTAGTTGAGTTCGATATCTCTAGAGATATTGATCGGTAATGTATGTAGTGCATGCATGAGGATATGCTGCTATGAAAGAAAGGGAAAATGCATGCATCTTCATATTTTGCAATTCCAAAAGTCACTAAATGGTTTATAGCGAAACTTGTGGAAATTGTGTTGATCTTTTAGTTTTAGTAGATTCTGATGGCTATGTAAGTTTTGTTTTGTTTTATTTAGTAGAAAGAGCTATGTAAGTTTTATTCTCAAGATGTTTTATTTTATTAAAACGACCACCATATTATATTAGAGCTCATATTACAATCTCAAATTTTAAAATTAGAAATTTAGATTTGCTTGTTTGGGTATACTCTTCGAATTTTTACCGGTTTTACATTTTTACTGTAGTTTTTTTTGTGAATCTAACAATTCAATAAACAATAGGTTCATAATATTTATATACCAAACATATCAATATATATATGTACTAGATTAAGACCCGCGTATACGCGGATTTATTTTAAGAAAAGTATTAAACCAAATTTGATCATTTTAAAGTAAACAGAATAATATTAAAAACCCGATAAAAATATTTAAATAAAATAAGATCGGTAACCTTTTTACGTTTTTATTGTAATTGATATTTTTTTGAATTCATGATATAAAAAATGAATTAATTTGTTTTATTTTTATTTTTATCCAATATAGAAAGACTTATATATGTCTAAATATGATCAACTGATTAATTAATTCAACAAAACTTTATTATTCCATTCAAGAGATTTCAATTGATGAAATCTTTATTTAATAATTTTTTACCTAACAATATTGAAAATATATTAAACTATTTAAAATTAGAATATCGGTTCATTATATTTTCTTAATATTAGTTAGTTGCTTGATAATTAATTTGTTAGTTTTCTATTTATATTGTTTCTTTCTCAATTTTGTTTTTGACTCAGACCATTATAAATTTTCATTTTCATTATTAGTTAGTTTTTTTTATTATCATTATTTTATTACACATATCGCAATTTTGTGAGTTATAAAAATCATACGTATTGCTATCATGTTGTTTGCTTTGATGAGTTTGTGAATGAGAAAAAAAAGACTACTTTAACTCTCTTTTTATAGGGGTTCATGTAACTTATTCCATGCAGTTATAGGAAATTTAGTTTACCTAACCTATTTCATGTACTAATAGGATTTTATTTATTTCATTAATTTGAATCTTATATGTGTTTGGATAATATAAATTTGATGAATGAGAAACCTTTTTCTATTAGGATATGACAAATATAATTTTTTTTCTTTTAACTATAAAAGATTAACTAAACCTAACCTATTTCATGTACTAATAGGATTTTATTTATTTCATTAATTTGAATCTTATATGTGTTTGGATAATATAAATTTGATGAATGAGAAACCTTTTTCTATTAGGATATGAATTTTTTTTTCTTTTAACTATAAAAGATTAAAATTTCGTTTTTTTTTCCTTTATCTAATTTTTTTTAATTATTATTTTTTTTTTTTTTTCTAAGACACATGTCACGATCTTAACGGACATAACATTAAAAGTGACACATGTCGCAATCCTAAATTTTATAAAAATCCTACGTGTCGCAACCACGTCGTGCGCATCCAGCTTTATATAATAAGATATGTGCCTTCAATTGGCTTACATATTTTTTTTAGAAATTTCATAATATTATTATTGATTCCAATAATGTATACAACTATGCATGTTCGTAATTGCTATTTATATATTTTATTGATAACCCTATTTTCTATGGAGGAGAACTTTTTAAATTCATATTTTATCATATTAAAGAAAAGAGAAAAAGACGAAAATAAAGATTTGATTTTTGAGAGTAATAATGGAAAGTATAAAACAGAGTAAAGGAGGAGACGTAAAAAACAGAGTTATCATCACTTTCTCTCTTCTCTCTTCTCTCACTCTGGCTTTGTCTCCAGAAAGCTATGCCAAGAGACGGTGCCGTTTCGTGTCTACAAAGATCAGCAGAAATGGTCGGAATAGGAATCGGAGAATTAGATTCTCCGCCGCTTGATTCCGACCAGGTTCACGTCCTCGCCGTTGATGACAGCCTCGTCGATCGTATCGTCATCGAGAGACTGCTTCGTATCACCTCCTGCAAAGGTTTCTTTCTCTTCTTCTTCTCCTTCTTCTCCTCCTTTGCAAGAAAAAAAACTAATCTCCGGGCGATTTTCACATGCAGTCACGGCGGTTGATAGTGGATGGCGTGCTCTCGAATTCTTAGGATTGCAAGAAGATAAATCATCCGTCGAATTCGACGTAAATCCCTTAAAAAAAAAATCTCTTTTTAACAACATTTCAGAGATTCTTGATTTTGATCTTGAATGTTGATTTGCAGAGATTGAAGGTTGATTTGATAATCACTGATTATTGTATGCCTGGAATGACTGGATACGAGCTTCTCAAGAAGATTAAGGTTCTCAAATTATTCTCACCCTGAAAAATAAATCTTTTTGTTTTTTGAGATTTTTTATTTTTATTTTTTTTTTTTTTTTATTTTTTGATGAACAATGTTGATTTTTCTAAAACAGGAATCGACAAGTTTCCGGGAAGTTCCGGTTGTAATTATGTCGTCGGAGAACGTACTCACACGAATCGACAGGTGAAATCTCTCGCCGGATTTTTTTTTTTTTGGAACAGAAAAAATTGCAGATCGGATTTTTTTTTTAAAAACAAGTAAAAATCTGCAGATGTCTTGAAGAAGGTGCGGAGGAATTTTTACTTAAACCGGTGAAACTCGCCGACGTGAAACGGTTGAGGAGTTACTTGACGAGAGACGTTAAAGTCTCCGACGGAAACAAACGGAATCTTCCGGAAGATTTAAGCCGTTTCTCTTCTCCGCCGCCGCCGCCGTCGTCATCGTCATCCATCACTTCGATGGAATCTTTGGACTCTTCGTCTCCCGTGGAATTCGTATCCTCTTCGCCTCCGTCTCCGGTTATTGCTGACGATTCGTTGACATCGTCGCCGGTGGAGTCTCCGATAAGACTCCGTTAACTTTGTAATTAGATTAGAGTGAACTGTGTAATAAATATCTCCGTTAACTTTTACCTTTGTGTTACACGTTGACTTGACGCCGTTTGTTTATATATCTTTTTTTTTTTTTTTTTAATCGCTCCACGTGGGACTCTTTTTACTCAGGAAGGAAAGCTTTCGAATTTCTTGTATTTAATTAGGTAAATATTTCGATAATTTTTAATCCAAAATAATATTATTTCTAATCCAAAATAATATTTCGAATTTCTTGTATCTAATCCACGAATAACCGTTTAACAGAGGCAGAGAAAATTACCATAATAACTGTATCCCACGGAAGGCGAGATGGAGACGGTTAAGGCGATTGAGAAGGCGATTTGTCGATTTCTCACCAATTTGGTGACGGTTTTTAGTTTTTTGGACGGCGTAGTGGGAGATTTGGAGGTTTCGATCCACTATCTGTCGGTTATACCCACGTCAAACTCCTCTATACGACGTGAAGCAGTTTCTACGGAAGTTATCGGAAGAGGTTTTTTGTATAAATGGAGATCCAGAGTTCCATCAATTCCCTCATCTTCAACAAATATCTCTTCTTTGTTGTATTACCCATTCCGGTATTACGAAATCATTAGCAAAATGGCTGACAACTTACGACGCCAAATTCAAGATCTAGATCTGGGTGCTCATGACGAACCAGTTTTGCTTCCGGTCGATTTCGTGGAACAGGCGGCGGCGGAGAACCGTTTCATTCTCATTGGTCGTCCAACAATGCCACGACGCCAAAATCTCCGCTCACTTATTGCGGTGCTTCCCGGATCTGGAACCAACCAGAGGTCCATGGCCGCATAATTGAAGGCGGGAGATTTCAATTTGTGTTTCCATCGGAGGAGTCGATGGAAACGGTGCTTCGTAGAGGTCCATGGGCCTTTGCAGATCGAATGGTGGTGTTGCAGCGGTGGACTCCATACATGATGGCGGGTCTACTCGATTTCATCCCTTTCTGGGTTCAGATTCGCGGAATTCCTCTGCAATTCATGAATCAGGATGTTATCGCCCACATTGGGAGAGCAATGGGGTTACTCATGGACGTGGATTACAATGCTGAAGCGATTGCAAGAGTGCAGTATGCCCGTGTGCGACTGAATTTGGATGTAACGCAGCCTTTGCGTTTTCAGAAAAATTTCCAGTTCACTCACGGCTACAACACTCTTCTGCGTTTTAGATATGAAAGGCTGAGAGGGTTTTGTGAGGTCTGCGGTATGCTCACTCATGATTCCGGAGCATGTTTGATTCAGAATGGAGGTCCTGCGAATCACTCTGATGGTGATGACAATGATGAGGATACTGACAGTGAAGAGGAGCATGAAGATAGAGACTTACCAAATGGAGATCTTCCAGAAGGAAATCATCACCGCAATGTGGCAGTGGAGGCTAATGGAAATCCAAGACAGGCGGGAGGGGTCATAATAGAGGAAATCCAGGAGGATGTTGAAGCATTCGAAGATGAGGAGAGTGAAGCGGAAGGAACAGTACACAGTGAGGAGATGGAGGAAACTGAGGCGAGAGATGCAAAGGAAGAGGAGTTGAGGAATGCAATTGTTCCAACCAAAGAGAGTCTCAAAAAGAAGTTTGAGGATGATCCAAGCGAGGTTATGCGCTTTCAGAACATGGAGGGAGGTCAAGAAAGCGGCTGCAACAAGAAGTTAGCAGCTGGAACGGAACGTGTGAGTGGCGAGGTGGGCCCTGAACCACCACAGGCGCCATGAGGACAACCTGCTGGAACTGTCGAGGTATAGGCAATGACTCGACGGTTGGACGCCTAAAAGAGATAAATCAAAAGTATCTCTTGGACATCATTTGTCTATCAGAAACGAAGCAGAGTGATGATTGCATCAGAGACTTGGGTGGTGAGTTAGGGTTCCTTAATTATGTAACAGTCCCTCCTATAGGACGTAGTGGTGGTTTAGCTTTATTCTGGAAGCAATCTGTAAACCTTTCCGTTTTATTTTCATCTCCTAATCTTGTAGATTGTTATGTGCAATGCAATGCAATGGCTTTGGTTTCTACTTGTCTTTTGTTTATGGGCATCCAGAGCCTAGTCAACGTAACAATCTTTGGGAGAAACTAGAAAGATACAGCACGACTAGAAGAGAACCGTGGTTTATTCAAGGAGATTTCAATGAAATCTTGGGGAATGATGAAAAAGTAGGAGGAAGGTTAAGGCCAGAGGTTTCCTTTAGAGATTTTCGAAGAATGGTCAGGACCTGTGATTTTACAGATCTTAAATCTACAGGTGACAGATTTTCATGGGCTGGTCAGAGAGGTGTTCATTATGTATCATGCTGTTTAGATCGCACAATGGGGAATAGTGAATGGCATAGCCGTTACCCATGTTCCGAAACACTTTTTTTGGAACTTGGTGAGTCCGATCATAGACCGCTGGTCACATTTATTTCGGACACAACAGAGGAGAGAAGAGGAGTGTTCATGTATGATTCTCGAATGAGAGATAAAGATGGTTTTCAAGAGGCAGTGATAAGAGGATGGGACAGACATCTTGGTTCTGCAAACGCAGATATATCTTTCGGATCAAGGATACAGAATTGCCGAAAAGAGATTTCCAGATGGAAAAGGAATAATAGGAACAATGCTCAGGAAAAGATCAAGATTATCCGACACAGGTTAGACAAAGCCATGGTTTCTCCACTTGCTACGACACAAGAAAGGAACAGATTAAGGGAGGAGCTCAATCATGCAAATGCAGAGGAAGAGGCTTTTTGGAAACAGAAGAGTAGAAACAACTGGCTTAAAGCTGGTGATAAAAACACAAAGTTTTTTCACTCAGTTACGAAAGCGAGAAGGATACGCAATAACCTTACTACAATTGAGGATGAGGCTGGAGCCATTCATAGAGGAGATAACGCTATTGGAGAAGTTGCAGAAAAATATTTTCAAAACCTGTTTACTCCCCAAGATGTAACAGCTGAGACGTTTGCACAAGTTTTTGACGGTTTTGAAAGAAGAGTTTCTACAGATATAAATAGTGATCTGATAAGAGCGGTGACTACGGAGGAAATAGAAGAAGCGGCTTTCTCAATTGGACCTCATCGAGCTTCGGGACCTGACGGGTTTTCAGGAGCTTTCTATCAACAGTTTTGGAAGGATATCAAGCAATCTGTGATCAAAGAAGTTCAAATGTTCTTTCAGGAAGGGGTTTTGGATCCAAGTCATAATCAGACGAATATATGCTTAATACCGAAAGTTTTTCCACCAAAGTCGATGACGGATTTCAGACCAATATCTTTATGTAACGTAAGTTACAAGATAATCTCTAAGATTCTGGTAAGTCGTTTGAAACAACATCTCTCAGGTATTATCTCTGAAAACCAAGCGGCTTTCATTCCGGGACGAATGATTACTGATAATGTGATAATCGAACATGAGATGTCATCACGCCTTAAAGTCAAGGAAACGACAGTCGAAATCATACATATGGCTTTGAAGACGGATATGGCTAAAGCGTACGATAGGCTTGAGTGGAAGTTTTTGGAAGAAACGATGAAGGCTATGGGTTTTGATAGCAAGTGGATTCAGTGGATTATGACCTGCGTATCATCGGTTAGCTTTAGAGTTCTGATAAATGGCTCACCAAAAGGTTTAATTAGACCAGGGAGAGGAATAAGACAGGGAGATCCCTTATCTCCGTATCTCTTTATATTATGTGCAGAAGTGTTATCTCATATGATGAATAGAGCGGGTTGTGAAAGGAAGATACAGGGCATCAAACTCAGTCAACATTAATTGCCCAAAAATCAATCATCTATTGTTTGCTGATGACTCCTTATTCTTCTCGCTTGCCAACAACAAATCTGCGAAGGCTATCAAAGAAGTTTTGTGTACATACGAGAAGGCATCTGGTCAAGCTGTTAATTTGAATAAGTCTGCAATTACTTTTGGGAGTAGAGTTCAAACGCACGTGAAAAGCCAAATGAGGAGAATTCTTGGAATACATAATGAAGGTGGAGGTGGGAAATATTTAGGAGTTCCTGAACAGTTTGGGAGGAAGAAGACGGAAATGTTTCAATACATAGTGGAGAAAGTTAAAGAGAGAACGCAAGGATGGCATAAAAGATTTCTGTCTACTGGAGGGAAAGAGGTACTTCTTAAGTCTGTGGCCATTGCTTTACCAGTGTATTCTATGAATGTCTTCAAATTACCAGTCGGTATTTGCGAAGAAATTAATAGTATATTAGCTAAGTTCTGGTGGCACACAAGTGAAGAAGGAAAAGGTATGCATTGGTTCAATTGGAAACGACTCTGTTTACCGAAGAAGGAAGGAGGGATTGGATTTCGAGATATTGAAAGCTTCAATCTGGCATTACTTGGGAAACAAGCCTGGAGAATACTGCAAAACCCAGAATGTCTTATGGCTCGTGTGATTGAGAGGAAGATACTTTTCAGAGGGTAACATTTTGACAAGTACAATGAAGAGAAAAAGTTCGTTTGCGTGGGAAGTCCATTCTACAAGGAAGGGATCTAACGAAAAAAGGAATGAGATGTGTTGTTGGGAATGGAAACTCTATAAGTGCTTGGGTGGATCCATGGCTGCCAACACATCCACCGAGAGCACCAACTCCAAAAAATGCAGAGGTACAACAGTGCTTAATTAAAGATTGGTTTAACCCAATAGGACCAGGTTGGAATGAGAGTGTTATCCGAGATCTGGTATCAGAGGAGGATATACCGTTGGTTTTAGCTACTCGTCTTTTGTCCACAAGCAGGAAACGACATGATCGGATGGCATTACAACAAGAACGGCATATATTCTGGTTAAATCAGCATATTGGCTCGCAACACATTTACCGGAATCCCAGGCTATAGAGTCACCCTCTGGAAATATTATCCTCAACAATTAAAGCTGTTTGGAATTTGGATACAGCACCAAAGATCAGACATTTTCTCTGGAAAACAATCTCGAAATCATTGGCTACGGGAGAGAATCTACGCAGACGACATATCACCACCGGCAAACATTCAAAAGGTTCTTTGGATGCTATGGAGATTATGGAAAAGTAGAAATTGTTTGGTTTTTCGAAGGAAAACCATACATTGGAGAGCGTTGATCCGTTACGTGAATCAAGATAGTTCGGAGTTTCTCAACTCCCAGGCTTTTAGTCAAGAACATTATCCAAGGACTTCTGTGGGGAACGAAACTGATAATCCTACAATTAGACGGTGGGAACGACCTCAGCAGGGATGGGTTAAATGTAACTATGATGCGGCTTTTCAAAACAGAGAGAATCATACGAAGGTTGGCTGGATTCTACGAGATGAACGGGGAACTTATTTGGGTTCAGGCCAAGCACAAGGCAATAAGTTGAATACAGCTTTGGAAGGCGAATGTCAAGCTTTATTAATCGCAATGCAAAATGCGTGGATTCGAGGACATCGTAAAATCATCTTTGAAGGGGATTGTAAACAGCTTGTGGAACACGTCAACAAAGTTACTTTAAACTTTGGTCTTTTCAATTGGATCAGAGAGATATGGTACTGGAAAGAAAAGTTTGAGGAGGTAAATTTCACGTGGGTCCCGAGAGAAGGAAATCAAGCTGCAGATCTATTGGCCAAAAGGAGAATGTCAAGTTCAACATCTTCAGAATTTTTTCCATATGTGCCGCTATGTATAAACCATGTATTACACATTGACCTTATTGGTTCAAGTTAATATATTCAAGTTGAAAAAAAAAAAAAAAAACTTTTCCACGAATATACATTTTTTTTCTGTTATGGAAACCTCCTCTGTTTCTACGTGAATTGATTTATTCGTAATTTCGTATCGTCCGCTTATCACTTTTGAGATTTGAAAGCTAGTTTTTTTAATTCATTAAAGTGCCAGCGATTATTTAGTGGGTTTATTTTTGATTGTGTGATCCAATGATGTACAACTTCAGGAGTACTTTTCCATTAAACATCTAAAGATTTTAAAATGTAAAACGAGTGTTACTGTATCAGGGTTCAAGATTATTTTTTATACTAGTCACCTACACATTGTCAAGGTGATTAAAGTCATTAGGATTTCATATTAAGCAATATTGACATGTAAATTTTGTTTTTTCTTACTAATAATCTTATAATATACAAATTTATACACCTATTGAAGTTTCCGAGCGTAAGAGCTTACCGTTTGCGACAACTCTTAAGAGCATTCTAATAATCTTATAGTCCACATTTGTGTTTATTTGACCTAATGATGTATGACTTCGGAATGTACTCTTAATAGGCACACTCAAATGATCTTAAAATCCACATTATGATCTCTCTCTCTCAGGGGGATTATCATGGGTCCAATAAAAATATTAATTGAGTACACATTTTTAGCTCCTAATCACACGTACTTATTTCTTGATTCACACCACGACCAGAATATATACTTAATTATATATATATATATAATGTATATATATAGAGAGTATATTTTTAACTTTCTTTAGAATGAAGAATCAGATCGGGTACTGAAAGATAGTACATTATTACAATGCCCGTTGGAATTTCGGAGGAGGCAACAATATTTAAATTCAAGATGCACATGCAATGTATCAAAATCAATATTAATCATTGTAGACAACAGAATCAGCCCAAAGATAGTCCCCACGTTTGGCGTACTAATTAAACGTGTAATTATTCAATTTTTCTCTTCTCTCATTTTGATTTATGCTTTGTCCCCTTAACGTACGGCACATTATTCTTATACAATTTTAAATTTGGCTTTTCTGAGTAGAACATGTTCTTCATCATTCTTCACATTGGATGTTTTACACTTAATATTCTTACTCAAGATGAGATCATCAGTTTTTTGGGTAAGATTTTGGATCATCAAGTACATGTTCTTCATCATTCTTCATCGCTACATACACACACTTGCATGTTAAGTTGTTTATATCCCAACATCCCCTTTTATTCAAGTAACTGCATAGCGTATTGCGTTGACATATAAAATCGTTTAACTCATTAAAATTCTGCCGAATACGACTTCCAGTCCGTGGAGAACTCATTAAAAGAGCAAGAATAAGACTTCAAAAATAATTAATATAAGAAAAAATAATAAATAAAATCAATAAGGACACATCTTTAGACATAATACAAGGAAGAATCCTAGCTTCTCTCCAGATACATCCCAATAAGAAAACTAAAAAAATACTTAAATAAAAGCCATAACCATTGGATAACAAATGACTGATCAATTGTTTCAAAAGGACTAATTTTTATTAAGATTAATACTATCTGGGATGTTAATGAGAGTATGAGACCGGACAAACAAATATTAATTTAGGCAAATATTCAAACGGTAACATTCCTTGGAAGAAACATAGGGCTCTCTACATGATCCAGGAAGATTCTCCAGTGATCTCCACTTCTTTCAAAGTCAACTCTTCGAGCCTTGTCTTCTTTGGGATTATAATAAATAATAAAATACCGGTAAGGGATATGAAATGGTTCAAATAATAGCTCTCCGGTACTAAGAGTACCCCTGCAACATAATCTGTCTTTACCAACTAAATCGTTCCAAGAAGGAACAGATACAGAAACCTTTGTCCATTCTTGATTGTTGACATCCATCAGAACCCACAAGTCGAATTTACCGCCGCAAGAATCATTAGATAAGGCTATCTTTCCGTTGTAGATAACCAAATTCGTACCATATTGTCCGCTGACACAATCAGGTAATGTCCTAAGATTAAACTCTTCAGATTTCATATCAAGGCTCACTACTACGTGAGAGGTTTTGTCAGGTCTGAAAGACCAAGCTTGATAATGAACAACCCCATTCTTGCATATACCTTGAGTTATAGGGTAATGGGGAAACTTACATTTGATCATTCTCCATGTCTTTTGAGCTCCTAGAGTGAAAACGTGATGCTCTCCACTAACAAAGTGTCCATGTTCGTCAAAGATTGATCTCACGGAAAAGACTTTGTATAGATCATTAACCGGTTCATATCCAAAAAAGATTGATTCCCCAGTAAGTCTAGGTAAAGTAGGTAAAGTTAAGAACTGACCCGTGCTAGGATTGCAAACAGTCAACACATTAGCTTTGCTATCTCTAGAACAAATCAAGCCACGTGGCACCAATGCGGAATAGGGAAAAAAGAAGCTGCCGACTCGAAGAACGAGTAAGGTACAAGTCAGTGGAATGCTTTCCTTGGATTATAGATGACCAGACTTTTGAGACGCAGATGAGCTTGGACACCGATCTCGGAGGCAGTTTCGTAAGAATCTCTATGATCAGATCCTCAGGAAGAGAATTGATACTATGAATTGTTCCCAATCGTCTCCTTTTTTCTAACCTTTTCATGGTGATCAGTACCGGGCCTGGCATTTTAGTGGTCCAATTCAAAAGAGAAAATTTGGGCCCCAATATTGAATTTTTAAGCTAAAAAAAAGAAAAATGAATTATGGGCCCCAAAATTTACAAAGAAAAAAAGCTGAGGCCCCATTCTAAAGAATTGTTAGAATGGGCTCAAACCCGACTCTGATGGTGATTCCGCTTCCTCCTCCTTTCTCTCTCCCTTCTTTTTCCTCTGAAACCCTAATTATTCTTTTGAAACCCTAATTCTCTTTTTAAGCCCTAATTTCATTTTCAATGCAATGTATCAAAATCACTGAACATTGTCGACACCAGAATCAGCCGAAAGATAATCCCTTCGTTTGGTGTACTAAACTTGTAATTATTAAAATTTATCTTCTTTCAATTTAATTTCTGCTTTGTCCTCTTAATGTACGGAAAGTTATTCTTATACAACTTTTAATATGGTTTTTCTAAGCAATAGTACATGCAATATAACACTGACTAAACATTTAAAAAAAAAAATTATTAAACGTTACAACTTAGTTGAAAAATTAACTGATAAATGTTGATATTAGCAAAAGATTAAGCTCCCAGAATTGGAGTAAGCTTGGGAGAATCTAAAGAGGAAAGGAAGCTCTGATTGTGGAACCAAGCCCTAAATTCCTGATTGTTGGAACCAAGCCCTAAATTCCTGAGTTGAATGCAGAACATTGTTATGATTCAGAAGGAGAGAAAAAAGAATAGTGCAGTGGAACCAATGTTTTTTTTGGCTCGAGGAATTAAGATAAACGAAAAACGTAATACCTCAAGAGCATAGGAGAAAAATAAAATGGCGAGATAAAAAGATGGATATTAGTCCTTAGAATACGTAAGCGAATAAAATTATTCTCTGAATTATATAGATAATTTTAATTATGTTTATAATTTAAGTTAATTTCTTAACCGTTGTTTTTATGTTAAAGAAGAAATTTATAAGTGCTATTAGACAATTAAGTTTAGTATGTTATTTAACGCCTTTAATATTTTGGAACTTTTTTCTCTTCAACGATATGTTTTTTGGAAGTTCTTTTTTACAGTCAACGATATGTTATTTGGAAAAATAATAATTCGTCAACCTCATGTTTCTTGGAAATTTATTGAGTAACACAGATTTATATATAATTACAATTCGTTCCAGCTCCCTTCCTACAATCATCAATTGTGTACCCGCACATATTGTTTCATTATCGCTATGAACAAAGCAATAGTCATACATTGTTAATTCTGGAAGCTTTCCAAAATTCTTAAACTCCTTATAAAAAATTGTCCAATGAGATCCACCACCCAAATGCACAAGCCCACGTTCTTGCCATTCTCCAAATATCTCACAATTCTTGAGAAAATGTGAACCATAAATGCGGTATGTCATTCTATAACTTTAATATTGATTCAGAAGTAGTGAGAATTTTAATGACTGTTGCAACGGGTTCAACCATTTTAGTCGTAAATGTTGTGTGATGTTTGCTACGGAATTTATTTTTACACAAACTTCTCAATAAATATGGTTTACAATTGTGTCTTCTGTTTGTCTGTTTGTGTTTAACAAAAAACAATTACGGCGTGTGATGTCAAATTATAAATATTAGTTATGGAGATATGTTGGTATGCATTCTGATTAATATCTTTGTTAAGTATTTACGTCTTATGTTTATATGTAAACATGTGGTTGATGAAGATATTGAATTAAAGAGTAGTATTTTTAAGATATTAACCCATTTTGAAATTTTCAAAAGTAGAGACAAAATGTTCTAAAACACATAGTAGCACGAAAATCATTTTTTTAACTGTTAAGCTGTAGATGTTTTACTATAATGATACCATGAAAATTAAATAATGGTTACTCATAAAACAGTTCTAAAAGATATGATAAGATGAAAAAATACTATTTTTCAAAAACCATGATAAATAAATTTGTAAAACTACCAAATAACTTTGTGAAATTTTTCTATATAACTTTGACTAATTTTAGGTAGTTTTTTAAAGTACAATACATTGACTAAAGTTTTTGGTAGTTTTATAAGATATGTACTTCAGTTAATGTATTGTACTTTAGTCAAACTACCTTATAAAACTACCAAAAACTTTAGTCAATGTATTGTACTTTAAAAAACTACCAAAACAAGTAGTCAAAGCAATAGAAAGATTATTACATATATTTTATGGTAGCGAATTAAATAAGTACCAGATTAATTAAATATATATATATATATATAACTGGGGTTTAGCTTAGGCAAAGCATGAATTAAAAAGTAAAAATAAAGAACAACTTAGTCAAACCTGGTATGAATATGCGTCCAGTGAACTCTTCTCCTTCAAATTTCAAGGTATACATGCATCATATGTGTCTCATTAATTATCTGTTTATTTTGTTTTTTCATTGTGCAAATAAATACTCTTTCATTTAATATAATTATACAATTACAGATTCTAGATAATTAATCACGAATCTTTGTCTTCAGCATTGATATTTCCCTATTAATATTCTAGCAATTTGCAATAATTTATAAATCTGTATATATATATATATATATAGGTATACATTTTTATACTTTTTCACCCTCGTAATAAACAAATTAAAATCTAATGATATGTTTTCTGTAAACCACATATTTAAATTAGATTGATATATTGTCATCTTGAATAACTGTTTCCATAATATCACTATTTTGTAAGATATATCAAGAAACATTTAACATCACCACAATTTTTATATTTTTCTACGACCACATTTGCTATAATAATAGAAAATAATAGTCTCAAATTTTAATCTAGTATCACAAATACAATCAAAATTATTCTTAACAACAAGACTAGTAATATTTTATTTTAAAAATATTATCCTATAGTCAAATAAACTAATGTTGATTAATTTTTAAATTTACAGAAAGGGATGTCAAAAGCCGAGGCTAAAATTAACCGAGAAATGATGATGTTAGCAAAAGATCAAGCTCCTAGAATTGAGCAAGCCTGGGAGAATCTAAAGAGGAAAGGAAGCTTATAATTGTTGGAACCAAGCCTACATTCCCGACTTGAATGCAGAACCTTGTTTTGATTCGGAAGGAGAAGAAAAGGAAGAAACTGAAGATAATCATATTGTTCCTCGGCTTTCTAAGGAGCACCAGCTCGAGATTTTCCTCCGTGCCTCATATTTTGAATACTCGAAGCTTCAGTTTTTTAACAAAAAACTTTCACATTTGCTCGAGAGTCGTGAGATTTTTAAGGTGAAGCAAGAACGCATGCTTGTGCAACCATATGTGTTTGTGCATTCTGGTGGTGGATCTCAGTGGACAATGTTTGATAAGGGTTTTAAGAATTTTCGACAGCTTCCAGAATTACCAATGCATGATTATTGCTTTGTCCATAGCGATAAAGAAACAGTTTGTGCGGGTGCACAACTGATCGTCGTAGGAAGGGAGCTGGAGGGCATTGTAGTCTGGCGGTATGAGCTCGAGAACAATAAATGGTTCAAAGGTCCAGCAATGATCACACCACGGGTCATGTATGGTTCGGCGAGCCGTGGGACCGATGCTTTCTTTGCAGGAGGGATTAATGAGGTCTATCAAGCTGTAAACATAGCAGAGAAATACAATGCTGATACCAAAACGTGGACCGTGATTCATGAGATGCACAAGAAAAGGAAATTCAGCTCAGCATTTTTCTTGGGCGGCAAGTTTTACGTAATTGGTGGCCGAGATGAGAATAATGAAAACCTAACTTGTGGAGAAAGGTACGATGACGAGACAAATTCTTGGGAGCTGATACCAGACATGCTCAAAGATATGGCGTTTACGTCTTCTCACTCGCCTCCTCTTATTGCGGTGGTCGACAACAACCTCTACTTAATGGAAAATTCTGTGAGTGAGCTTCGTGTTTATGATAGAAACACAAACGTTTGGAAGAAACTTGGTGTTGTGCCTGTGGAAGCAAATATCACTTTAGGTTGGGGAGTTGCATTTAAGTCAATTGGAGATAGGCTTTTGGTAATTGGACCATCGTCTTCTCAATCTTACTACAGGAGAACGGTGGTTTACACATGTCGTCCTTCTCCAAAAGTGGAAGAACAAATTTGGGAGGAACTAAAGGATTGCTTGTGACATTGCTTATTACCATCAGTATATTCTCAATTGTTCTGTGATGTTTGCTTGAGGTTTCTACCGAAACGAACTTGGCAACATATTTATTTGTTTTCGCTTTTGTTGTTTGTGTTTAAAATAAGTTGTGGCAATCTTCATGTCGCAACATAACTGGCTTTATGGTTTTATTATATTTTGTTGTGATTTTGTTTTTCTTTCTTGTTTGTGGTGTTTGTTGTTGTTTTTATTTTCGTCGCAATGTGATGTTTGTAAGTGTTATTAATGTAACCTTTTTTTAAGTAAAATGTTTTTTTTTTATAACGTCTGAGTATTATTAAGTCTGAAGCCAAGAGTAACAAGGAAACAAAAACAAAGGTTCTTAAAACCAAAACAAAACAGAGCCATGAAGGACATAGAATAAATAAAAACCACCAAAGGGATAATTCTCGTTGGATTGGATCATGAAGCCATGAAGGACCACCTAGCTGAAGGTAAGATTGAAATTTGCCACACTCTTGGCAATATCAGGAGCCACAAACCAATATGATTAGCCACAAACCAATATCCGCTTTTGACAGTGTACGCTCCATGCTTGGTGTAAGACCAAATGTTCTTATCAGGAATATTCCCAATTTCCATACTCTCTCTACGCACAACATCTGCAGGAGGAAACAGCTCACGCAGCAAACCACTCTTCCAGCAACCTGTAGTTAGAATCAGATCTGAGACTTTAAGGCATAAGTCGTAGAGGCATTGTTTGTTCATTGGTCGTCGAGGGGCTTTATCCAGATCCACTTATCTATCCAAACATTAGTGTTTTATATAGTGTGCTTTATGAATTTATTATGGAACCTTTAGTAGTAATGAATATGAACATGATTATTCTTCCAATATAAGCTTATAAGGTCCAACTAGATAATCTCTTGACTGAACTATATGTAAGAAATAAGTTTATGATTTGGATTCAGTAAAGAAGCAAAAGCTAGAAAGATTGGTTTCAGATGGATAATTCATGAGCGACTAAATGTGAAATCTCCGCTTACAAGGATATGCTAAACACAACACAATTAATCAATACAAAACTAAATTTTATAATTTAGAGACATGTCATCATTATCCAGTTAGGTTTCACTCCATAGACACACTTGCATGTTAAGTTGTTTGTATCTCAACGTCTCCATTTCTTCAAATAACTTCAGAGCATATATGTTTGCGTTGACATGTAGAATGTCTGAGCCAGAATAAGTCTTAGAAACCAACTTTTTTCAAACCTGGTGAATAAAACTTCCGGTCCTAGGAAAACTCAGTAAGGGTGCAAGAATAAGATTTAACAATATATAAGAAAATATCAAACTAGTCGACAAATATTGTAATTCCATTAAGGACACATCTTTAAAGATAACACAATGAAGAATTCCCGGTTGTCTCAGAGTATCCCAGTCAGAACACTACAACTTACTTCAATTAAAGCTGTAACCATGCATTTTTGCGTAATGCACAAGCATACGATTCCATATATAGAAAAGCCTCCACAAATGAGAGATCAAGCGTTGCAATAATCCCAAATCGGAGTCATCTTAAGATTAATACTATCTTGGATCTTAATCGTTAAACTGTCCTTGGAAGAAACATAGGACTCTCTACATGATCCACGAAGATTCTCGTACGAATAACACAGTGATCTCTACTTCTTTCAACGTCAACTCTTCTAGCCTTGTTCTTTTTGGAATCATAGCAGATAATAAAATACTTGCAAGGGGAATAGCATGGCTCAAATACTAGCTCTCCGCTACTAATAGTACCCCTGCAACATAATTTGTCCTTCCCAACTAAATCTTCCCAGCAAGGAACCAATAAAGAGATTTTTGTCCATTCTTGTTTGCTGGCATCCATCAGAACCCACAAGTCGAATCTTCCGTTAGGTGATTGATTTACAAAGGCTATCGCTCCATTGTAGCTCACCAAATTAGGCTGACCTGTGATTATGACACCCTCAGGTAACGTCATAGTACTAAACTCTTCAGATCTCATATCAAGGCTCACTACTACGCCAGATCTTTTGTCTTGACTGCCAGAGCAGCCAGACCAAGCTCCATAATAAACAACGCCATTATTGCATATACCTTGAGTTAGAGGGTAATGGGGACACTTACATTCGATCATTCTCCATGTGTTTTGAGCTCCTAGAGTGTAAACTTGATGCTCACTACTTAAAAAGCATCCTTGTTTGTCTTTAACTAATGTCATGTTAAAGACTTTGTATAGATCATTAACCGGATCATATCCAAAAAAGCTTGCTGTCTTCATCCAAGCTTCTACTCTAGGTAAAGTTAAGAACTGACCCGTGCTAGGGTTGCCAACAATGAACAATTTAGCATCATTATCTCTACAGCAGATTAAACCACGGACTGGTGGAGAAATTTGTAAACCTGGAATCGTTTTTGGAGTAATGGAATGATCATGAGATAGATTCTCCGGAGAGGAAGAGCAAAAGTGTCGCTTGGCAGGACAGTAGAATTGGAAAATAAGAAGTGGCCGAGTCAAAGATCGAGTAAGGTACAAGTCGGTGAAAAACTTCCCTTGGATTGTAGATAACCAGAGTTTTGAAACGAATATGAGTTTGCACACCGATATAGGAGGCAGTTTGGTAAGAATCTCTGTTATCAGATCCATTGTAAGAGAAAGAGAGACTTTCTCATGTCGGTCTTTTGACCTCATCATATACTTTGAATTGTTCTCTGTCGTCTCCTTCCTACTAACCCTTTTCATGGTGTTTCCTCCTATTTCCTCTTTTTGCTTCTTAAACCCTACTTGTTTCTTTTTAAGCCCTAATTTATTTTCGCGGGGATCAAATAAATTTTTAAGCCCTAATTTATTTTTCCTTTTTCAAAGAGAATCTTCAATCGGTTCAATCGTTTATAAGACGGTAAGGGATTACTCTTCAAATTCACCGATTTAAATTAGTTTTAATTTTTCAAATAATTAGATTTGATTTCCATATGTTAGATATACTCTATTTTTTAAGATATATATATAAAAGGAATTCTGAATCGATATAAATTATTTATATGGTCCTAAAATTGGAAAGCTGGAAACTATATATTATTGAAAAATTATAGTATTGTAAATTAGAAAATTGGACCGTTATAAGTTATAACCCAATCCATTCAAGTGTAATGAACTCTGCATGTTTCTTGCTGTTTTTGATTCTTATACAAAAATTAGCAATATAAAAAAATATCAATAGACTGGACACATATTTCTACTCTAATAAACGATTTATATATTATAAGACAAACACAAATCAGAATTTCGGGTTCTCTTCAATTATATCCTACTAAGAAACTGAAGTTACAGAGAAAAAAAAAAACTTAATTTAAAGTCACAACCATTTCATTTTCCTAAAAATGCACAAGCAGATATACCATTCCAAAGAAATAATAATAAATAAAAACTCTTAAAATGGGTGATCAGTTGTTTCAATTCCTAAAAGAAGTCAGTATTTTAAGATTAGTACTGAACAGAGACCTTAATTTAATGAAACACCAGGCACTAGTCATCAATTAATAAACTTCCGTGGAAGAAACATAGGACTATCTACGTGATCCAGGAAGATTCCTTTAAGAGCACAACAATCTCCATTTCCTTTAAACTCAACTCTTCGAGCCTTGTCTTCTTTGGGATTGTAATAGACAACTGAAAACTTTCTAGAGTAATAGAATGGTTCAAATATAAGTTCGCCGGTGCTAATAGTACCCCTGCAACGGAATATCTCACTCCCAACTAAATCTTTCCAACAAGGAACCAATACAGATATTTTTGTCCATTCTTGTTTAATGACATCCATTAGAACCCACAAGTCGAATTTACCGTTTCTTGATTGACTTACTAAGGCTATCTTTCCGTTGTAGCTCACCAAATTATCAGACCTATGGTCTTGTTCGATTCTGACACCCTCCGGTAATGTTATAAGACTAAACTCTTCCAATCTCAACTCAAAGCACACTAATACGAAACATTCTTTGTAAGAACTGAAAAACTCAGCTCCATAATAAACAACTCCATTCTTGCATATACCTTGAGTTAGAGGGTAATGGGGGTACTTACATTCAAGCATTCTCCATGTTTTTTGAGCTCCTAGAGTGAAAACTTGATGCCCTTGACTAATAAGGCATCCATGTATATCAAAACCTAGGCTCATGTGAAAGACTTTGTATAGATCATTAACCGGATCATATCCAAAAAAGCTTGAGGTCCAGTGGTTAACTCCAGGTAGAGTTAAGAACTGACTCGTACTAGGATTGGCAACAATCAACACCTCAGCATTATCATCTGTACAGCAGATCAAGCCACGGACGGGTGCAGCGATTGGAAATCCTGGAACCGTTTTCCTAATAATACTATGACCAGAAGATGGATTCTCCTGAAACGAAGAGTATTGATAGAGCCGCGTCGAGTGGAGTTGAAGGTGTAAAAGGCCAAGAAGAAGCGGCCGAGTTGAAGATCGAGTTAGATACAAGTCATTGAAATGCTTTCCTTGGATAATAGATGACCACAGTTTTGAAACGCAGATGAGTTTTGACACAGCTCCTGGAGGCAGTTTCGTAAGAATCTCTATTATCAGATCCACAGGAAGAGACGGATAGATTTTATCATGTCGTTCCTTTGAACTGTTCCCCATACTCTCGTTTCTTCTAACCCTTTTCATGGTGATTCTGCTTCTTTCTTTCTCTTCCGCGTCTTTTTTACACTTCAACCCTAATTTTATTTTTTAAAGCCCTAATTTCTTTCCACTGGGCTGAAAGAAAATCTTATAACCCTTCATCTCGGGTTAAAAAATCAAAATTTGACGTTATCTTATTATACAATGATGTCCACATCAGCAAACTAACCCCCTTTATTTAGACCTTACTTCTAGTTAAATTATTAAATCCCACACATTATTAACCAACAAAAAATTGCATTAAGTTCATTTAATTGTTAGCTAATATTTTTATTTTCCACGATTAATAGAAAATTGAATTAAAAATTAAGAGCACATAAATAAATTATTTGAATCATATAAGTAAACTAGATAAGGCCCGCATATATAACTTAAAATTATTAAAATAATGTATGAAAACATATTAAATAAAATGTGATTATTCTTAAATGTAAATAAAATAATATTGAAAAAATATTAAATAAAATGTGATTATTCTTAAATGTAAATAAAATAATATTGAAAAATCGGATAAAATGTCTAAAAATCATAAATTAGACATACATAGTATTTTAAATGCATCTAGCTGAAAAGATAATGAAATTAAGAAATATTAAATTCAATATTGTTATATAATATGTGGATGTATTTGAGGTTTACAAATTCACTATTCAAATTTTTTTCATTAAATCACCCATTATTTGAATGCTTAATGCACATTATTAACAACATCAACTTTAGAAATATAGTCACTTTACCATTAAAATTAACATTCAAACAAAATTGAACATAGCTACTAAAAGAAAGTTATGTTTTATATTTTTAACAGTTTTCAATGATATGTTAAATATTTCTTATTAGTTATAAAAATGTAATTATTTACAACCAGTTTTAATAATAATTTTAGCCAAAATAAAAAATCAACTCACACTATTTCAAGGGTTAATTTGGTGAGTAACAATATTGAGAGTTAAAATTAAGAATATAGCCATGATAAATTGGAAATTAAATCAATAACAAAGAGAAATAATTTTTGACGATTTTGCCCTTATATAGAGAAACTGATTGTATTATACTATGTATCGATTTGTCTATACTATTTGTTTGTGTAAATTTGAAAATGACTTTGATGATGAGATTATGTCTAAAGATACGATATTTATAAAATTCACAATCTTTCTGAAAGAGAATTTGCCATATGCAATTGAATTTTAAACGAATGAATTACATTATATTATCTTTCATACAAATTAGAAACTAATTTACGATCCAATTGTATAGAATCTGATAATTTACGATGGCAAAACTGCGACAGAGGTACAAGAGAGGATGGAGATCACTTTTGGTTTTGCCTCCCTTTGCAACCGTCAATACTGTGGTCGATTCTTTGTCGGCGGTGTTGTTACGAAGACCGGTGCCAACGATGGAAAGGCAGCACCAATCGAAAATTAAAAAAGAAGAACATGAGAAAAATAATCACAATGGCCAATTGATCTCAGTGACATAATTAATCTCAATTTTATTTAGACCCATAAATCTTCGAAAAGAAATAGTTGTAATCAAACCCGGAAAATTGATCGGACAAAAGTTGGAGTTTCATGATAGAGAAAGTCGAAAGAAAAGAAGAAGATCTCATAACTTTTTTTTTACAGACACAAGGCTATAATGGTATTATTATAAAAAATATAAGCTATATTCTAGCCATGACCAAATAATTGTCATTCACTTAATTCTTCTCTCAATATAGCTATTCATTGCAATTTCCCCTATTTCAAATACATCTTGGATTTGACTTATTTTAACTAACATTTTCTACTCTTTTTAACTACTTGTACCATCACTTCTTTTTGTACTACTACATAAAAGGATCATTACAGCTGAACCATTGGCTTTGATTGGTGACCCTAAAAGAGAGTGTTACAAATTGTAATGTCCATTGTGTAACCAATCAAAGAGATATTACACATATGATGGTACAAAAATGATATTACAAAAAATGATAGCATTACAAGAAAAAGTGATGGTACAAGTCTTGTAACAGTGTTATAAGTGTAATGCTACTTTGTGGGAGTTGTACAAAAATAAAGTGATGGTACAAAGTATTTTCATTTTTTTTTCTTGGCTAGAAATTTTCGTTGAATAACTTTTTGTCTTATAACTATCAAATGCAAATGATGCTATTAATAAATCAATGAAAGTTTGTTAAGAATATTTTTTTGTTTGAAACACGTTTATTACAAAACAAATTTTATCTTCTCTTTATTAATTCTCATCTTATCTTCATAGTACTTATTAAAATAAAATAAAATATTGTCTAAAAAAATTGTTGTGTATGTTTTGATTTAAATTCCTTTTAAACCTAACTTGTTGATCCAAAATTTAAATAAAATTTCAAATTATAGGTTTATGTATAAATAAGCAAAATACAAGAAGACAAAATAATCTACTAGAACAATTTTCTTATTCTAAAGGTGTACCTTTTTAATTTGTTTGTATAAGTAAGTATTTCTACTAAATCCAAATAGTGGTATTTGGATAAAAAGAGCGTTAACTTTTTATAGAAAAAAAATAAATGATCTATTTTTTTTATCACACCTTAAATCATCATTGATTTAAAAAAAATATATAAATTATTTTATTTCTAATTAAATGTGCATATCAGATATATATTTTTCATATATTTATATTTTCATTTTATTTCATTTTTTTATTTACATTATTTTAAAATAGTCAATTTTGTTACTTATTTATTTATTTCTTTATTTATTTTAATATTTTTATTATAAGAATTACTATTGTACCTCTGTAGTGTTACCAATCGGAGCTATTGTTTTTGCATTTGTACCATCACTTTTTGATTATAATGCTCCTTTTTTTTTTTTTTGTTAAAGAATGCTCCTTTTTTTGTAAAACACAATTTGTACTATCACAAATGTAATGCTTAAATGATTGGTTACACCACATGCATTACATTTTGTAATACCCTTCTTTTTGGTTACCAATCAAACCCATAGTCTAGTTTACAACATCTACAAACTTCTAAAAGTTATATTGTGTGTTATATGTCGTGCACATTAATATTTTTTACTAACTTGCAAAACATTATCAATAGGAACTATTTTTTTCTTTCAGAAATTCCTGATTATTACTAGTATTATTTTGTTGACTCTTATGTACATTCTCATGAATGCATTATCTAATTAAGTATAAAATCTAGTCAATCAATGTTAAAAAAAAAAAAAGTATAAAATCTTTAAACAAGAGGTAAGTACGACCAACTATTTTGTTTTAGTCAAAATATATGAGTGACGTGCACTTTTTAAATGTTATATTCTCATTAATGTTATATTGTGTGTTCTATGCTGACGTGAACTTTTAAAATGTTTTACTAACTTGCAGAATTATTAATGAGAATTTTTTTTCTTTCAGAAAATTCATGATTGTTACTATTATTTTCTTTTGACTAACCTATGTACTCATTAATTCAATAACTAATTAAGTATAAAATATTTTACAAAGAGGTAAGTACGACCAAATATACTTTTTCAGTCAGAATATATTAGTGATGACGTGACACATTTAATGGAAAATTTTTATATATACATATGATGACAACTTCCACTAAAAATATATTTTTTAAGCATAAAAGCGATAAACAAAAATGGAGAATAAATGGTCTGTTTTCATAATGATGTTTTGTTTGGTGGTGATATGTGCCAGTGGAGCAGATTCAACCGTTGGATCACCTGTCACTCAAGGAAATTCAATTATTTCATGTTCACTAAAATGTGAATTCCATTGCCACCTACGAATTGGTTCAGCTTGCCTAAAAAGGTGTATCAAAGAGCGATGCTTACATCTGCCTCCAAGCCCACCAACTTCACACTCGCAGTAAATCATTAAATTTATCTTTCTCTTAATTTACATAATATATGCATGTATGTATATTATATATTTATAAATAGTGAGTAAATATTGACATGGTTATTATTGTGATAAATAATACATGAAGATTACAAGCATGAAATAAGTGCGAAATTATAAAGTATTTCTGAAGCTGTCACGATTGAATTTTTCCTTTTTTTTTAATATGTAAATTTTTTTTTACAATATATAAGATGAATAATAAAAAAAGTTTATTACATTCATATTAAAATCAGAATGAACAAATATTATAAGTACAATAGAAACTCTATACATTAATACTCGATAAACTAATAAATTCGATAATATAATAAATTTATTTGGTCCCAAGCATTATGACTCTAGTTCAGTTTGGAAAGCTGTGGAATTAGCAATGTCGTGTCTTAATCCATCTTCCATATAAAGCCCAATACTGACTCAAGTTATTTTTGAGCTACACGAGTCAGGACATGAACTCACAGAGTTCCGTAGAAGTGAGGATGAATTTTGCTACTGAAGCGAACTCAACTGCCTGATAGAGTTCATAAAGATTCTCATGTTGTTTCACATTGATTTTCTACCATTTTGAATTTTTTTGTCATGCAATTCAAGAAAGTAAAAGAAAAGTGTGTGTTTGCAATAATTTTATCAAGTTGGTTGTGATCTATGCGTTTATGTGAATGATATTTGTGAATAGAAGTTTAAGACTATTTACTTTCTTGGCCCAACTTTTCAACGTGAAACTGATTATTTTGAACTTTAACACGAGTCCAAACTATTTGGTTTCTTACATTAATCCAAATTTATAAATATTTGAATTGTTTAGGATGGTTGGACTTACATGAATCCCAATATTTTCATATTTTCCCAGAGAAACCAAAACAGGTTAATATTTTGTTAGACAAATTTGATATTATGTTATTGATTTGTTAAACTGGACTATGTAATTTGATATTATGTTATTGATTTGTTAAACTGGACTATGTACTTACGACCAAATATATTTTTTCAGTCGTATTAGTGAGTTCAACCGATTATGCTATATATGATGGATTAAGACACGACATTGCTAGTTCCACACAGCTTTCGAAAGTGAAACTAAAGTTGTAATCTCCATCAAAATTTGGATCCGTAATGCTTTTGATGTATCCTTTCGTAACCATTTGTCCAACCCATTCTTCTATATGTCGCTTTTCACAACTTGGGATCAGATAAATTTATTAGATTTTTGAATTTATTAGTTTATCGAGTATTAATTTATAGAGTTTCTATTGTACTTGAATATTTGTTCATCCTGTTTTTAATAGGAATGCAATTAATATTTTTTTATTATTCATCGTATATATTGTAGAATTTGGTATACATATAAGAAGGAAAAATTCAATCGTGACAGCTTCAGAAATCCTCTCTAGCTTTTCATTTCTTTCATTCTTGTGATCTTCATCCTGTATTATTTATCACAATAAAATTCATGTTAATATTTACTATATATATATATATATAAATTAAAGAGAAAGATAGATTTAGTGATTTACTACGAGCATGAAGTTGGTGGGCTTGGAGATAGATGTAAACATCGCTCTCTGATACATCTTTTTAGGCAAGTTGAACCAATTCGTAGGTGACAATGGAATTCACATTTTAGTGAACATGAAATAATTGAATTTTCTTCAATGACAGGCGATCCAACTGTTGAATCTCCTCCAATGGCAGACATTACCACCAAAAAGAACACGATTATGAAAATGGTCCATTTGTTCTCCATTTTATTGTTTTTATGCTTAAAAATATATATTTAGTGGAAGTTGTTATCATATGTATATATAAGATCTCTCCGTTGAATGTGCCACATCATCACTAATATATTTTGACCGAAAAAAATTATTTGGTCGTACTTACCTCTTTCTCAAAGATTTTGTACTTAATCAGAAATTGCATTAATGAGAATCTACACAGCTAAGTCAAAGAAAAGAATAGTAATAATTAGGAAATTTCTGAAAGATAAAAACAACTCCCATTGATAAATTTTCATGCTGATAAGGCTGATGTGTTGATTGTGAAATCTGGTTGTCTATATCTCGATCTGGGGAATTCTTACATTCTTATCTTTAACAATGTAATTTTTTTTCTATATGATTTCTATTTTAATAACAAGTTATTTTAATCTGTAGCATGCTAAATACAATAATAACACACATAGCAAATTGTATAACTTATAATTGTTATCCATCTGATATGTTAAATACCGCTTAAAATGTAAAGTTATACGTATAAACGTATGATCAACCTATTATTATAATATTCAAACGAACAGGCCCATTGACAAAAACTCTAGAGTTTGATACAAAAACTCTTGCAAATACGATCCATTTTTAGGCAATGCATCTAATTTACCCATAAAATAATTATATCTTTTTCCTTTTCCAGATAAAATCTTGAATTGGTTCAAATGTTTATCGGATTAGCAAAAGTTGGTTTGCGTTCTGAAAATGATCAATGACGCGGTTTGGACAACAGTTTTCATGTCTATTAAGAATATTCTCACGGGGTTAACGTTTTATAAGGACGAGAAGCAATATCGGTACTGAACAATTAACACAATATGTTTTAGTGGCATGTTGATGATGTTGCTTCCCCAGAAAATTATTTTCCAGTTATGTAACATTAACAACTTTAGGTTTATTAAAAGGTTTCATGTTGATGGTGTGTATGCATACACACTTATGAATTGTTGTAAACTAGGTTTGAAGCCCCGCGCAAGCGCGGGGTTGTTTGAATAGTTTTCTGTTTAGTTTTATTTATACTTTATCTCACATCGCGTCCTTTTATTTTATTTTATTAGGATGTTAACACCCACTTTATCTCGAATTTTCTATTTCTAACATTTTAGCATGTTATAAATATTATGTTTGTTTACTTCTGTTAGACTATAAACATGCATATGTATTTGACTCAGCGTTAAAATTTGTAAGTATAATGTAAAATCGCATTTGCACCGAAATAGGATGAAAAAATAATATATATACTTTTATACATATCTACTTTGTTGTGGTAGCATATGAGCCTCATGACCATTGATTATTTTCTATTATGTTAGTTTTGTAATTGAATATATTTGGAAACAAACATATCACAATCCTTAAAATTTTCATGTTTTTCACTGCAATTAAATTTACATATAAAAACTCGACTTCTATTTTTTTAAAAAGCAAACTCTAACTCTAATTTCTCATTGGTTTTTTATTATCTTAATTAATTTATATTCAACTTTTTAACTTGTAAACACATTATAACATTTTGAAGTAGGATAAATCCTTTTAATAAAAAGGTAAATATATACCATTTCAAGTTAAATATATTTTTACTTATATCCAAACTTTTTGATAACTTTTAACATCAAATTATCACATACTTTATATTAATTAAGTAATTTAGTTGTATATTTTTCTTAGTTTTATTTATATTTAAAATATAAATATAAAAGAAATATGAATAGTCATGTATTAAATATCTTAAAAATAATTTAATGAATTTTTTTGCTGATGTGGATAGCCTAGATGGAGAGAGCAACTCTCCTATTATATATAAGACTAGGAGGTGATCCGCGCTTCGCGCGGAAATTTATATTATTGTGTTAATTTTATTGTTTTTTCCGCAAATTTAATATATTTATGTGGTTTATTACGCAAAATTAACGTATTGTCTTCTCCCATCTTATCTCATTTCGTTCATTTTCATCATGTCCGTTATTGTCCGTCCCATCCGTCCTGTCTGTCCCGTCCCGTCCTATCCCATTATGTGCATTTCCATTTTGTTATGTCTCATCATGTTCTTTCTGTTTCTTCTCGTCCCGTCCCTAAATATAACTAAGGATAGGCAAAATTCCCATATAGTCCCATCCCGTCCCTTTTTATTCCTTCTCATCTTGTCCCGTTCTTTCTTTGTCCCATCCTATCCTGTTATGTTTTTTTTTTCGATTTGCCGTGTCTCTGTCCTGTCCCTAAATATAATTAGGGGTAGGTGAAATTTTTGTCCCGTCCCTCCCGTCCCTTCTCTTCCCATTATGTCCCGTTCATCTCGTCACGCCCATTCCCGTCTCATTCCGTTTTTTTCATCTCGTCATATCTAATTTGTCTGTCTCGTCCCGTCCAATCTTATCCCGTTTCATTATGTTTCTTTCCATCTTGTCATGTCTCATCATGTTATTTTCGTTTTTTTCTATTCGGTCTCTAAATATAATTTGAAGTAGGCAAAATTATGTGGTATCCCATTCATTTCCGTTCCTTTACATCCCATCTCATCATTTAATATAATAAGAAGTTTGAAAATATTCATTTCTTCTTTCGTTATGTTTTTTTCCGTCTCATCCTGTCTGGTCTCGTCTGTTTCGTTTCTCCTGTTTTAAAATTTTGAAAATATTCATTTCTTCTCTTGTTATGTTTTTTTCTGTCTCATCATGTCTTGTCTCGTCTGTTTTGTTTCTCTTTTTTTTTAAATGATTTTTCATATTCTTGTTAAACTTATTATAGTAATGAATGCTAATTATTATGAAATTAAAATATTAAAAAAAGAAAATACAATAAACTAAATTAGTCATGACGTGGCATTTTGCTGAATTTAGAAGGGGTCTCCAGCAGAATAGAATGACACCAACTTTATATATATAGATAATGAATAGTTTTGCAAGCATCTAGCTGGAAATACTTTTTTTTGTAATGTTTTATAATTATGAGGTTGCATTTGCATAATCCACGCACAAGCATACCATTCCACATGTTTAAAAAAAAAAAAAAAAAAAAGGAGTCATCGATCATTGCATCATATGAGACTGATGAGAAATAAGAATTTTTAGACAAAACAAGACACGACTCATAAACCGTTAAACTTTCCATGGAAGAAACATAAGACTCTCTATATGATCCACGAACATTCTGCAACGAATACAGCCATCTCCACTTTTTTCAAAGTAAACTCTTCGAGCCTTGTCTTCTTTGGGATTGTAATAGATAATAAATAACTTGTCATGGAAATTACATGGTTCAAATAATAGCTCTCCGGTACTAATAGTACCCCTGCAATATACTCTATTCCCAACCAAATCTTTCCAACACCGAACCAATACAGATATTTTTGTCCATTCTTGTTTAATGACATCCATTAGAACCCACAAGTCGAATTTACCGTTTCTTGAATGATTTACTAAGGCTATCTTTCCGTTGTAGCTCACCAAACTAAACTCATCAAATGGTTCGATTCTGACACAATCAGGTAATGTCATAAGACTAAACTCTTCAGATCTTATATCAAGGCTCACTACTACGTAAGATCCGTTGTGAGGACTGTAAGACTTAGACCGAGCTAAATAATAAACAACCCCATCCTTGCATATACCACCTAGAGTTACAGGGTAATGGGGACACTTACATTCGATCATTCTCCATGTTTTTTGAGCTCCTAGAGTGAAAACATAATGGTCAACACTGACCAAGTGTCCATGTTTGTCAGTAACTCTTGTCATGGAAAAGACTTTGTATAGATCATTAACCGGATCATATCCAAACAAGCTTGAGTGCAAACTGTTTATTCTAGGTAGAGTTAAGAACTGACCCATGGTAGGATTGGCAACAAACACATCAGCATCAACATCTATAGAGCAGATCAAGCCATGGACCGGTGGAGAAATTGGATACCCTGGAATCATTTTCGGAGAAACACTATGATCAGAAGATGGATTCTCCTGAGAGAAAGAGTACTGATAGAGCCGCGTGGCAGGAAGGTATAAGAGGCCAAGAAGAAGCGGCCGAGTCGAAGATCGAGTCAGATACAAGTCACTGAAATGCTTTCCTTGGATAATAGATGACCACAGTTTTGAAACGCAGATGAGCTTTGACACAGATCCTGGAGGCAGCTTCGTAAGGATCTCTATCATCAGATCCACATGAAGAGAATTGATACTATCAATTGTTCCCGATTGTCTCCTTTCTTCTAACCTTTTCATGGTGATTCTGCTTCCTCTTTCCTCTTTATTCCTTTTAAACCCTAAGCCTCTTTTTAGCCCTAAGCCTCTTAAGATATCGAACTGATTTGTTTATTCATCATCCCAAACTTGGGTATTTATACAACATAACTTTGGAGCTAGAAACCCTAGTCTCCTATATACATGGAAACTTAACATTATCCTAATAGGAAACTTAACTATATCACATATATCCCCAATACTCCCCCTCAAGTTGGAGCATGAAGATTTTGAATGCCCAACTTGGACAACAAGTACTGAAAAGGAGCACGTCCCAACGCCTTTGTGAGTATGTCCGCCAATTACTCCTCGGAACGAACATGATCCGTAACAATAACACCTTCTTCAACTGCATCCCGAACCGCGTGACAATCGGACTCGACATGTTTTGTTCGCTCATGGAAAACTGGATTGGAGGCTATGTGGATGGCCGCCTTATTGTCACAAAACAAACGTGTAGGCTGAGTCTGGTCAACTCCAAGGCCGGCTAACACACGGCGAAACCATTTGATTTCACGTAGAGCCACAGCCATGGAGCGATACTCAGCTTCGGCGGAAGAGTGTGATACCGTATCTTGCTTCTTGGTTTTCCACGCAACAGGAGAGCCTCCAAGCAACACAACAAAAGCACTGAGCGAGCGACGAGTCAAGGGACAAGAGTTGTAGTCGGCATCACAGTAAACTGTAAGAGTAAGATCGGGATCAGACGAGAGAAAGATGCCTTGACCAGGGGAACCCTTCAAATAACGAACGAGACGCAATGCAACTTCCCAATGAGCCACCTTAGGCTGCGTCATAAACTGAGACAATAGATGGACAGAGTAACATAACTCTGGTCTCGTGTTAAGGAGATAAATCAGTCTCCCCATAAGTCTCCAAAACGGTTTAGGATCATCCAAGAGCGGACTTTCAACGGTGGCGAGCTTATGATCTTGTTCCAATGGAGTTGCAGCAGGCCGAGAGCCTAAATTTCCCGTCTCCGCGATGGTGTCCAACGCATACTTACGTTGTGACAAGAAAATACCATCAGGACCTCTGCTGATTTCTATTCCCAAAAAGTACTTAAGCTTCCCTAAATCCTTCATAGAGAAACAGCGACTCAAGTAATCTTTGAACTTTTGCAGCATGTAACGATCATTACCACAAATAATCAAATCATCCACGTATACCAAAACTCATAGTTCAATATCCTTGTGAGAATAAGAAAACAGAGAGTAGTCGTCATAGGATTGCTCAAAACCAAACCGGAGCAGAGCATCAGAGAGTTTCTTGAACCAGCAACGAGGCGCTTGTTTGAGTCCATATAATGACTTGCGCAGACGACAAACCTTCCCCGGATGCGAATGACGAAAACCAGGGGGAAGTTTCATATAAACTTCTTCTTCAAGATCACCATGAAGAAAAGCGTTATTAACATCCATTTGATAAACTTCCCAATTCTTAGCCGCAACAAGACGAAGAACTGAACGAACGGTGTTCATTTTGACAACCGGAGCAAACGTCTCATCATAGTCCTCACCTTCGACCTGATGGTTACCTTGTACAACAAGCCTTGCTTTGTACCTTTCGATCGTGCCATCGGACTTATACTTAGTCTTGTAAACCCAAAGACATTCGAGAGCTTCTTTACCAGGAGGGAGATCACAGATATCCCATGTGCGTTTCTGCTCAAGTGCATCGACCTCAGTACCCATAGCATTATTCCAAACTTTCATCCGAACAGCATCTTTGAAATGCTTGGGTTCCTCACCAGCTGTTATGGCAGCAAAAAATGCACGCTGCTCTGGAGAGAAAGACTCATCGGAAATGTAGTGAGATAAAGGGTAAAGGGATGTACCTTGGACCGACGATGACGTAGATGTGGGGTCAGGAGGAGCGTGATGGGGGTCTTGACTGCAGACGACGTTGTACGTGATGTAATCATGCAGTTTCACAGATTCAGAACGTTGACGTAAACCACGACCTAAGGGAGGATCAGAGGCCTCAAAGGGCAAACCCGTCGTGTTGTCAACGCTACCAAAGCCTTGAGTGGGAGCAGCTGTGACAGTGGCTGAGGCAGGTTCTTGTGGATTTGCTGAGACAGGTTCTTGTGGATTTACTGTCTCAGGTTCTTGTGGTATTTCTGCCACAGGTTCTTGTGGAGGTACTGTCACACGAAGAGACTCAGGTAAACTGCTCCCCCTTACAACAAAAAGCGACGGAGAAACGAGCCAGTCTTCATCAACACACACGGAAGGAGAAAATTGTGGTAAGGAGGTAAGGAAAGACCGTTTCCTTAAACACCACATCCCGAGAAACTATAAACTCTTCTCTCTCAATATCGTAGACTTTCCATGCCTTTTTCCCAACTGGATAACCAAGGAACACACAACGACGACTTCTCTGACTGAACTTGTCTTTGTCACGAGTGACTCTATGAGTATAACACTCGCTCCCGAAAACACGTAGCTGATCATAAGACGGCTTATGACCATGTAACAACTCGTATGGAGAGCGCCCAAGATGAATGGCAGACGGTGTTCTATTAATGAGATATGCCGCCGTAAGCACTGCCTCTCCCCAAAACTTGATAGGAAGATTCCCTTGAAAAAGTAAAGCTCTCGCCACATTGAGAATATGACGGTGCTTACGTTCGACACGACCGTTCTGCTGTGGAGTTCCCACACAAGAAGTTTGGTGAACAACACCTTTTTCTCGAAAATATGATGAGAGACACATAAACTCAGTGCCATTGTCACTCCTCACCATCTTCACTGTCTTGCCAAATTGTTTCTCGGCATAGACAAAAAAATTCTTTAACACCTTACTGACTTCAGATTTCTCAAGTAGAAGAAACGTCCAAACTGCTCGAGAATAATCATCCACAATGGTCAAAAAGTAAACAGCACCAGTAGAAGAAGGAACACGGTATGGACCCCATACATCAACATGAATAAGTTGAAAACAATCTGTTGTTTTATTAATACTATCAGAAAACACTTCTCTAGTCTGTTTTGCTCGAAAACACACATCACAAGGACCCGAGCAAACAGGCTTTGAAACACCAGAAAACTGAGGTAAAGAAGAAAACACAGAAAACGATGGATGCTCTAGCCGTTGGTGCCACAGAGTAGAATCCGAATCCGCAACTGCTCTATGAATCCGTGCAGCCATAACATCCTTGAAGTAGTAGACCCCATCACGTTCCTCACCGGCTCCAATCAGAATCCTCGAAAAACGGTCCTGCAACACGCAAAGGGTATCAGTAAACATAGCTACACCACCGGTTTGTTTAAGTAGCTTTGACACAGAGATTAAAGTGCAATTGAGATCTTGCACAAAGAGAACATTAGGCAGGGTGAGTGTGGAAGAAAGAGTCAACACTCCTTTACGAAGAGAGACTGTTTTTCCACCATCAGCGAAGCCAATAGAACAAGGAAGGATCGTCTCGAGGTTGTGTAACAACGAGAGATTTCCTGTCATGTGATGCGAAGCGCCTGTATCAAGTATAACATCACCATAACCTTTCTTACCAGACAACTTGTCAGAGTTTGATTCACCGGATTTCTCCTGAATCAGTTTAGAGAGGGCTTTCCATTGATCCGGAGTGAACTCAGGAAGGAAAGAAGCATTAGAGCTTGTGGCATGAGCAGCGTTAGCTTGACCACGACCACGGCCTCCATTGTTGATACCGGCACCACGACCACCTCTTCCACGACCACCTCGACCTGAACCAGAATTGTTGCGTTCGATCCACCAGTCCGGGAAGCCAACAAGTTGCCAACACTCTTTCTTCTCGTGACCAGAACGACCGCAGTGACTACAAATAGAGTTCCGGTTACGAACTGAGGAGGAAGATGGAGACTCAGAACGAGAGTCGGATTCACGACGAACAGAGCTTGAGAGATCCTCGCGACGAGTCGAGAATCCCACCGCCTCTTGTTGCTGTTCACGGAGGCGAGTTGTGTTCAACCTCTGTTCTTCACGGACAACTTTGGCATAGATTTCGCCAATAGTTGGTAACGGGTCTGACGCGACGATCCCGGTGCATAGACCACCAAACCGAGAGTCATCTAAACCCATGACAAACTGGTGTATCTTCTCTTCCTCTTTTTCTTTTGCAAAAGCCGAGGCAGCACCACACGAACACGAGATTACAGGTTGATAAGTCTGCAATTCTTCCCATAACGAAGAAAGACGACCATAATACTCCAGAACAGTTTGTCCATCCTGCCTACACGAAGCAAGTTGGCTCTTAATCTGATGAACTCGAACTTTGTTTCCCACCGAGAATCTCTTCTTGAGCTCCGTCCACAGGAGGTGAGCATTGGAGATGTACGACACCGTCGACCTAACTTTAGGTTCGATCGAAGCCCGAATCCATCCAACAATCATGGAGTTCACTGTTAACCAATTCTCCATGTCCGCACTACCACTCGCAGGCTTGGGGATCACGCCATGAACGAAGCCTGTTTTGCGTTTCGCTTGCAACGCGTTAAGTAACTCTGAAGCCCACTCGTTGTAATTCTCTCCATTCAGAAGAACGGAGGTTATTAACGCGCCCGGATTATCAGACGCCGCCAAGGTGTATGGCGAGATCGAGTGAGTTTCTCCAACCGGAGCAAGTGCAGCACCGCCGCTACTTTGAGTTCCACCGGAACTCGTTAAACCGCCACTAGCCTGAGGATCAACGTTATCTCCGGCCATAGCAAAGAAAAGCGAAAGATCAAACGTAATTTTTAGGTTTGAAGATCTTCTGCTCTGATACCATGTAGATTAAGATATCGAACTGATTTGTTTATTCATCATCCCAAACTTGGGTATTTATACAATATAACTTTGGAGCTAGAAACCCTAGTCTCCTATATACAAGGAAACTTAACATTATCCTAATAGGAAACTTAACTATATCACATATATCCCCAATAGCCTCTTTTTTTAACCCTAGCTAGTTTCTTTCCACGGGGATGAAAGAAACCTTAAAAGCTAAAAGCCGTCCTCTCTTCCTAGGTTGGTGTTATATAAATAAATAATCCTCTTTTTTGAAAATTCATAATTTGACTATAATGTAATATTTGTTTGACCATCAAAGAAAAAGCCATATTTTGGAGAGAGAGAGAGAGAGAGAAGGCAAAAAGCCATATTTTGTATGGAAATATTTTCATATTATGGAATTACATCATATAGAACATGAACATGACTATTGATACTCGGTCACCGTTGTAAGTTAAAAAGATCTTTGCTTAAGGTGTATGTGGACGAATCAATCGACTTTTTGGGTTATTTTGCCAAATTTCTCATAAAAATATACGCACGAGTATTTGCCTAGTAGTAATAAGAGGAGGAACTAAGTTAGCCTTGTTTGCACCTAAAGATTACATGATTTTATACATTATTCACCTGTTTCTTGCTATTTGAGATTCCTATAAAACGATTTCTCAATAAAATAAAAGATTCAAAAGACTGGACCAATAGTTCGGTTTCAATAACGACTCATACATCATTAGACAGACTAACAGCAAAACAGATTTCATTAAAACCAAAAAAAAAAAACTGAAACTTACATTGATCAAAGCCATAACCATTACATTTTCATGATCCACAACCATACCATTCCATAGATAAAATAAGACACACAAATGATGCCAAAAACATTAATAAGACACACAAATTAATGATCAAATTGTTTCAAATCCTAAATGGACTCATCTTAATACTACGGGGAGATTATGCGAGACTGAAGGGAAACATTAATTTACGCACTAATCATTAACCGTTAAACTTTTCTTGGAAGAAACATAGGACTCTCAACATGATCTCCGATTTTTTTTTTTGGATTGTAAAAGATGACAAAAAATGGTTATTTTGTTCAAATATTAGCTCCCCGGTGCTGATAGTACCTCTGCAGTGTGATACCCCATTGCCAAGTAAATGTTTCCAACAACGAACGACAGAAACTTTTGTCCATTCTTGTTTGCTGAAATCCATCAGAACCCACAAGTCGAATTTACGGTTCCTTGATTCATTTAGTAAGGCTATCTTTCCGTTGTAGCTCACAAAATCATACGTACCATATTGATCGATTTTGACATAATCAGGTAATGTCATAAGATTAAACCCTTCAGATTTCATATCAAGGCTCACTACTACCTGATATTTTTTGTCAGGAGTGAAAGACCAAGCTCGATAATAAACAACCCCATTCTTGCATATACCTTGAGTTATAGGGAGATGGGGACACTTACATTCGATCATTCTCCAAGTGTTTTGAGCTCCTAGAGTGAAGACTTGATGCTCTCCACTAACGTCCATGTTTGTCAAAGCTTGATCTCACGGTAAAGACTTTGTATAGATCATTAACCGGTTCATATCCAAAAAAAGATTTCTGTTCTCATTAACTCAATGTTGACTCTTGGTAAAGTTAAGAACCGACCCGTGGTAGGATTGCCAACATATAAGACAACACCATATCTACAGCAGATCAAGCCGCGGACGGGTGGACCAATTGGAAACCCTGGATTCGTTGTTTATAAAACCAATGAATAATAAATCATAGCAGCCAAGAAGATCACTACATGTGGATTCTCGTCAACAGAAGCAGTCATACAAAGCACTTCTCATAAGAGCTCAGAATACCGCGCAAACAATTCTGCAAATACATACATTCCGCTGGCCTCTACGTCAGGGTCAGCCGCTGTGACTCGTTTGTGCAGTATTCTGAGCTCTTATGAGAAGTGTTTTGTACGGCTGCTTGTGCTGCTGACGAGAAGCCACACGTAGTGATATTCTTGGCTGCTGAGATTTATCACTCATTGGTTTACAGTTAATATTAAAAGATTAATGGAATGGACAACAAGAAAGGGTGCTAAATAGAATGAGAGAGATGAAGACTGTTTATGAGAATATACGTGTCTTTGGAGGACTTTAGTGATTAACTATATATATATTACACCTTCTTGAAAACAATAGAGGTATATGAACTAGACATATAAACATGATCTAAACGTATAAACTATTAATCATTTAAGACATAGAAAAATTTCATACAAATCTATAGTTTTAAAAAATGAAAAAATATATTTCTATGTATATGTTGTATATTTGGTAAAGAAAATTTGGATATGATTTTTTTACAATTGTATTTAATTGTGGACAGACAAATTCATTCAAAAAAAGTTAAAGAGATTATGTATCTTAGTATGTCAAATACGCTTCTATATATTTATTTGTTAAATTTGTTTGACCAATAAAGAAAAAGTCATATTTTGGAGAGAAAAAAAGAAGAAGGCAAAAAGCCATATTTTGTATGAAAATATTCCATACATGTCGTCATATCAAATTGTCTATCTGAATCAAGTTTGGAATTCTTAATTGCGGTTTACACAACTCAACTTCTTCTTCTTCTATACATTAGTTTAAGAATTGCTGTCACCTGGAACCAATAAGACATGGAGATTACCCTCAAAACATGAAAGATGAGTTACCGTTGTAAGTTACAAGATCTTTGCTTAAATAAATTCGGGGATAATTATTGTTCTTCTGTCTAATATTTTTTCAGCTTTTATATGCGGAAAAAAAAAACAAACAAACTGATGGATTCAAGATTGGTTCTCAGGTATATTGTACGCATCAGTTATACGATATTTCTCTTTGTTTTACACGATTTGAGCTTCATCTAAGACTCATTGTCCTGTAGTGGTAATAATATTTCAACAAAATCCAGTTAACTACGCAGACAAACTAAGAGTTATTTTCGAGTGCATCAAAGATAACGATGGTGAACCAAAAGAAGGATGGATTCAAGATCGGTTCTCATGTATTATATACGCGCATCAGTTATAGGATACATCTCTCTTTCATCTAAGACTCATTCTCATGTATTGGTAGTAATATTTCATCCTGTGACAACAAAATATCTAGTTTGTGCAGACAATTTTTTATTATTTACAAATACATCAAATACAACTATGGTGATCCAAAAATCATCGTCATTTGAAACGGTAAGAAAAAAATTAAAACTTGTTCTGTACAAGTTTTTAAGTCGAAATTTATAGTTCTTTGAAGATGATGGCTACTGGCAAGTACTCAATTCTTCAACTGTCAGTGATTAATAAGATGATTTTCTTAGAGTTGTTGAACCATGCAGCTCAAAGATTGAAGAAGATAGAGAAGGAAGAGAAACATTTGTTGAAGTTGCCCAAAAGAGTTAACACCAAACAGAGCCAACCCTGACATTTTGTAGACCCCAAAAGAAGTTTGGGCCAAGTTTTCATAAAGTACCCTGATAAGGAAGTTTATTATCACTAGACTAGTAAATGATTTCGTTAAAATAAAGGCAGAAAATATATTTATTTATTTATAATAGGGCAGCAAGCACCTGCTTGCTTTGCTTGCTCACAGGGCGGGGTCTGACACCAACTAAGATAATAGAGTTGTGCATCATTTGATATGTCCACGTATTCATGTATGGTGGAAGTAAGCAAAAATTTCGTCAAAACTTATCTTCAAATATATGCAGAATAAAAATATACGCACAAGTATTGGCCAAGTAGTAGTAATAGAGGAGGAACTATGTTATCTTTGTTTGCACTAAAAAATTCATGATTATACGTTGCTCACCTGTTTCTTACTAGTTGAGATTCGAATAAAAATATTGAACATTAACAAAATAAAATATCAAAAGGCGGGACAATAATTCCATGTCAATAACGACTCATACATCATTAGACTAACAACAAAACAGATTTCTTGGTACTCTGGAAACGAAACCAAATAAGAAATTGAAACTTACTTTAATCAAAGCCATAACCATTGCATTTGCATGATCCACAACCATACCATTTCGTAGATGAAATAAGACACACAAGATGGTAGAGAACCCGATAACTCGCCTGCCTTCAAATCCAAAATGGACTCATCTTAATAAAGATTAGTACTAGTCATGATCCAGGAAGATTCTCTTAGGAAGACAGCGACCTCCACTTCTTTGAAAGTCAACTCTTCGAGCCTTGTCTTCTTTGGGATTGTAATAAATAATGCAAAACTGGCTAGCGGAATTCGATGGTTTAACTTCAATTAATAGCTCGCCGGTGCTAATAGTACCCCTGCAGTATAATAAGCTATTGCCAAGTAAATTTTTCCAACAAGGAATCACGACAGAAACTTTTGTCCATTCTTGATTGTTGACATCCATCAGAACCCACAAGTCGAATTTTCCGTTTCTTGATTCATGCACTAAGGCTATCTCTCCGTTGTAGCTCACCAAATCATACGTACCATATTGTTCGATTTCGACACAATCAGGTAATGTGACAAGATTAAACTCTTCAGAATTCATATCAAGGCTCACTACGACGTGATATTTTTTTGCAGGACAGAAAGACCAAGCTCGATAATAAACAACCCCATTCTTGAATATACCTTGAGTTAGAGGGTAATGGGGACACTTACATTCGATCATTCTATGTTTTTCGAGCTCCTAGAGTAAAAAACATGATGCTCAGATCTAACAAAGTGTCCATGTTTGTCAGTAACTCTTTTCATGGAAAAGACTTTGTATAGATCATTAATCGGATCATATCCAAGAGAGGTTGCCTCCACACTGTCAACTCTAGGTAGAGTTAGGAACTTACCCGTGGTAGGATTGCAAACATTCAACACGTTAGCATCAACATCTCTAGAGCAGATCAAGCCACGGACGGGTGGGGATATTGGACACCCTGGAATCGGCTTCAGATTAATATTATGACCAGAAGATGGATCATTCTCCTGAGAGGAAGAGTACTGATAGAGATTCGTGTCACCACAGTAAAATTGGAAAAGAAGTAGCGGCCTTGTCAAAGATGGAGTGAGGTACAAGTCGTTGAAAAGCTTCCCTTGGATTATAGATGACCAGAGTTTAGAAACGCAGATGAGTCTCGAAACCGATCTCGAAGGCAGTTTGATAAGAATCTCTATTATCAGATCCACAGGAAGAGAAAGAGAGACTTTATCGTCTTGTTCCTTTGAATTGAAATTGTCAATTGTTCCCGATCGTCTCCTTTCTTCTAATGTTTTCATGGTGATTATCGCTTCCTCCTCCTTTCTCTCCCTTTCTTTTTCCTCGTAAACCCTAATTAATTACTCTTTCGAAGCCCTAAACTCAATTTTAAAAAATATAAAAATCGAGAGGAGCAAGTGGCCCACTGGTTGCACACCTCTGCATCCATCTCATCTGGAGTTCGACTCGATCTAACCCCATGTGGAGTTAATCTCCTCATTGGGAGGATTATGGGTCCGTGGACCGGCCTGTTGTGGAGACTGACACGTCAGCAAAAGGGAGAGAGTGCCACGTGGCGGCAGTACTAAAAAATATCGGTGAAAAGGGAGGAGACTATCGTAGGGTTTCGTTTCGGAGGCACCAGCATCATCATGAGGTTTGGATCTCGATAATCTCAATCCTTAGTTTTTCTTTTCTTCTTCTGATTGATTTCTGTCTCCGTTCGCTTATAATTGGTTGGTGTGTTTTTTCATTTTAGGGCGTGATTTGGAATTTCCGATCTCAGTTGTTTAGGGATGGATTATTGGAAGCAAAGATACGCCCGCTATTTCCGCAGATGCTTTGAGATGGACGATGATTCTTCAACGGATTCAGTAGTTTCGTGGAGCGACAACGGCAAGAGTTTCATCGTCTGGAGTGAATCTAAGTTTTGCAAAGCTGTGCTTCCAGGTTTCTTCATATCCAATAAGATGGCAACATTCGTCGGCCGGCTTGAAACTTTGGGCTTCAACAAGATTGAATCTGAGCATTGGGAGAGGTCATCCTGAGCTTTTTCCGCCACCAGAGTCTTTTGTGTACCAACGACCGTCCGATGCAGAGGTAAGGAGAGTCATGGAGAGTTTTAAGGAGATTGCTTCGACTCACAGGAAGATCCAAGCCAAACTGGCTAAGATTAAGAAAGTTGCCTAAGAAAATCTCCATCAGTGTTCTTTGTTTCACAGTCGTTTGTGATGAGAATGCGTTAACCTCCAAACTTTGTGTTGGATCTATGGTTTTAACTTTTAACGTATTTGTGTTGAATCAGTATATACTTTTATCTATCAACTTTTGAAGTGTATCAGCTTCTGGTTCATTTGTTAAGACTGCTTTTAAAGTTTAGTGAATCTCAGTATAATTTCATAAAAATTATAAATTAAATTAAATCTCATTTGAAAATCCGTCGAAATTATAAATCCCTAAATCCCTTTTATCACCCTCGGCCCTACATAAAGCTGATAAAACATAAAATTTACGCCATCAAAAGATATATAAAACTTGAAGGCCACATGTTACTAAATGTTCCTTTAGCTTATTGGCAGTGTTGCTCTTCATTCTTCTCAATATGGATGGTTTAAAACTTCCCAACAACAGAATCTTCAATCTATCATTATTTTTGATTTAATAATTAAATAAATTTAATCATATATTTTAAAATTTGAGGCCATCTAGAACCTCAGGCCGATCCTGATACCCTATTTCTCATATGTTTTAATTATATGCACACTATCAAACATTTTGATTCAGAATTTTAGAGATTGCATGTTTTGAAGGTCATGATTCATACCAAATCCTTCTTAACCCCAAATCTTTCTAATAATTTCCAAACATCCATTAGTTACACTTAATTAGCTCCATGTTTCATCACTGAAAAATCAAATTTCTTGTTTTGGCATGTATTTGAATTCAGCTAGTGGTCGTTCATGTTGATCCATTTTCCGGTTATTCAATAGCTTTCCAAAAACTATAAATAGTTGCAGTTTTTATTTTCTACATATCTTCAAGACAAAATATTATTTTCACTATAATATATGATATAGTGCATATAAATAAACAAATTAATAACATGTTGATGATGCTTAGATACAATATAATATTTTGTTCAAAATAATAAAATGAATACGTAACATATTAGTAATATATAATTTTAAATATTGTATATTTTATATTAAGAAAAAAAGAAATTTAAGAAAAAATCATAGGAAGTAATTTTCTTTTTATGTCATTAGAAATCTTATTTTTTTCTATTTTCTAAACACTTTAATATGAATAAAAATAGAATTTAGAAATTATTTTAAGGTGCTTATGTATACCAATCAAATTGAATTTCTTATTTTCCTTTTACTACACCACATCACCTTGTTGCTAAAAAAAGAAATTTATTTGTCTAACTACTTAGTGCATTTGCAATGAAAAATGCTTAATAGAGATGCTTAAGGCTGAGATTTTATTAAAATGAATGGTTGAATATGCCATAATATATAGTATGTGCTTCTTAATCAATTTCCACTAATATAAAAGACACATTCTAATGTCATTGCTTATTAGATAATCTATATAAAAATTACAATTATTAAAACTAATTATATAAAATATTTGTAAAATAGGAAATTTACTAAAATTAATATGTTAAAGTAATAATACTGATGTGGAATAAAAGAAAATATATGATATTAAAAAAATGGAAATTTGCTAATAAGAATAAAAAAAGTAAATTAATAATTTAATTATTTAATGAAAAAAATAATAATAACATGGACCAATCAAATATAGTTTTAGAATAGGCCTATAGGGTCAACTTTTATTAGATTGACAAATTTCCCTTTAGTAATAGACCATCTTTAGTTCTATTTCTATGGCTAAAGTTGGTGATTCATTCGATAAAAAAAGTGTATTTGGACAATTTTTGATCAAGAAAGTTATGTGGACAAAAAGAGGAAAGTTTTTTTATCCTTTTTTGCCAAATTTCCCTTCTATTTTTGTTTATAGTAGTTATATTTCCTCTTGCGCCAGTATGTTTGTAGCACACGTGTCCTCACTTGCCTAATTATTAAATTCTCTTGTAACCGTTAGTTTGAGTTATAAATATGAGCTGATTGTTTAACCCTAGAGCCATCACTAAACCCTAGAACTTAAACCTTGAAGAGAGAACATGGCTGACGGAATTAGAGGAGAGGCACTGTCGAAGCTAATGCGGTTGAGGGATGAGGTATCTCTTGCAATTCGAGATGAGTTTATCGATATCGAAATCATATCTCTTGTCAGGGTTCGCCATCACTGGGACCTCCACGATCATGTGGGAAATCTCATTAACGAATCGAACAACATACGGCGTGGATTTCGGGACTGGATTATAAACCACCCAGATCTGATGCCGGCTCTGGCTCAGGATGAAGTGCCGGTGATGGGTCCCATGTGGAGTTTTCCGCAGATGGAAGCACACGGTAATAGAGTGCTTGATGAGATGGGTACCAACATTGATCAGATAATCGATGTCCTCCCTGCTCTAGAAGAGGAACATGTCGAAGAGATCATTGAGTTAGCCACGACAGCCATTGTCCTTCTCTATGATATTATACAAGACATGCGCGAGATGTATAGGGTGATACGTGAAGAGTCAGATTCAACTAGTTCAAGTTCAGCTGGGTCAGCATCTCCTTGATCTCCTCGTCTCTGATCCTTTAGTGTCGGCAGTTTTGACTATATACCCTATTTAATGTCTTTAGCTAGTTTGATATATGTTCTTAGGTCTCTGACCTATTTAGATTTTTATTAGCGAATGAATCTTCTACTCATGATGCAATCGTGTGATTCTGAACACCCATGGATCTTAATTCTTGTTGTTTTATACCCTTTGACAGGTTTGGGATTTTAGTTCTTAAGGATTTTTTTCTTTACGTCAAATATATCTTTATTGATTTAATCAAGAATTACATCATCATTATATACAATAATTGCATGGAAAAGTCACAATGGTGGATTAAATCTAGAAGAGTAATCGATACACTTCCACCCAGAGCCGTGCGACGTTAAGTTTTAGGAAACATTCGCTTAAGGCGGCAAATAATTAAAAAAAAATTAGGGCAGCAATTTCTTTAAGGAATTCATATATAGGCCATTAACTATATGGTATTAGTTTCGATAAAAATATTTCTACAAGTATGGACATGGCAACAGTTACGTAAATATACGGCTTAAATAAGTTTCTACCATAAATTAAAAGTTTAAGACATCAAATAAAAAAAAGTAGAAAGAAAAGAAAAAACAATTAGGGTAAAAATCAATTAAGGTCGCTCTTCTTCTTCTTCGTTGGTTGGACTTACGGTTTTATCGTTGATCATTGGAGTTTTTCAAGTTTCTCTAGTTACAATTAAGGTAAAATATTACTTTTATCTGTTATTTTCAATAAATTTATTAGTTTCTAAACTCTTATATAATAGAAAATGTCATTGAACAAAAGAAATCAACTGTATGGAGCAGACTACAGAAAAAAAAAAAAAAAAAAAAAAAAAAAAAAAAAAAAAAAAAAACAGGAAGAAGAGGCAACATTGAAAATCCCTAAAAGGTTCTTTATTCAAGCTCTTCACAAAACCTGAAAGTCTGAAACTCTTAATAGTTCTACAGAGACTAGTGATAAACAATTTTTCTTTTTAATTGTTTGTCTCATGTTTTCTGATTTAAGTTGGTTTTATATAATAAGATATATATATATATTAATTAATTTTATTTATTTCATGTCATGATCTTCATGTTTTTCGAATAAAAAATATATATATGTCACGATCCTGTAAATTATAAAAATCCTACGTGTCGCATCTACATTGCTCGCAAAATTTCGGTTCGGAGAACACTAGATGGGCCAAGATGGATACGGCTTTGTATTTGGGTTTGAGCCGACTTATATAAACAAGGATCGGTGAAAAGTATGGATGTCAAAATGGGTAACCCGACCCAACCTGACCCTAACCCGTATGGGTTAAAGGTTATAGGGTCGAGTTAGTATTTTATAACTCAAACTCAATTCTGTAAATACCCATGGGTTATATGGGTACCCATGTATATAAAAAATAAGTCATAAATATTTTTTATTTTACAAAAAATGAGTAAGAATTTTTTTAAAATATACTATACTAGTATTATGCCCCGTGCTATGCACGGACACATATATATTTAATTTAAAATGTAAAAGGTTAAATCTGAATTGCAAACAAACAAATTTCTTTGTTTGCCAACTAAAATGTTTCATTGATTAATTAATGACTCTTAATTAATAGTACAATCGTTAGATACAAATTTCTGAAGAAATTGACCAGATATTATGGGATGATAAGGCTTCCCTAGTTAAGCTATCAACACAAACATTAGACGAACACTATAACCTTAGACAAACTAAAATATATGAGCAACAAAGTCTGTAGGTTAATTAACCCAATCTTAATCTTATAAGACTCTGAGATAAATGTATGGGACAGTTGACACAAAGAAATAAGAGTTAGCCCAAATCGCAAAGTAGCTTTCGGATATCTTCCCACAATGTTGCTTCAACGTTTTGTCTCGATATTGTCTTTGTTTCAAACACCAATCAGTAATCTGTTCAGTAAAAGAGATCCATAAACACATGAAAGTAGCCATAGAAAAAGAAAAGAGAAAAAAAAGAGAAAGAGAAGGACCTTGTAGAGAAGAAGACTCGTTGAATCAATTGGATGTGTTTGTTTTTGAACTTGCCATTGTTTTCAACGTGTAAGGAAGAAACGTTTGGGGATCATCTATGAGTTTAACAACTCTAAAAGTGGTTCGATGGTTTTTGGTTGTTTCCGAATTCTCGTTTGAAGACTGAGAAGACAAACTCGCCAATTACATCTGCAAATATCATAAAAAAAACACATTAAAGCAATTGTTTAACTTTGAGAAGAAAAAAAATTGGTGGTAATAGTCGTAGCTTCGAAAACTTCTAAATTGGTGTGAGAAGAAGCTTCATCTGGTAAAAAATCATTGTAGTACATGAAATTCAATTCAGAAAAATGATCCCAATAACGTTCATGCAACTGAAATAAAGCCCAAGAATTCAATTCATGTAAACAAAAGTAAAATCTCTCTCGTCATAAACTGAAAAAAGCCCAGGAACTAAAATATCTCTAGTTGATAAACTAAAAGAAGCAATTCAATTCAAGTAACTCACTTGAATTCTCAGCCATAAAAAATTCAGGAATCGGAAATATGTGAATTACCAGAAAATGGGCTCCAGAAGGGTCACACTATAGATTATTCTCCATCGATGCATATGTGAGTAGATCTGCACAGTGAAATTACAGATTTCAATGATTAATCTAACGGATGGAAGAAGTAAAATATCTCAATGGATAACGATCAATTAAAGATTGATGCATGCGAAAATTTGATGAGATTAGAGAGAGATGGAGATACCATGATTTCAGAAGACGAGATTGAGTTGGTTACCTCTTTGAGAATCAAAGTATATGTGGTGAAAGTTGAATTCAAATTTGAATTTGGAGATTGTGGAAGTTTTGAAAGAAGATCTGGAGATCGTGGATTTGGGTAGAAGAATTAGGAATCTGTGGGTATAGGGAAAAGAAAAAAAAGTGAAATAAAGATTAATAATTTTCGGAAAGAAAAGCAAAAATTAAAAATTAAAAAAAAAATACAAAAGACACTGTCAAATGAAGAAGCCATGATGTGACTGCTGATTTATTAGTATTAGATATTATTAAACACTAGATTAAGACCCGCGTATACGCGGGTTTATTTTAAGATTTTGTAATAAAATCATGGAAAAGTATTAAACCAAATTTGATCATTTTAAAGTAAACAGAATAATATTAAAAACCCGATAAAAATATTTAAATAAAATAAGATCGGTAACCTTTTTACGTTTTTATTGTAATTGATATTTTTTTTGAATTCATGATATGAAAAATGAATTAATTTGTTTTATTTTTATTTTTATCCAATATAGAAAGACTTATATATGTCTAAATATGATCAACTGATTAATTAATTCAACAAAACTTTATTATTCCATTCAAGAGATTTCAATTGATGAAATCTTTATTTAATAATTTTTTACCTAACAATATTGAAAATTAAACTATTTAAAATTAGAATATCGGTTCATTATATTTTCTTAATATTAGTTAGTTGCTTGATGATGTCAAAAAAAAAGTTAGTTGCTTGATAATTAATTTGTTAGTTTTCTATTTATATTGTTTCTTTCTCAATTTTGTTTTTGACTCAGACCATTATAAATTTTCATTTTCATTATTAGTTAGTTTTTTTTTTTCTAGTTTTTATATCTGTTTAACATTTTTCCAATTAACATGTCTTCACCGGATCAAATACATGTAACGACAATAATTTTGATTTCTATCCAACCGATATAGAGTTAGATACATGTATCGACAATAATTTTGATTTCTATCCAACTAATATAGAGTTAAATATTATTCATTGATACCATGAATTTTAAATACATGATTTTTTATGAGAGAAAAGATTATACAAAAGATAGAAGCACATAATTGAATCGCAATAGCTTATTATATATTGTTTTTTCCTGTTCATAATGGGAATATAAACACATATCGCAATTTTGTGAGTTATAAAAATCATGATTGCTATCATGTTAACTTTTTTTTTTATAGGGGTTCATGTAACTTATTCCATGCAGTTATAGGAAATTTAGTTTACCTAACCTATTTCATGTACTAATAGGATTTTATTTATTTCATTAATTTGAATCTTATATGTGTTTGGATAATATAAATTTGATGAATGGGAAACCTTTTTCTATTAGGATATGACAAATATATTTTTTTTTCTTTTAACTATAAAAGATTAAAATTTCGTTTTTTTTCCTTTATCTATTTTTTTTAATTATTATTTTTTTCCTTTTTTCTAAGACACATGTCACGATCTTAACGGACATAACATTAAAAGTGACACATGTCGCAATCCTAAATTTTATAAAAATCCTACGTGTCGCAACCACGTCGCGCGCATCCAGCTTTATATAATAATATTCAACTAAAACTTCTAAATAACAAATTTATAGTAATATTTGTGTATTAAAATAAAATAAGTATTCATATAGTTAGATAAAACATAAATAAAATCATAAAATATAACCATAAATTTATAATTATTTGATATATTTATTATTTTTTGCTTTTCGTGATAAACCCGTGGATAACCCATAACACTAATGGGTTTACCCATTAGACCCATGAACTATAAGGGTAAAAAAATTCAACCCAAATTCATTAAAAATTTTGATCATTAGGGTTAACACATGGGTAATGACCCATTTTGACACCTAGAGAAAAGGAAGAGGCTAATTTCTCTTAGGGTTTCGTTTCGGAGGCACCAGCATCATCACGAGGTTTGGATCTCGATAATCTCATTCTTTATTTTTTCTTTCCAGTTTACACGATTCTTCTCTGATTCATTTAGTTTTGATCGCATAACTAATTTAGTTGATAATTGGTTGGTGTGTTTTTTTTTTCATTTTAGGGCGTGATTTGGAATTTCTGATATTGTTTAGGGATGGATTGTGATAAGTATCGCAAGCATAGATACGCCGGCTATTTCCGCAGTTTCTTTGAGATGGTCGATGATTCTTCAACGGATTCAGTAGTTTCGTGGAGCGACAACGGCAAGAGTTTCATCGTTTGGAATGAATCGGAGTTTTGCAAAGCTGTGCTTCCAGTTTTCTTCATATCCAATAAGATTGCAGCATTCGTCCGCCGGCTTGGAATCTTGGGCTTCAACAAGATCGAATCTGAGCATCATTCGATGCCGGTTATTGAAAATCGCAGCCCGTTCAATTTAAGTTAAGTTTGGGCTGGTTTAGTTTGGAAAAGCCTTAAAATTCGTGTTAAGAGACGAGGAGCAGTCTCTTTTGCCGTCTAGCGACTGCAAAAATCAGAGAAAGAGAAGATGAGAGGCGATTTGTGGTGTTCTTGGTCGATTTGATGGTCGATTTGTGGTGTTCTTCCTTGTCTCATCTTTCTTTTCCATGATTCTAGCCAAATCAAGGTGAGTGTGTGACTGTAGGTCCACGATTTGCTAAATTTGGATTGATTGGTTGATTGTTCTTGAGTTGTTCATGTTGATTATGTGTTATCTAGTGATGTTTGGGGTTAATTCGTGTGGATTTGGTGTTTTCTGTGATTTTCGTGTTGTTTCATTGAAGGAAGAATCGACTTCTGGAACGAGTGTCGGGCGACACCAAACATCAGTTATAAAATCACAATTTTAATGCAGATCAAAATAAATGCAGGAGAATTTTTTTGATCTGGATCCAGATCAAACATCAGTTATAAAATCTAGGTTTCCATGTGTCACTTTTAATGTTATATCCGTTAAGATCGTGACATGTGTCATGAAAAACAAAAATGTAAAAATAATGATTAAAAACATGTTAGATAAAGGAAAATTTTAAAAAAGGAAATTTTTCTATTCATCAAAGTTATATTATCTTTAATATATATATCAAATTCAAAATAATGTAATAAATAAAATCCTATTAGAACATGGAATAGGTTAATGAAGGTATTTTTTTTTTCTCATTCACAAATTAATCAAAGACAATTCATCAAATCTCTTTGAATAATCCTATGGTAATGAAGTCTTTTTCAATTTTTCATAATTTGTCAAGATAAGTTATTCTTTTATTGTTAGATTATTTCTAACAATTTTTTTACTTTTAAAATTTCAGGACAAAGAGTTTTTATATGAAACAACTATTATCGATATTGATTTACGTGATGGGTGAAACTACGTAGCATGTTCAGTTTGCCAAAAAATTTTAAAAAGTTGGAAGGTTCCATATTCTAATGGAAAAGGGAAAAAAAATTTGCAAGTTTTATATTTTAAGATAAATATGATCCATATTCTAACAGAAAAAAAAAAAGAAGTATCTTCTATGTTTAACCTAACCACGAAAAAATTATATTTTCTATATTCTAACGGAAAAAGGAAAAAATTGTATGCATCATATTTAAAAATAAATATATTCCATATTCTAAGGAAAAATGACAAATTATTTTTGCAGATTTTATATTCTAAAATAAAAAGGTTTCGTATTCTAACGAATATTTTCTATTCCTCATCAAGCCCTATATAATAATTCAATTGTATGTTTTCATCTTTTTCTCTTTATTTCTAATTGTATGATTCCATTTTTTTTTAAGAATAAAAAACTTATGTTTTCAAAATTGTAAGAAAGCAATGGAGATTATTTCACTCTAAACCAAATGGATCAAAATCGAAATTATCGTCGTACTATAATATCTTTTATTCGAAAGTGGAAAGTTCGACATCTTAAACTTCTATTAAATGACTATTACTGTTTAGTATACAGCAAAACTGATGGATATTATGTTACTAATAGATTTTTTCGGGTTTTTAATACTATTTTAGTTACATTTAAAAGTTGTCATATTTTATTTAATATTTTTTTATGAATTGTTTCAAAACAATTAATATAAACTCCGCATATACGCGGGGCCTTATCTAGTTATGAATAAATCAAATATATAATTTCTTTTAAAATTAAAATGTATCATTTTAAAATAATTTAAAACATAAAAAAAATATTATTAAAACATCGTCAACTAAATTAAGAACTAATAAATCACTAACGTTAACTACAAAAAAAATCCTCCATTTTAATACAATGCATAACATAAGATAAAAGATCTAAATCATTATACATGTCATACCATAAATTTTATTTTACTTTGTTTCCATAATTTTGATTTGATTTTGTTTTGTATATAATGATGCAAACATTATTTAACAAAGAACATGAAAAAAAAATTATTTTGGTATGACACTATTATTTTTTTTAATTTAATTAATAAATAAAACATGAGCTATGAAACAACCAACATTTTTTTATTAAATAAATCCTAAACAATTCTAGCGGAAGTCTTTAAAATAAATAATAATCAAATGACAATATTCAGCGGAAGCAAATAACAGAATTAAATAAACAATTCTAACAACTTAAACATGTCAAATAAAGTAATGCAAAACAATAAAATCCTATCATCCCCTCTTCAGCCTTGATTCCGCGATCACAAAAACCTTTTACCTGCAACACATTGGAATGGAGTTGCATAAGTATTTAATAAATATTTAGTGAGGCAATCACTCTGCCTACGAGCCATTTACGCAATTACTAGATATTTAATTATATTTATAAACTCCAATAATTATTAAATACCATTTTCCAATTATTAAATATTTATTAATAATTAATTAATAATTTTCCATAATTAAAATAATTATTTTAAACCATTTAATTAATTAAATAACCAATAATTAATTAAATACCGAATTTAACCAATTTAATTCGGGTAAACCAATTTCAATTGAATTAAACCGACAAATTTCAATTAAACCATTGAATCAATTTAAACCGGAATTAACCGGTCTGTGTCGACCGACACCAGCTTGGTGACGCTCGACTCTTCTGGTGTCGACCGACACACGCTTTGTGTCGCTCGACACCGATTCCAGAAACGCAGAGTTCGATCTATGAACAGTATCTGAAATTCACAGAAACACAGGAATCAAGCAATCAACCGTAAACACTCAAATCAATCATCAATATTATCACATAATCACCACAGAAACACATGCAGAACATCAATCTAGTAATCACGGACCCACAGTCATGCACTCTCACATTGATTCTAGGTTGAAAGGAGGAAGAAATCAAAGGAGATGATGAAGAACACGAAGAACAGCGACGAAATCACCACGAGGACACTACAAATCGCACACCAAACTGCCAAGAACATCAAAATCGCCTCTCCACTTCTTCTATCCCAATTCGCAGCCGCTAGGCGACAAAACACCCAACTCCTTCTCTTTTATTCGCGAATTTGGGCTCCGAGCCTTAACCGGCTAAACCAAAAATTGATTTCACTTAAATCGAAACGAAAATCGATTTTAACCATTGGCGTCGACCGACACCACCCTGGTGTCGCTCGACACCAAAGAAAAATTGCATTTCTTTGGTTTGCGGATGTTACAAGCTATACTTTCTTAATGTAAGTTTCTTTTTCATGTTGCAAATTTTTGGAATTTATGTAATTAAATAATGATTAAGAACAAATTTTCTTATCTATATATGTAAATGTGTGTATCTATCCGGACTCGAAAATCAAAACCGGAACCGACCTGAAAAATCTTAGTTCTATTATATATTTGGTAATATTTGGATCCGACCCAATAATACTCGATGGGTTATCCGAAAAACCCAGATATATAAGTGTGTATTAATTTTTAGATATTTTTAGTATAATATCTATATATATATATATATTATATATTTAGTTTTTTGGATATTTGTTTTAGTTAATTTCGGGTTTTCATGTATATTTTTAGAATTTTTGGGATTCTTGGTAAATAGATAGTTTTTTGGATGATAAATATCTACATCAATTCGGAAATGGTTGGAATCGGAAAATTTAGGTATTTATTGGTTTTCAAAAAATTAAGAATTGAATCAATCCTAACCAAAACTCTTTCATTTTTCTATAGGTATTAATTCACTTAATCCGAAACACCTGAAACTGAAATAAACCGATCCAAATCCGACGTAAAATCCGAATATTCAATCTAGTTTTACTTATCTGTTTGATATGTATTTGATCTGCATTGTTCGATTGATCTGTATTTGTTCTGCTTGATCTCTACTTACTGTTTGATATGTATTTTTTTATCTGTGTCACCATTCGAAGCCTATCGCCCTGTTTTTTCAAGATTATCTAACAAGATTCTTGTTACAAAAATAACAAAAAATTATAATTCGCCATATAATCATTTAAGAGAGAAGTGTTTACAAAATATTATGTATAGATTATAATACTATAAATCTAAGTGATTGAGTCTACTGTGTTCATTTTTTATTTTTATTTTTATTGTGTTAGAATTTATTGGACCAAAAAATCAATTTTACAATGACCGTGACTGTTTCTGAATTTAGTTGAACTTTAAGATCAAGATAGCAAATAATAGTCAAACCAGAAGACGAGACCACATTGGGATCTTGTCCCCGGTGGTGGAGAGCTTGTTTACTTCTTGCTTTTAATATTTTTGATGTTTGAAAATTTGAGAAAAATCATCATCTTTTAATTTTCCAAGTGTGTGTGCACGCGTTAGCTATGTGTTTTAGGGTGAGGTTTTTATCTTTGTTTTTTTTTTTATATAAAAATTTAAAGATGAATTATGAATTAAATATATTAGTAATACAGTTTTATTCATAGAAAAATATTATATATTGTGACTATCCAAAATATTTAAAAATTTAGCAAATTATAATATTTATACAACACATATTATCTTTATCATTCAACTTTTGTATCACTTGTTCCACACATCATTTACTTTTTCTATAGGTTGCTTGAACTGCTTTCTCCTGTTTGATCTTCTTGTTTTGCACTAGGCAATTCATTGTCATCACTGAAACAATAAGTACAAATCTTATCATGTTAAACAACCACGCTATTTGTTTTTATAATTAACCAAATAAATTAAAGTTAAACGATTAAATATCAATTCAGCGGAAATTTTAAAACTAAATTCAATAAATAATTAAATCATTCAACAACTAATTCAATAGATCATATATAAATACTAGCAACCTAATACCATGTTCTACCAACTTAAAACAATAAAACAATCTCTATCATCCTCTTCTTCGGCCTTGATTCCGCGATCACACTTTTCTATCACCTGCATCACAATACAAAAGAGATGGATAAGTATTATCACAAATACTTAGTGAGACGATCATCCCACCAATAGACCAATTGCGCAAA